GCCCCAGCAGTTGGCAGAGCTAATCGTGCATCAATTGGATGTATAAAGCCATGCCGTCTGTCCATATTTCTCTTTGCGAAGATTCTTCTAATTGCATGGTAGCCTTCCAATGAAAAAATCCCAAGCCCACAGTACGTACTTTTTTTGTAAATCATTGATGTATTTGTTTGAGTTACACTCTCTAAACTGGGACAGAGCTTATTGGTGCGGGGGGCAGACGAGCCTATCGTGTGTGCGAAACAGTGCCCTTCGTGATGCCTCATTGCCCGCCTCCTTTTATTACTATTCCATTGGCTTGAATGCAACGGGATTCGGCCGTCAATAGCAAAAATATACACACATCAACATCTACAGCCCAACTCAGAAGTGGGGGGCACGGTTGGTCTCTTGCCGGATACGGCTGCGAAAGGTGCCGGGTTTCCTTCTGCCAAGCCTCGGATGTTCGCAGGCCTCTAATTCCGGCACGAGGCACCCCAAACTCTCATTCACCCATTGAGACATCCGTGTCCAGTAGCACAAAAATAGTTCTTTGGTTGCTCGGACAAACGAGGTTCGAAACAGAACCAATCTGAAACCCAATCAATAGTAGCTGTCGAATCAACTCGGCTCCTTCAAGAATGAGCTTCGACCCCGGTTCTCTTCCATATGTCAACCCCAAAAAGGACCGCCGGATCGCCCTAATAACTGCCGGGAATTCCGGAATAGGGTACTTCACCGTGCTCCACCTATATCTTCATGGGTACGTCGTCTACATCGCTGGCCGGTCCAAGACGAGATGCAAGAAATCCATGGACAATTTGACAAAGGAGGCTCGGTACGCTGCAGCCCGGTATTCACGGGCCGAAAGACCCCACCGATTCTTTGGCGAGCTACATTTCCTCGAGATGGATCTCTCGAGTCTATCTTCGGTGCTTGGTGCAGTTGCATACTTCAAGAGCTCAGAGAAGAGTCTCAATTTGCTCATCAACAACGCTGGGAATTCGTTTCTGCCCTACACGGTGACTCCCGATGGCTTTGAGCTCCAGCTCCAGACCAACTACGTCGCCCCATTTCTCCTAACCACAAAACTCCTTCCGACCATGGAGCGAACGGTGGACCTATGTCCCGACGCAGGCCCGCCCCGGATCGTGTATATCACCTCAGTAACGCACCGGTTCGTTCTCCGATACTTCAATTTGAGCACACGCTTTCATTACAAGCCGAATGCGCTTTTCACATGGATCCGCTACGCGATAGCCAAAACAGCAGGAATACATTTCATGAAGATGCTAGCACTACGAAACCCACGTCTTATTTGCACATCCGTCCAGCCGGGAATAGTGATGAGCACCGACTATTTCGCATACTGGACCCGTCTTCCGATTATCGGCAGTTTGTTTTGGTGCTTGTTCCAGATATTTTCCTTTATCTTTGGCGCAAGTATTGAGAAGGGGGCACAGGCAGTGTTTAACTGCTGCGTTGATCCCACACTCACCCCAAAGGCCAACAGCGGCTCCCACTTTGATTTGTTTCACGAGACTCAGCCAGCAAAGGTGGCCAACAACATGGACTATGCGGCCCAGTCCTGGATCTGGACCATCCATCAGTTGGAGAAGCGGAATATTGATTTTGCCTAGATTTGACTCCGCACATATACCATCAAATTGCATGTTCATGCGGACAATTCTCTCGGGCCCGAACAGGCGGATAGCATCCACACACGTATAGGCAAGGCCCTGGGCCAATGTACTTTTACCACACAGCAACACGAATACACCTCCGATTCTTTGATCATTAGAGAACCACTCTTATATACCTATTTCCACGTTTGTTCATGCACAGACTCGCTTACAATCTGGCCTCGCTATCGAGCTTCTCAACAACAAGAGCAGAAGCACCGCCACCGCCGTTGCAGATACCAGCCACACCGTATCTGCCGCCCTCTTGAGACAACACAGAGAGCAAAGTGACGACGATTCTGGCGCCCGAGCAGCCCAATGGGTGGCCCAAGGCAACGGCGCCACCGTAAGCATTGATCTTTTCTTGGGGCAAGCCGCAGATCTTGGCATTGGCCAAGCCAACGACCGCGAAGGCTTCGTTCAACTCGTAGAAGTCCACGTCATCGTAGGAAAGCTTGGCGAATTTCAAGGCCTTTGGAATGGCCAACGAGGGCGCCACAGTGAAGTCGATGGGCGATCTCTCGGCCTCGCCCCAGCCGGAGATACGAGCAATGGGGCGCAACCCCAACTCCTTGACCTTGGCCTCGGAGGCCAAGACGAGAGCAGCACCGCCGTCGTTAAACTTAGACGCGTTGACGGCAGTCACGGTTCCGTTTTCCTTCTGGAACACGGTTCTGGAAGTCTTGAGGCGCGACTCGTTGAAGTTCTTTGGTTCCTCGTCCTCGGAGATAACCACGTCGGGCTTGCCCCGCACACCCTTGATTGTGACAGGAGCGATTTCGCCGCTGAACTTGCCGTCGGTCTGGGCCTTCTGGGCCTTGAGGTACGAGTTCTTGGCAAACTCGTCCTGCTCGTCTCTGGAGATGTCGTAGTCCTTGGCACACTTCTCGGCCGCCACGCCCATCAATTTCTGCTCGTACACGTCCAACAAGCCGTCTTTCTGGACACCGTCAACCATGGTGGCATCGCCGAATCTGGCACCCGAGCGGGCGCTGGGGAGATAGTATGGCACGTTTGACATGGACTCCGCGCCTCCGGCAACCACAATGTCGGCCGTGCCTGTAAGAATGGCCTGGGCTCCGATGATGATGGCCTTTGTGCCCGAGGCACACACCTTGTTGATGGTGGAAGAAATGGTTTCTTCGGGGAGACCGGCCTTCAAAGCAACTTGTCTGGCTGGGTTCTGGCCCACGTTGGCTTGCAAGACACCGCCGAAAACAAGCTCGTCAACCATCTCAGGCTTGATCTGGGGCACTTTTTCCAAGGCGCTTTTAACGGCATGGGCCCCCAAGTCGCTGAAGGTGAGCGAGGAGAGAGAGCCTTGGAAAGCGCCAATCGGGGTTCTGGCAGTGGAAACGACGTATACAGATTGCATTTTTCGGGATGCGGTGGAAGGGGAAGCCGGGTGGAAAATGGGGAACCGAGCTGCCTTTATATAAATCGACGCTTATACGAGTGGTGTGTATTACAAACAACGCGCGGAGTCGCGTGGCCGGGCGGATGCCTTGGAACACCAGTCAAGCTGATGCAAATACCACCCCAGGCTTGGTGCTGGCCACTTGAAAGGCAATTTCTCCATGGGCTAAAATGACAAGTCTGTGTCACACACGAAAGTTTGAGAAAGGCTGCCTGGAATATGCGCCGCTCTGGATATATTACCAATAGCTTCTTTTGTCTCGATGCACTCTTCCTCACTTGCTCGCCAGTGCTCCGCTAGGCCAGGCATGTACGGGTCTCGGAACTCATCCTCGGTCTCTAGGCACGTCAATCTGTCTAGTACCCCCACCGAATTTGCCATATGCTTCAAACTCATCTGTCCTTTGCTAAAAGGTTCTGCGGCTTACGCAAACTCCACTGCTCAGCCCCATGTCTACTATTCAAGTCGGCCGCTACCCCTCCTTCGTCGGACAAGTCTGCGACAGTGAATGAGCCCTCTAAAGAGGAAAAGTTTAAGTATGACAGGCACCCTATTTTGAAGCGAATCCCCCGTTTCCTTCGGCCTTATACCACACAGTTCATCACGGCCCCAGTTTCGCATGTGACTGCATTTGTGGTTCTCCACGAAATCACGGCCGTTGTGCCTTTGATAGGCATTTGGTATCTCTTGCACCAATACCACGATACGTTGATGGTATCTGTACTCGACTTGCCTTCATGGGCCACGGAGAAAGGCACCAAAATTATTGACAAAGCTTTACAAGACTACGACTTTGGAACCTTTTCAATAGGCGAAAAACTACAGCTTATCAAGGAGGGGGCATATGCCTACGTGATCGTGAAATCGCTCTTCCCGGTCCGGATAGCAATCTCGATCTTGGGAATGCCATGGTTCGCCAAGTGGTTTGTGTTGCCCTTCACAAGAATTTTTTCCAAGAAAAAAACCGCTCCGTCGCTCGAGACGAACAATATTGGAAGCTCTGGGCCCGCGATTAGGGAACACCATAAAATCAAAATCAACAACCCCAGATTATGAGAACCTAATGAATATCAAGTATAAGACATGAAACCAGTCCTGATGGTTTTAGTCAAAATCGGCATGCTACGGTTCTCTCATGTATAAACGTAATATTCGTCAGCTTCATCATCTATTTACTCTAATGTGACTTTCATTTCGGCTTCGGACATCGGAGCGAAGTCCTCCAATGAAGATCCCCTGGTGATCTTTAACCGTTTGTGAGCGAAATCTGGAACCAATAAATGGTTCAAACTAGGCTCCATTGACAACTCCCGGTCGTCGAAGTCAAACAACTCAGGCAATTCTCTAGAGTCCGGCTGATTTGAGTACAACTGGTAATTAGCATTGCTTTGATATGGGTTATGCGATGAAGTACTGTAGAATTGCTGGCTGAACAACTTTCTATAGTTAGGCAACATGGTACCCTCTTTTCTTAACTCGTTGAAGTAGGGATCTGCCAAAGCTTGAGCACATGAGATTCGTTCATTTGGAGAATATTCCAATATCTGAGCCAAAAAGTTAATGCAGTCCGTAGGCATCTTCTTGAAGATCTTGGACAACGGAATCGGTTTTATTTGCGGGAATTTGTATTCCGTGTAGTTCGGGTTCATGCATTTGATTTGTTCTCGGGTTGGTGTGCCCAAGATCTTGATGATCTCCACCAACTGATCAACACCGGAGTCACCAGGGAACAACGGTTGGCCCATGATCATCTCAGCCATGACACATGCAGCAGACCATACATCAATTTTGGTGGTGTAATTCGTTGCGCCAAAAATGAGCTCCGGAGCTCTATAATATCTGGAGCAGATGTATGAAACATTGGGTTCTGCTGGGTTCAAAATCTTGGCAGACCCAAAATCGCAAAGTTTTAAAACACCGGTCTCCGCATTAATTAGCAAGTTCTGTGGCTTGATGTCACGGTGACATATACCCTGGGTGTGGATATAATTCAACGCACGGAACATTTGATAAGTGTATAGTTTCACCTCTAATGCTGGCATTGACAAACGCTTAGACACGTAATAGTGTGAAGCCTTGTACAAAGTCTCTGGAACAAACTCCAAAATTAGGTTCAAATACAATTCATCTTTGTCGTTGTTTGTGTAGAAGTAGTACTTCAAATCTACAACATTCCTGTGGTGTACCAACTTCATAATCTGAAGTTCTCTATTTTTGAAACGCTTATCCTGAAGAACCCGCTTTATGGCGGCTATTTCATTGCTGGGCAATATCTGAGTCTGGGAGACGACACCGAAAGAGCCGTGACCAACGACTTGAGATTGGGTATATTGGATAGACTCAAGCTCACCTGTGCGCCCATTATTAACTGATTCAGTAACGATTTCTATTGGGGACATGTTAGTAAGCAATTAATTGTTGCAAATGGAAGGGATCAGATTCACCCGAAATACAGTTGTCTTGGATCCGACAAGCGAGATCCGAAGCAACCAAGAGCACTGAATTGAAGGAAAGAGTGAGGAACGATTAGCAAGCGGCGGCCAAAAGATATCCTGTAGTCAGCGATGGTGAGAACTGAGGTGAGTTTGAAACAAAGGACTTCGGGCGCCTGACAATAAAAGTATGCTGAGTATGTTTAAAACTGATGAGCAGTGATACTGGTCTGTTTCTTCCCAGTGTGAGGAAAACTCAAAGCAATTGGGGATGAAGCTCGTGAGGAAAAATGGTTTCATCAGAGGGAATGTGGAGATCGCGAGGAAAACATATGGCGGCGGTCACGCAGGAAAGTTGTGCGCACCACGACTTAGAGTATAGCAGCCATACCTGACCGTAATTGCTTCGCAAATAGCAATTGCAATCAACCTTTTGAAAAGCCTATCTGGCGACAAGAGCCAAGCCTTCCATTTCCTCCTCCGCTCGACTGTTTTAGCTTTGGAATAATGCGGTCACATGTGATGGGACGAATAGTCTGGGTCGATCAATCTCGTTCTATGCGCTAACATGGTCCAGGATCGAAAACAACTGACCAATCTCTGTGCAGACTTCCGTGAGCCCCACTTTGTCATTGCGCGTCCAGAATTTTCGCCCCAGTTCTATTCCGCGAAAACGATATTACCCCACACCGCTCGCTGTCAGCTTTAAATTACTTAGTGACATAACCATCAGCAGTTTACTGTCTTCCGGCTGCAAATATTGCAATTTGACAGTTTTTTTTACCGCCGGGCAAGCTTAGCATATGTGATACGCCAAAGGTTAGGTAATGACGTGATGTGCACTTCTGGCAACTCACATTTCATAGGGTAGCCCCACAGTTCGAAGCCTTCGTGCATGCCATCTCAGCCTGCTTAACAATAGACATGGGCAACCGTTTTTTCTGTAAATCCCCGAAAATGATAAATCTCTCTCCGGGACAGGTAAAATGCCCCACCCAACCAATTTTGAAAAAAAAAAAAAAAATACGTACCTAGATTTGTGGTCCTTCTTCTTACTTTCCCCTCGTAACTTAGTAATAGATTGTTTCTGACGTCCCGTTTGCTGGTCATGCGAGATTTCGTTTGATCAAATGACTTCGCTCTATTCAAATTTACGCTTTTGCTCTTGAGATTGCTCAATATCAAGCCCTTCATTCTGTGAGACAAGGAGAGTCTGTTTCCACGTTGATGATCAAGGCCCGCGGTGGCACTTCTGCCAATTTCCCGAGCCTGTTCTTGGTGCGGCAAACTCGCTACAAGCGATAATTGAGAAGACTCGAAAGAGGACTTGCATATCAAGCTTTTGGTTGTATTGGAAGCTTTTCCTGTAACATTCACCGGGGGCTGAACATGAGTCTTGCTGCATGTGATGGATGTGCCATCAGCCGGGTGAATTGAGACCAAGGAATCTCTTCCGGGTGCATGGCATTTCATCGGGACATAATCCCCTAAAAAGCAGCCAGGCTCTCTTTTCTTTGCCACCAAATTTTGGGAGGGAAGCTGTGGGATGGATGTTGGTTCATCAAGATTCCCCAAGCAATGACTTTTACACCTTGCTGTCAGGGCTTTATTTCGGTGAATATACTCAGACTCCTTTTTCAAACCAGATCTAAGCTCTACCACGTTCTTGCTACCTAGCTGCAAGTGAGTTTTTACGCCCCCCTCAATTTTCGATCCAGAGGCTCGCTTTGCAGCTGCGGGCAACTTGGCGATGTTCGGGCCAAAAGCCTTCGCGTAAATCGGCGTATCATGGATCATTAATTTTATTTGCGATTTTGAGTATTCACAATTCTGGATTATCCGAGGACGACTGTGCCAAATTTGGTACTTGTTCCCCAACTCCTCATAGTTCAACTGCCGACTTTCTGGGATGTTATCTGGTGTGTGTCTGGGCAGCAGCGTGTGAGCCTCAGGTACAGGTTTTGATACGGTTTTGTTGGCATAAGCAAACATTTTCATTCTGCTAATGCTAATTTCTACCACCCGAAGAAAAGTACATCGAAAGTCCACTATGGAATCTGGTGCTTGGAAGGCAATGCGACATGCGGAGAAGGCGGGCAGAGGTGTCACGCGAAAAGGCAGTGTCGCCACGCGTCTCAACGCATGAAATCCGGGGTGAGGCATGCATGTTTGCTAATTTACAAGCTCCGAATTCTGAGCTCGTCGTAAGTGGGGACGCTTACTGAAGAAGAAAAGACAGAGTTGCAACAAATAAAAATTGGAAAAGCAAAAACCAACCAAGCAAAGCCAAAGATGTAAGATCAAAATATATGGCCATAACTGGGAACATGCTTTTGGAAAAATATAGCATGCTACTCGGCTCGGTTCCCCCGATCAGAATCCAAGCTAATGATTTCTCGCTTATCATACCGCGTAAGACCTTCGAATAATTGAGTGATACGCGCATTTTCACATCTCGGCAAAAGCTCTCTGGTCGGTTTTCGATCATATTTTGTAAAGTTGAAGTCCACAAAATGGTACCATGGATCGGCAAGTGCCGGCCAGTACAATTCGCTATTCTTGTCAGCCACTGTAGGTGTCCCAAAAGCCTCGAAAGTTCCCTGAAGTAGCACGAAATCATTGAGTTCAGGGGCCCGCTCGTTGTCATTTTGCTGAGCTACTCTATTCGCCGGCTCGCCATCACGGGAATACAAGCATGAGATCAAAATTCCCAATGACCAAAGATCAACCTCGCTCCCGTAGTCACACACCGCGAAACATAGTTCTGGCGCTTTGTAATACCCCGTTGCGATATCCGTAAATTTTTGGTCGAGGGGTTCCTCCAAAGAAGGGCTCATGACATTGTATGAAATGCCAAAGTCACCGAGAATGGGATTTTCTAAATCTTCAAGGCTCCTAAAAAATACATTCGACGGCTTAATGTCACGATGAATGATTCCCTGCTGGTGCACGTATTGGACTGCGTCAGCTAGACCCCACACAATAGCATTAGCGGAATCGAGCGGAAAAACACTTGTGGAAGCCACTTCCGTATTCAAGGGATTCTCAAGATTGAACTTCATCCGCTTCTTAGTGAAGTGCTTCATGACGTCTGCTAGAGTTTTCTCGTAAAAGGGCATCACTAGATAATGATCCTCGCCCAAAGCATAAGTATCAAGAAACTGAGCGATGTTTCGGTGGTGTAAACTTTTGATGATCTTGATCTCATTCCTGAAATCGTGGGGCTTCCTGATGAAGTCAAGATCGACCACTTTGAGAGCCACGGCTGCTCCCGTCTCGCTCTCGCCTCTATAGACATCGCAAAACGGCCCACTATATACTGAGTCTAGCTTCTTGTACATTCGAGGATTATAGAAAACTGATTTCCTTGGGGTGGTAATTAGCTGTTTTCGTCGGAATGTTGCATCAGATGTTCTTAGATTCATTTTCTCATTTGATGTACACTGCCGCACTTTCCGTGCAACAACAATGTGGTGCACTACACAGCATGGCCATTGAAATTCGAATCGTTTCGACCAATAAGAAGAAGGCCCTTTTTAGATGTGATTCTTATATTGAATGTTTTATTTTCATGGACATGATAGAGGATTTGTGTTTGTGGCCTACTTAACAGCTTCCAAGGTCTGATTTCTTAGTCTATTGTACACTTTGTGAGGCGTCACAGTGCTATAATGGAGGGAGTTAACGCCAAACGCACGTTCAGAGCATCTACATTATTTTATATAGTATAAATTCAAGATCAGTGATTTAAAGAGTCTATTCATCTATGTCTTTTCCTTATTCCCTCATCCAAACCGTGTCTCTTGGTTGCACCTGTGTTGGTGCTATGAGATGTGATATCAATATCATCGGTGTATATTCTCCTCCTGGGGTACTTTACACTTAAGCCCTCAAAAGCGTTCTCGCACACTTTTGGCTCCTCTAAAAAATACGGATGCACCATGGCGTCATCCGCAGAAACCCGGAGACTTGGATCGTACTGGAAAAGCTCTTTGAGTAACGCAAGACACTCTTTGTTTTTCCCTCCGATAACCTTGTACCAATTTTCCAAATTCGGCGAGTACAAAGTCGAGGTATTTTGACAAAAGTTTTGCTTGAAGGCCTGATAGTCCGGATATTTTTGGATGGTAGGCCAAACCTGCGGCGTGGGAGTGCCCAATATTTCAAATATCTTCTGGAGCTGACTGCGCTGAAATGGAATCGACTTTTTGTTCGCAAGATCTATCTTAGCTTCCTCACCCTTGAAAATCGGCCTGAGCGAGAGCAACTCTGCCAAAATACACCCAACAGCCCATAAGTCTATGGCGGGCGTATAATATCGAGTCCCAAAAAGCAATTCCGGGGCCCTATACCAGATTGTAACGACAACCTTATCACCCGTGTATAGACTTTGTAGCGGATTGTTGAATTTTCTCGCTAAGCCCAAGTCTCCAATTTTTACGACACCGTCACTGGATACCATGATATTCGCAGGCTTGAGGTCTCGGTGAAAAATCCAGTTCTTATGTAGAAAAGTAACGCCATTTAGCACCTGCCATATAAGAGACTTGACAGTTCTTTCTGGGATAAGCTTGATGTCAGGATGGGAATGTGAATGTATGATCTGAAGCAAGTCATGTTCGAAAAACTCGAAAACCATGTAGATCGACTTGTTCTCTAGAATAATCTCCATGAGCTTTGTGAGATTCTTGTGCGCAAGTTCTCTACACAACGACATTTCTCTGATGGCTGATTGCGAGATGCCCGTGTAGAACACGATTTCATTCCCGTTGATGTCGTGTCCGTTGAGGCCGTTGGCCATGGGCTTACTCGACAGATGATTGTCGGTCTTGAACTTCTTAATGGCAAATAACTGGACCTCCTCGGAGCTTGTGCTTTCGGAATTTGGATTGAATTTGGGCGGCTCGGGAACATCGGCATGCTCTCCTTCAGTTGTGTCTGACTTCGAAAGCACTTTTGAACGAGCTTTATATACTTTACCATACGTCCCGGCCGCGATATAGCCTATGATCAGATATTTCAGAAGCACCAGCTGTCGACTTAGATCCTTTCTGTGTCTATATGGACCTATTGTTAAAATCAGCGATGAAGCCATCATTGTCGGCTGAGGAGGCAGCATATTCGCCAATGTATATGGTGCCATTGTTGAATATCTGCGCAGGTTGTGCAAAGCGTTAGAGCTTCTGCGGTGACCTTCGGTATCGCACATGACGGTGAGGCCCATGCGGCCCCAACATCCCAGTATCGGATTTTGCAGCGCCACGTGATACTCTATACGAAATAAAATCAGTTGGAATTTACAGAAAAGGTATCGAATTAGTCTTAGTTTATTTTACAGGTTGAAGCAAAAGCTAGAAGGATGTCTTGATTTCACAGGGTTCTCTGCAGTCCGTTTGGCGATGAATCAGCATCACTTGTCTTCAATGTAGACCCTGTCGTCAGATTTGCCCTCGAGCTCTCCACGAATGATCTCCATCTTTCTTGTTTGTTCTTTCCACAACTTCTCGTCTTCAGTTTTCTCGGTTTTGACAAAAAACGAATCGTCTGGGCGTCTATAGGAATTCCCCAATCTGTCCCACAATGTTGTGAACTGCCCGTAGTTATAATTGAAGTATAAGTGATGAACCGTGTGACAGGCAGTTCCGTTTACTATAGGGTCGTTAGACCAGTAGCTGCCATCGTGGATCATGACAGTCCAGAAATTGACGAACGTGAACAAAAACAAGTACGAAACCTTGTTCAAAGGGAAGAGCAATGGATAGATGTGATAAGGCAAAGACTGGGCCCAGCCATCCACAGGATGGAAAGCATGCGAGGCAAATGGGGTACACACAATCCACTTGTGGTGGGGCTTATGTAGTCTCTTGTATATGGAAGGCCAGTGCAAGATGCGGTGGATAAAGTAGATACCACAGTCCGTGAAGAGAATGAAGGCGGGAAACTGGAACAAAACCGATTTCCAGCCGCCCGTAGACTCGTCCACGTTGAGATACAAGCGCGAATACCCGTTCAACTCCATCAAGAAAAACGGAGCTGTAAGCAACACCATGATAGGGATTGCAGTGAAGGCACGCCAGATCTCCAACGACATCTGGTTCTTCAAGTATCTGGGATGGTTGAAGATCTTCTTGTCAAAAACAAACACATAAGATAAGGATGCAACTAGGAAGTAAAGGATCCAGCCGAAAATCACGGTGATGATTTCGATCGTGATGAACTCACGTAACAAATTGCTCCTGCCGAGGAAAGACTGGTCAGCGTATTCGGTCACGTCAAACATCAAGGGTGGTGACTGCCCATACACATCGTTCTTGTTCTGTAGCGACTGTACAGCATTGAGAAGATATGTGAGTGGTGCCGGCAAGCCTGTTGAGCCAGAAATGGCAGTGGTATTTGCAAGCGAGTTCCCGGGAAAAGTTTCGCCCACCCAGCGGGCAACGGCCCCATCTTTGGGAAGTAGCTGGGCGTATGCCTTGTCGAAGTAGAACGTATCGGCAATTTCAAGAACGATATCCATATTTGGTGTGGTTTATATGACTACTTGGCAGAGTTAATCAAAACCAAGGTGAGCGTACAGGCGCAGGAAGACCGGTGGCTAACGAACGATTCCGACTTTAAAGGTGAACCTAGAGTTTGAAAAAAAGCACTGGTTCCAGTCTTGGGGTGAAAGGCCCTGTTTTGTCTTAACTGGATGAAACTTCTGGCGTCGAAGAGCACAACGTTGATATTCCGCAGTCGGATGGATTGTTTTCCTCTGCTTGTTTTTTCCATCTTCTATATATCCGATATATAATGCGACGTTCGTATAGAAACGCAGGCGCGCTAAACGAATAAACGACGATAGCCCGGGCCGGTCAGGCCACTGGGTCCGCGGAGATCCGTGTGCGGCGATGCCGTCGCCACTGGCAGAGAGAAAGTGACGTATTAGTTCAGAATCAAGTCACTATTCCGGGGGACATTGAGGAGGGTAATTCTTTGAAACTTTCCTTGATCTGAAACCCATTGTGGCTTCATCCATAGACACTTTATTTCCAGCACACAAGAGATTGAAATCGTCTGATTACTGCGACAGTGGCCACCATACAGAAAGTGGACCCATATATCGCGTTCTTGAATCAAGACGTACGTATATGCTCGTACAACGAAATGGTCTTCACATATCGCTTACTGTTGCCGTAGTTCCAAGTATGTTAAGTTTGGTTGGCATTTGACTGCCGACCGAGAAGGGCCAAGGTCGCCGCCTCCCAGCATTGGCCCTCGCTTCCTCCGCAGCAGCCCGAATGAGCCTAATAAAAGCCCGAATGAGCCTAATGAAAGCTAGAATGAGCCTAATGAAAGCTAGAATGAGCCTAATAAAAGCGTAATATTTCTAAATCAATATATACAGTGAAATTCTAAGCCTTTTGGTTTCCTCTTCGATGAACACAACCATAACCCCAAAAACAAAAAAAAAGAAGTGAGAAAATATTAGCAGTGAAAAGAATGTATAAATAACCGTTTTGTAGAAAGCAATGCCAGAAGCCGCCAAACACATTACATGTTTGTGATGGCAAAGAGTCGAGAAGAATAATGTCGATCCCAGAAAGAAATTAAAATGCAGTTTGTTGTATGATATGGCCAAGCGCTGGAGGAGTGGCAGGGCGTGGAACCGTGGCCACACCTCACGAAGGAGGCGCTTGGTTGATCTTTTCGAAGTTGATGGCATTCAATATCTCCTTGCCGCCAAGCTCTGTGAGCTTGTGCGCCATTTCCTCTCCTGCCTTCTCGGCGTCACTCTTGCTTCGGACAATAGCTCTCACCTCAGCCTCGACAGATTCTGTACCATCTGGGCTAACGATTATGCCTTTGAAGAAAAGCTCCTCCGTTTCGTCGTCGTATATCGTTTGCACGCCCAAGGGCACCGAGCACCCACCTTCCAACAACTTCATCATCGTCCGCTCTGCTGTGCAGCAAAAGGCTGTCGGGCGATGTTCCAAGTGGGAGAGGAGGGGTTTCATGAACAGACACTCTCTTCTGATCTCGATGCCGAGCGCTCCCTGTCCAACAGCATAGTACATGTCGGGGGCGTCCAACAGACACGTGATTCTCTCGGCCAACCCTTCACGGATAAGCCCGGCCGCTGCCAACACAATACACGCATAAGGAGACTCCGGGTCATCCAACTTCGCCAAGCGCGTAGCAAGATTGCCTCGCACATCGTGGAAGTTGAGGTGGGGGCAGGATTTGAGGAGCTGAGCCTGTCTTCTCAAAGACGAAGTTCCCACGACAGAGCCCTGCGGCAAGTCACGGAGCAGTTTGTAGGGCGATCCTTTCTTCATGACAAGAACGTCTCGTGGGTCCTCTCGTTCCAAAATACACCCCAACTCAAACTCATCGGGCAAGTATGTGGGCATGTCTTTCAAGGAGTGTACAATCAAGTCTAGCTGGGGAAAGTCGCCGATAGGTTCCATCAAAAGCGCCTCGAGTTCTTTCGTCCACAACGACTTTCCGCCAAACGAATAGAGCGGTTTCAGCTGCACCTTGTCCCCCAACGTACTGAGAGCCAAGACCGAGCAGGAGAGATGTGGAAATGCGTCCTCGATCTGCTGCTTGACAAGCTTCAGCTGGATGACAGCCAACTTGGACTTCCTGCCTCCGATTTGCACATGATTGTCGGGGACTTCAATCTGGGTCATAGTGTTGTGGGGCATCAGGACAAATTTAGTGATGGCTGGGGAAGAAGAAGGTGGGCAGCAGAGTCCAGAAATAGTGGATACAGGGTTTCCTAGAGATCAACAGGGCGGCTGTTGGTGTGTTCTGAGAGCGTGGTGACTTTTTTTCGCTTGGGAAGTCTCAGATTACTTTTTTTTTTTTTGCTTTTTTCGGCCTATGAGAGCGACAGGAATAAAAACGCTCTAGTGAATTGCGGCAAGTAAGGGCAAACAAGCAGGCTTCTGAATTGCGGTGGAGCGGAACACGAATACCAATATGGATATACAGCAGAATTTGACAAGACCCAAATAACCAAAAACCTTGTTGGAGGCACAGTCAGCTTTAGGAATGTACTTGATCAGAAAATACCGAGGCCCAGCCGGCACCGTACTCTCCACTCCATTATATAAAGGTGCGGGTCGGGCACTGGCTCGTCATGCAGCACTCAAAGCGCCAGTCGCGGGAAGCGGGATTCAGCTCACCGTTCTGGTCGCACCTTGCTTTTTTCAAAGCCTGCTTTCCGCGCGCGTATTCCTCAAATGGGCGTTGAATTATTAATCAGCTATGCAGGCCGAGGCCCGACCGGGCTTTCGGGCGCCTCGCTTCGCCCGCTGATTGGCGTTCAGCCCATTCCCTCTTTTGTGCAGATTCTCGCAAGCCTGGATCGGCTCATATGGCTAACGTAGGCAGGGTACAGTGCAGAGCCTAGAGTGCCAGTTGGTTAGGACACCATATTACTCAGCCATTCATTCACTGTGGCTCGACTATGCGGAAAACCTGGAGACGCAAAGTCTTCATTCCCGGCGTGCTCTGCACATTAATTTAGCTCTTTTCTGTGTCTGATTCGATATCTATGTTCATGATTATCGACACGCGCTTATTCTTTTTCCGTATCGGGTTAAGATTTACCTCGAGCCATGGCTCAAGTGATCTCTGAGTCGCACCCAAACAAGCTCCTCCACGCGGCTGTGCCGGCACACGTCCGAGTCGCCAGAGCTATCGAACGACCTTTCAGAGCTTTCAAGGGCAAGCCTTTCGGATTTTCGTACTCGTTATGCTGCTCGGTATCGAAATTCTGTGGCATTTTTTATGATGGCATCCAAACATCCTTAAACAGATCAGAGCCTTTCTGTGAGAAAGAAACTGAAAGCTTGTCACGTAGAATGAGCTCTCACAACTATCGTTGCGCTTCCAAATCAGGCACATCGCTGTTGCGGTCGTTGTCTCCCACGGTATCATAGTCTTCGTCCTCAAACATGTCATGTCCACTTGTCTCTCCATCACTCAATGATGTAAGGTCGGCATCGGCCTTGTTATGTCTGTACACTTTAGGATCATGCATCGCTTCATGCTTAGATCTTCCCCTCGAGCCAACAAGCTGCAAAACCATATCTTCCAAGTCCTGTAATTTAAGCATTAACTTCTTTTCCATCTTCGTGTGCTTCTTTTCCACTTCCGTCTCACTTCTTATTCTCCTTGAACGCGATCCAGAAGTGTTTCGGACTCTGACAGAGCCATATCGCCTTCCCAAAAAATCATCCATAAACATCGAATCGAGCAGCCCACTTCTAAATCCCGCCATTGTGGCTTGGGATTGTTGCGGCCAAAGCCTTCTCGAAACCCTTTTCTTGCGCGAGACCGCGTCTTGTTGCCCTGAGGTCGAACGCGCAAACATAATATTGGCATCCCCACCAGACGTCATTTTGGAATCTATCTGAGAGCCTCTTCGGGATGACAACCTCAATGAGCTGATTTCCTCTTCATTCGTGAGAGTGCCGAGCAAAAATGCATCTTCGTCTTCATACAAATCGTCTTCTCGGTTAAGAAAGGTGAAATGTTTGAGATCCTTCCGTTGCTTCTGTAAGAGTCTCTTGTTGTCCTTGATAAGAATTTCGTAGAAGTAAATGATGAGTATGATCGGAAACTTTGAGACGGACACGAAAAAATCAAAAACACGTGTTAGCTTGCTTTCGGTGTCCCCGAACAGCTTGAAACTAGCCCATTTCAAATAAATGATTAGGTTTGTGGTTTTCAAGTATTCAAATTCTTCTTTGTTTGACTCGCTTACCTTGGCAAAGACATTACTCAAGACAATAGCAAGGATCGTTGCGAACACAAATTGAATTAAAGAAAGATATGACAACTGCAAAACTCTTCCCAAGTTGTCGAACCTTTCCCAATTGTCCCATACTGCAGGAGTAAACCCAAAAAACAACTTCACCATTGCAAATGCCACCTCATATGTTGACATATCAATTGTCAAGCTGATGAAACACAAAAAAAAGCCAAAGATCAAAGAAGTGAATAAACATGATAATGCGATGACATTCCATGTCATTTTCTTTAAAGAAACAATTATCATGTTGAAGAATTCGTAGTTGTTGAAAACCGAGAGCATCCTGGGAAACAACAAAATAGAGATCAAACTGAAACAGTTGAAGTATGTTTGAGAGTGAATCTTTCCAAAACCAAGTAAAAGTCTCATGAAAAAAGATACGTCAATAAGTGTAACGATCAAAATGTCAATGTATGTCCAGATGACTTTCTTCAAGTATTTGAATTCGATGTGAAGCAACTTAATAATCACATCGAAATTGAAACTCAAAGCTACGACCCAAAACAAGGTTCCCAAGTACCCTGAAGATTGTCTATACTTATGTCTGAACACAAGAATCAAAAAGAGGATCGTCAAGAACTCATACTTTAAATTTATGACCAAGGACTGGTATTTTGGTACAACATTCGACCGAACAAATACTTTCTTGATGGTGATTTGATTGAACTTGTAATTGACGATACTTCCTTCGTAAACGTCACCACTCACTAACACTGGAGATTCGTCTTCAGGTTGGCCATTTTCAAAATCATGCTCAGATCCCTTCTTTGGTAATAAAAAAGATTCTTCGAAGGCACGATCTGTTGAGGATGATGAGACAGGCTTCCGTAGCAAATTGTTCAGCTTTGTCGCGTTCTTGTCTTTCATTATGAGCTCGCCATTGTAGATACGGTCTAGAATACCTATTATGACAGGCTGCACCAAAAACTTTTTTGACTTAGATAGGATCGAGAGTTCCAAGGTATTGAAACTATCTAGATGTTTCGTGTGCTTGAGTTGGACATGCTCTTCGTGATGTGCCATTGGGTTTATAAATAGAAGATTAATTCTTTCGTTCGAATTATATTCTCGTAGAATTCTTATAGCCAAGAATTCACATATGGTTGATTTTGTAATTAGAAGATCATACATTATTAGGTGGTTTTCGGACTGAATCATATACTCATACCTCAAGAGCAAGAGAACGTATATCACACACGGAGAAAGTCTTGAGGTCATAAGCTCATTAGCCGGAAATGATGGGAATCCGATAGGTCCAAAAAGTGGCGTTTCAAACGAAGATATGCCGGGCGTTGTTGCCAAGTGGTTGCTAAAGGCAGTTTTGAGTGATTGAGTACTGCTTAATTCAACAATATATGAGACCAACGGCTTTATCAATGACAGCCTTAGTTCGGGGGTTTTTAGTTGCTCATATCTAAAGCTTAAGACAACATTCCTATTGATTTGCTCTTGAATCTGGAAATATAGATACTTGAACTCGATATATCGATATCTGCTTTTCTGATAAACATGCAGCTTGCCTGACGAATCCACATCGTGTCCTTGTACTGTACAGAACCCCCTGAGTCTATTGAACATGTTTGACATAAGCCAAGCTGCCAATTCTGTTTGAAAGACAATAAGGTCGACTTAGTCTGAAGTTTTCATGATAAAGTATGATCCGGTATCGTGTAAACAATCGTAAGAGTCTCCCCGCGCTTTGGGTCTTGGATGCATGAATCATCTGAATGCAGTACTCCATCTTCTAAAAGAGTATAGTGAACGTCAGAGACTAAATTGAAGATCGGTGTCCTCGCTACGAGACTATCGCGTGAATTGTGTAAACACCAAAAGTATAACTTTACTTGCAATTGGTATTTTGTTTCTAAGATTCAGGGGGCATTGTCTAATATTAGCACGAAGACGGGCTAATACCAACATAACTAAATGAGGCCTAGAAACTGACGATAGAACCAAGCATTTGATGTAGAGATCATCGAATCTCATGATTAATGAAATTAAACGCTTTGTTTCCGTTTTCTGTTCCCAACAAGTCTATAAGCTCCTCTCTCAGAAGACAGACTAATTCTATCATATTCCGTACTTTCTGTATGACCGAAATGTAATTGGTATTATTGATTCCCGGAATCGTCTGTAACACATCAACAGCATCATCATTAAAGTTAGGAGGCCCCTCTTCTGTGGCAATTGAAGGATTCACGCCTTTAGAAAGTGCCTCCTCTATGTTTGGCTCTTCTTGAGCAGCCTTTAGTTCCAAAAATATTTGGGCGCTTTCGTACGGCGAGGAGGACCAAATCACCTTGAGTTTCGGAAAAGACACAAGAAGTTCAGCAATTTTCAGTTGTATTTCTTTATTTTGAATCATTGTCCCTTGAGCTCCGCTTGTCTTTTGTCCAGGGGGTCTAACATCAGAAAAAGGCTTGAATGAAAATGATTTGGACTCATCGAACTCGATGAGAAGGCAAGGTAGCTCATAATGGCGAAACATTTGTTCACATTGCAGGAACAAGCGTCCACTTTTGAAGCTTCCAATCAAATCTGGAATAGATTTTCTCTCCACACAAATTTTGGGTGAGATAATATAGTCTCCAACAGTCAACATGCATGGAATCACCTTGATTCCGGCACGGTACGATAAGTTTGGCAATGAAGATGAGAACTCTCTAGTATCGACTATAATTCTCATTTCGTCATCCTCCGTTCTAAATTCAGCCCCACCAGCAATTCGTGTGTTCACCACATGGGGTTTTTGTATACGAAATTTCCAATTGTCTTTTTCTGTCTGAAACTGCTTTCCCAAAGTTGCTTTCTCTTTTATAAGTCTGGTGAAAGCTTGCTTTTCCATCCTTATTTTTAATAGATGATATTGTTCCTCGACCGATGTTCCGTAGTACATGAAGAACACTTTGGCAGGAGAGGCGGGATTCATAGCTTGATATATTTCAACCCGACGAATAAACGTAAGGTCAGGTTCATACATGATCACATATGAAGGATTGAGCTCTTGAAGTAGAAACTCATTTGTTGAGTCATTGTATGTCTCAACAATCACTTGATTGAACTTCTCGGTATGCTTTAAATCAAACTGAATAGAATTCTCTTCCTCAATAAAAAGTCCATGATTATCTTCCTCGTTCAGTTCACTGGCAATTTCTTGAACTTCTGGTTCGTCGTGTGAATCACTTCCAGCTTCACCTTCAAGAGATTTAATGATATTTTCATCTAGATCAACTGCTCCTGAGGTTCGATCAAAATTAGACCCAGAATAAAACCTCGAGACATTCGCCACAGCAGAAGCACCTCTAGTTCTCCTGCGTTTGCTTTGAGGGGCATTTTTTCCTCTTGTGAAGGATTTTGATGTGTTTAGTTTCTCTTCCTCTTGCTCTTGGGATTCTTCCTGGCCCTCCTCTTTTGCATTAAGCTTTATGGCAACTTCTTTCGTGAGTGATGTTAATGCCTTCCAGTCAAGGTAGTCTCTTAATTTGCCAATCATAAAGCTTCGAGCAGTATACCTTCTTCTGCCTGTTATTGGATTCACACGCATTTTAGTACAAGCTAAAACATTAGAGAGCTGGCGGGCAATTTTGTCATTTGAGCACATAATTAATATGGGCCCTTCAGTCTTCAGTGGATCTATGGATCTTTCATGCATGATATCATCAATCACAAGGGACAATTGTTCCCATTTAGGTTGCTCCTCTAGGTTGTATACCAAGTCAGTAGATGCGGCATCTTCGGCGGTTGACTTCAAATCTACCGTTGCTATTTTGAGGGACACTTTACCTAGAGCTCTTTCTTTTGAGTACGCAATTATAGTTGTCGCCTCATCCATCATTAGCCAAGGGCTCGTTGTAGTTGTCGCCATTGTGCCAATGCTTGAGCTTTTGATATTAGCATCTATAATACCCTGAACCCTTTGATAGTATGTGAGAGAGTCGGCCGATAAAAGCTCAGCTAAAAGGTCTTTGAGTGTGGCAAGATCGGACACCAATTGCTTAGATGTCCAAGAGACACGATGCCATTGTGGTTCGAGAGATAATCTCACTCTCATAACGAAATCTTTATCATGCACATTCTCCATATCCCAGTAGTCAGTCTCTAAGATTGGATTATGCCTCCTCAATTCACTCAAGCAGGCTTGAAGGCATGAAAGTATAGCTGATTGTATCTTTTTCATCTTCGGGGAGAGACCCACGCTGATTTCTGTCACAAGTCCTTGGTTTGCACCTGAAAACTTAAGCAACAGCAGGGAAACTTCCACATGGAATCTCGGCCATAAAAATACATTGGGGAGTCTCAAAATCTTCAACTTGGTACTAAGCGGTGTAAAGCCCGTGAACGACTCTGGCTCATCCGAAACTGCCTTCAAAAAACCCCAGTTGTTGCCATCTCTATAGAGATTTAGAATTAAAGATTCATTTGAAGTTTCTTTTACACGCTCTGCGTGCATCAAAAAGATACCAGTGATATCCTCTGGACGTATTATTCCAGATAGAAGGTCGACAACTAGTATTCTGGAACTTATGAATATGACTCCACCTTCCTCATACACCGCTCTTCTTTTCGTTGTGTTGGCCAAATCAGAGCTACCCACTACTCTCAATGGAGTTGTCCAGTCATCATCGAATTCAGAGGTCTCGTCAGGATTGCAAGACTCGTTCATCCATTTCAATTCCATTAAAATGTCGTTTAATTTAACTTGCTCCTCGGGTCGGGCATTGAGAAGTATCACCAAGCTCTTTTTCCGACGAATCAAATTTCCATGTTCAAGAGATACGGATGGTGTGCTCAATGCATAAAGAACATTTGCGGTTACGACTTCACATCCAAGGCCCCGTCCTAATATTAGAAGACAGTCCTTAGATAGAAGTGTCTCAGCAATTTCCTGATAGAACCTGAGAGGCAAGTTGCAGCAAACTTCCTTGGATTTGTAGACTGCTATTGATTCTGGCTCTTTAGACACAACTACAGGAAAAGAAGTTTCGGTCTCGTTCTGATGGTTCTGTGAGTCATAATGCTGTTGTGTTCGCTCGACAGAAATTTCAATTGGCGGGAGTTCCAGCTGTTCGATAGTTTCAGCGACATCGGTAGTTCCTGGCTCTTCCGCTTTTTGAATTTCTGATGTACTCAAGTATGAAGTGGCGATCTTATCGTCGTATTCTTCATCTTCCGAAACAAAAAGAGACGACATTATAGAGCCAGATGGTGACAGCAATACTTTTATGAATCTATTATTTGCATATACTCAATTTTAGTAAGCGGCCTACCCTAGGCTTTGGACAGCTTTTATTCTCGAAAGGTATTATACTTGCGCCCCACAGCACGTATTCGATGTGCGCGTACACGTACATATTGTTTGTATTTCTGCTTGAGTACAGGATATTCCAACTCAATGTCCTGTCCACAAGTGGTTCCCAACTGGTACAGTTGAGATATCGGATTCGACATGATGTACTAGCGTGTGGAAATAAACCTTTATTTAGGAAAAACTAAAACCACTTTTGTGTCAACTGACCTTCTAAAAAGATCTCTAGAGGGAATTCTCTTCCCTTTATATACTTGTCGTGCTATTTGGTTTCGGGTAAGTGGTGGGAACTTTAATGTCTCATTTGTCACATGATTAATTAGGGCTAAGCGTCTAGTTCTCACACATATCGCCATCCTCCCCAAGCAATATGCATTGCATATTGCAACTAGCTCAATCATATCAAGTAGACTCGGACTATCTATTTGACATGAAATTGTTCATAGTCTCACCAAAAACCAACTTATTTTAGCGAAAGCAAACTCCTAGTGATATGGCTCCGTAGTCAAAATCTTTCATAATTAAACGATTTTGCTAGAGATTTCCAGGCTTCCCCAGTAGATCACGTGTGCTGTCCATGCCATGTGATGGCAGCTTCCAAAGTGACATCTCAAAACTAATTCCATCCACTTTCATAAGGCTCTCTAAGAAGTGAACTCTACAAAAATCATTAGCAGCCGAGTATTATCGAAGATCACTCAAACAAATAGCTCAAGCATACTGTGTTGCCAGTCGCGGAGACAAACGCGTTTTATGAGCCGCGCTTTGTTACCGTCAGCGTTCAAAAATAAATTTCGACATCAAACACTAAATTACGCATGAACCAAGAAAAATCTGCTGATGTTGCCAGTGGAATCACCCAATACTTTGGGCTGCCGGAGGCAGAATTGAAGGAGCCCCTAGTGTGTCACGTTATGCAAATTCTCAACATATCAGAATCAAAAGAGAAAGCTCTTGAGGAATGGAGATATTATCAGAACCCAAACACAGCGCCTTTCGAGAGGATGGAGCACGTCTACCGACCTATTATCTACGGGATAGACTTGGAGACCCCTGAGCCTGAACAAAAAGCGCGTTCCGTAAAAGCCACGTATAAGCTCCTTCTACGGGACTGCTTTGGGAACTACTTCTATGCAATAGAGCTAGAAGAACTACCTTTTCTACGCCCAGGCACCAACACAACTAAAACGCCTCTACCCATCCCCCTTGGTGGCTGCATCACTCTCGGAAAAGGAACCCTCATAGCCGATGGATTTGTATTGATGAAGAAGCACCTTTGTACGTATCAGGAACCAGACCCCTTCTCAGAATTGACAAAGTCACTAAATGAGAATTTGGTTGGAAAAAATATCGAGATGATTGAGCATTTACTCAACGACCTAAAGTAGTCGTGTGTCTCACATGATCAGAATAAAACTGTGTCACTTTCCTAGAAGCCATTTGATTTTTAAAGCTTCCAATTCATCCTGACATCTAGTCACTCTGTTAGCAACAGTGTCCATAATCCAAGTTCATCTGTGAAATCGTGGTAGATCATGCTTATCAAGTAATAATTCTCATAGATAGATTGCAAAAGCTCGTAAGCTTTAGTGTCTCTTTTATAGCACCTTGCCCATTCGACCCACAAAAGAAAAGCCTCCTCGTTCCATGCTTTGAAAGATTCATAATCAATAATCGTGGGCTGCAACACTTCAGTCGAGGGGAACACACCCCAAGTGATCGCGGTTTTACTATTCTGATTGTTGCCCCCAATTGGCAAGTTCGACGTGATGTTGCCTGAACTGTCGCCGCGGAAGAACGTCACTGTTTTGTCCTGGATTTGTTGACTCAATTTAGAAGAGAGCTTCTCATCCCACTCTTTCTTCGGAATAAAAAATTCAACAAAAGCTTTTTGAAACAAGAAACCGTTGGAGGGACCCCAACCAAGTATTCTATCAGCTGAAGGGCATCCATTTACAGCTGGCTGTGAGGCCAATGTGAACCACCCACGCTGATTCAACTCGAACAATTCCTCTTGAATCAAAGCAGTTTCGGAAGACATTTCTGTATCCACCCATGGCAAGATATCAATTTTACCAGACAAATACTCCATGAAAAGTTTAGAGATTTCTTTTGTTGTTTCAGGCGTACCCCAGGTCTGGACAATTTGCTCGGCAGTGTGTAGCTTCAAGTTAGGCCCGTATCCATCAATCTCTCCGTAAGCCGGTGAGTTGGAGTCACCAAACCGTCCATTTGGAAACTCGTCCCATGTAGCATCTTTGCCCAAGACGCCCTTTCCAGTACTAATGTCAATGAGTGTCCTTCGGTCCTTTAAAAGGGCATCAGATATCAAGGCAAGTCTTCCGTCTTCGGCCGTCAAGCTCCTACGAGCTTTGCGAGTCGTGACCCTTACGGGCTCTTCTGTGTCTGAATCTGATCCTACTGCATCCTCGTGGTCAACCACTTCGTTGTGGTCGACTAGATTCAAAAGCGGTGACCTCTCAATAATAAAAGCAACCGCTTTTTCCAAATTGAGAGTGTAGAAATGATAACCCCGTACTCTGCCCTCGGTCTTACGGTCCACCTCAGATATGATTTTGGTAAGAACGTCAATTCCAATAGACTTCACCATGTTGTCGTCGTTGCCTGGTGCCTCGAGTTTGTCAGTGATTTCTTGTGGCACCAGAGCATGCGACAACTTAGTAGCACGTACAAATACCTTATGGGTTGTGATGGGCATCAACCCGGGAATAAGAATCGCATTGGCAAGCTCAGGAACAGATTGTAACAAGTTTTCATACGCAACAAATTTGTCAACATCGAAAAAAAGCTGCGTCACGATAAAATCAGCACCAGCTTTTACCTTTTCGATGAGATATGGGAGATCTTTGCGGGGATTTTGTTGGGTCTCATTGGCCCCATCGACATGGCCTTCGGGGTAGCCTGCAACACCAATACAGAAGTAATCGCCATATTGCTCCTTAATGTATTTCACCAAATCAATAGCATTTTTGAAGTCACAGTTTGGTGTCCAGTATTCCTGTGTTCTGGGTGGGTCGCCACGAAGCGCCAAGATATTTCTTACTCCGGCTTCCTTGGCTCTTTCTAAAGCATTGTCGATGACCTCCTTGTTGGTGTTGGTACAAGTCAAATGAAGCACAGTAGTTACCCCAAGTTCCTTTTGACAGGTTGCAGCCAAATCCAACGACTTCTCACTAGTGGAACCCCCGGCACCCCAAGTGACAGTAAAAAAAAGTGGATTCAAGGCCATCATTCTGTGTAATCTTGCGAGCAAGTTTCTAAACCCAGTATCCGTTTTTGGCGGAAAAAATTCAAACAGGCAAAACCTCTCATTGGGCTTTAATTCTTTTATACGTTCGGTCACGGTCGCCATTTTAAAGTCGAGGAGTATCTTCAGAAGTTTGGGCTAGCTAAGAGTTGATGTTCCTAGCTCTTACGCATGAAGGTCATAAATCGCACTGACTCTGACGAGCAAGAAAAAAGGCCTCGCCTGAGGGCTTGACAGGTACATCATTTCATGACAATAAAAATATTTATGGCAACTGAAACACGTCATATAGTCAGTACTGCCTCTGTTGTTAAATTTTTACAGTATTTGCAATCAAAGGTTATAAAGTGTTGTTGACTACTATCGCCGACTTTTACTAGACATGGTTCACCTGAAACTGTCGCGCATACGAGCAGGTACTTCGAATGTCTCATTAATAAATTAACAAAAGATTGATCGCTCTCCTTGTAATCAGATTCTTTTGGGTGCAAAAGTGCAAAATTCTCTATCAGGCAAGAGCTTTTCAAACCGCACTATATTCACCCCTGTTCGAGTTGCCTGTGACCTTCTCCACAACCTCCTTGACGAAAGCAGGCAATCCTCTCAAAAGATCGACAAAGTTTTCCAACACCTCCTTTAAAGCTGACTGAAAATCAATTGAGTTTCCTTTGTTGTATTGGAACCAAGCACCGCCAATTATGTAGATGCTCAAAAACAACACCATGAAGATAAAAAGCCACGTAAACCAACCCCACGATTCTCCATTATCATTTCCTTTGTTTTCTTTTGGTGGCAGTTTGTTACCCTTGTTGGAATTTATGCATGCAGCTGGAGAGCGGAACTCGCCTTCAAACAAAGCGCCGTTCCAGCCGATAAGTTTAAGTTTGTTCTCGTCAGTATCACCCTTAGTGGTACATACGAATTTGATTGTCCCGTCCACCAACAGATCGCCCCAGTTCACGCCTCTGTACGTAATGTTGACACCCGATTCCTGATCGTTGCTGTCACTTCCAAAGGGAATGTATTCTTTTTGTAGATTGGAGTTGAAGCCTATCACTTCAGATAACACATCCTTATCCTCAACTTGGATCCTAGTGGTGCCACAAACATCTGAATTTTTGGGGCAATCCGCATGTTTTTCAATATTTTGACAGACTCCAATGCTCCATGTGAACACACTTTTTGATGGTGGTGTACTTTTCGTAATTGTGTCTGAGTATTCGCCCCTTATGGACTGGAAGTTGTACTGCGATAATTCTTTGACAGAACAGTCAAACGCTGAAGCTACTGATGCTGCAAGTACTGCTGCGTATATAAATTTCATAATAGCCATACCGACTTCTTTTTCAGATAGCATAAAGGCGAGATTAAATGGTGACTGAGTCTTGCGAATACTTGCAGTGTGGGTGCACGGGTTTAATAATACTTTTTCTGCAATAGTGTATCACCTCTTGTGGAGCATGCCGGTCTCTGTGAAGGGCCCCAAAGCGAAAGACACCTCTTGAGAGGCTCCTGAAGCTTTAGAAAGTGACCTCTGAACTAGATGTTTTATTTTTGTGGTTCTAGGATCGATTTTAAGTCTAGAAAATTCCAACTGAAGCAGACATCGTTTCAAACACATTTGAGTTTCACGAAGATGCGGTACCTCAAAATTTGGAAATGGCATTGGGTCTGTCAACATAAGACCCTTGAACAGAACCGAGCTTCAAATTTGGGTCTTGTGGACTCATGTTCATACTTTTTAATACAACCTTGTGGAATGTGCGGATGTATAATCACAAGTCAATCGACTTATTTTCTATTCATGCGTGTACGTGACCCAGGAGAATATTTAGCGGCAATTGTTGTTTTCTTGTATTGTTTTGTCCAGTGGTTATCTTTTGGAAAATTTGAAGAATATTTTGCTGATAGACGACTGAGACAAGCCTCCTACTAATAATTCGTCATTATCTACCAAAAAAAAATCAACATATAAAATAGAAATGAGCCGAAGATCGGAATACCGGTGGGCTCAATATATGCGTCTCCACACGCAGTAGCCTGTGCCGAGGCTGCTACGCGCATGTGAGTTTAATGACTAGCCGAGATAGTATATATATCCTCCGACATGCGGGGTGAGACAGTGTATCCATTTCTTTAGCCATCATCGTGCAAATCTTGCTACCCCAGTAATATTGAATCTAACAAGAGACTCACCATCCCGAACACGTGTATATATTCCACATATCTCGCTTTTCACCCCCGTTTATATCAATAACGTTGAATTAAAATTAAAGAATGGTCAAAGTCACCGTCTGTGGAGCCGCTGGAGGCATCGGCCAACCTTTGTCCATGCTTTTAAAGTTGAACCCGCAAGTGTCACATCTTTCATTGTTCGATATAGTTAATGCACGTGGTGTTGCAGCCGATCTTTCTCACGTCAACACGTCGGCGCGAGTCACGGGCCATCAGCCTTCTTCGAAAGATGACAAATCCGCTATCGTGGATGCCCTTACAGACTCGGATATTGTGGTAATACCTGCTGGTGTTCCACGAAAGCCTGGGATGACAAGAGCAGATCTATTCAACATCAATGCCCTGATAATTCGGGACTTGATTGCTAATGTGGGAAAGACTTGCCCCAATGCTACAATCTTGATCATCTCAAACCCAGTGAATGCCACAGTGGCAATTGCTGCTTCAGTTTTGAAGAAGCTCGGGATCTTTAATCCACGTAAGTTGCTCGGTGTTACGACTTTAGATTCAGTAAGGGCAGAAACATTCTTGGGTGGTTTGATAGGCGAGACTCCGCACACTTTGAAAGGAAAAATTTCGGTCATTGGAGGACACTCTGGAGATACTATTGTTCCGCTTATACACTTCGACAGCTCCATCTCTGCAAAAGTTAAAGACATCTCTGAAACCGATTACATAGAGTACGTGCGCAGAGTGCAATTTGGAGGGGATGAAGTCGTTAAAGCAAAGAACGGTGCTGGTTCTGCGACGTTATCAATGGCATATGCCGGCTATCGCTTTACTGAATATGTTTTGGATTCATTCGCCAACAAAATCTCGAAGGAAGGTATTCCGGACTCTGCTTACATCTATTTGCCTGGTGTTGAAGGAGGGATAAATTTGTCTGCCAGCCTTGGTGTGGAGTTTTTTTCCGTGCCAGTTGTATTGAGAGCGGGCGAAGTCGCCTCTTTTCACGCTCCAGAAAAACTCTTGAGAACAAAAACTGAAAATGAAATGGTTCGTGTGGCAATCGATGGTTTGAAGGGCTCAATTGCTCAAGGTATTAACTTTGTCGAGGGCTCGAGATTGTAAAAGATTGGGCGAGTGCAGTTTTGGTATATACAAGTGCGATTATGACATAAAATACTTCCAAATTCATTTCCAGATTTTATATATGTCAATCTATTGTTCCACTTAGGCAACAAATCAAAGTAGCCCAAGCTTTTCCATTCTAACATGCACGGCATTTCTGTGGGCCTCCAAGCCTTCAACTGCTGCCAACGTCATCACTGCTTTACCAATACTCACTAGGCCTTCTTTGGTAACATTCTGAGAAGTTATGTGTTTCTGGAAGGTGCCCGTGTTTACACCCGAATACTGTCTTGCATAGCCGTAAGTAGGCAAAGTGTGGTTTGTTCCACTAGAATAGTCACCGCAGGACTCGGGTGAAAGGCCTCCAACAAAAACAGATCCAGCATTCTCGATGTGAGACGGAACGTAGCTCTCTGCATTGTCAATTTGCAAGATCAAGTGCTCTGGTGCATACTGATTGCTTAAGTCAAAAGCTTCTTCGTAACTCTCGGCCAAAAGAATGAAAGAATGAGCCAAACATTTGGCCACAATCTCTTTTCTTGGCAAAGCTTCTGCTTGGCGACGAACAGCCTCATCAAAGTCCATAAGTTTTTTTTCAGTGAGTTTAACACCAATCAAGATAACTTGTGAGTCAACACCGTGTTCAGCTTGCGATAACAAGTCACTGGCAACAAAGTCGGGGTCTGCGTTCTCGTCTGCAATTACCAAAACTTCTGATGGACCGGCTGGCATGTCGATTGAGCACAATGCCTGTGTATCATTTTGAACGTACATCTTAGCAGCAGTGACAAATTGGTTTCCAGGGCCCAATATTTTGTCACATTTCAATACGGATTCTGTTCCGTATGCCATGGCAGTGACGGCTTGAGCCCCACCAGCCATTACAATGGCGCTGGCCCCTAGCTTATGAGCGACATACACCACCTCTGGGGTCAATTTACCAGTGGCTCTTGCAGGAGGAGAAGCGACGATGATATTTTTGCAGCCAGCAACCTTTGCTGGGACACCCAACATCATAGCAGTGGATGGTAAGACTGCAGTTCCACCAGGGACGTACAAACCAACATTTTCAATTGGCTTGGCGAAACGAGAACAGAAAACGCCTGGAGCTGTCTCCACAGTCAAGACCTCCTCTTTTGGTAATTGTGCTCTGTGAAACTTTTCAATGTTCCTCATGGATAAATCAATGGCATCCTTCATATCATCAGATATGTTCATTAATTCTTGAGGGAAAGGGGATTTGAGAATTGGCTCGCTCAAGGTTACACCGTCAAATTTTGATGTGAGTTCGATTAATGCTTTGTCTCCGTCCTTCTGTACTTGTTTAACAATAGGAAGAACCAACTTCATGATATCAGCTGTCTTTTGAACAGGGCGCGTCAAGGCACGAGCGATTTCCTCAGCAGATGCAGATGAGGTCTTGATTATTTCCATCTTGTAAAGCTCAGATGATACCTGTTCAGATTGGGTTTCCACGTACTGGGGTTTGGCGTCACCCTTTCTTCTAGTTACTTTAAGGCTCTTAACGTCCAAGTTTCTCTCCACATCGGCCAAGCTGACGCCGTTTTTGACGCAGTAGGTCATCACAAAGTACAACAAATCGGCTGCTTCCCAAGCAACCTCATCCTTGTCTTGCTTCAGTCCAGCATCGATAAGCTCGTCCAACTCTTCCTTCATTTTGGCGATCAAAAGCTTCTCGTCGTCAAACAACCTCTTGGTATACAGGCCTTGAACAGCATTTTGCTTTCTGTCAGCCAAGATTTTATCAAGCTTGGCAAATCCGCTTCCGAAGGACTCTGTAGATTCGGTCAAATCGCCATCTTGGAAGCAGGTGAAGTTGTTCAGCAAGTGGCAGAAGCCGTAACCAGGTCTAGACTCAACAACAAACTTGACCGTGTCACTGTCGCAATCTTTCTCCAACTTCACGAGCTTCTGGGTGGCACCGGACGTTTTGCCCTTGTACCACAACTCATCTGGACGCTTACGAGATTGGTAGACACCTTCTCCCTCAGCAATGGAAGCCTTTATGGATGCTTTGGATGAATAAACGACGCCCAAAGCGGCATTAGCAGGTGCAGGTGAGGTGATCAAAGTTGTAAAAAGCCCATCAGGACGGTCCGTCGTCAATGTTGAGATAAAGACATCTCCTACAGAAATGAGGTTCTCGGAATTCGTGGAAGTTGACAACTCTGCTCCTGGAATCACCAAGATGTATCCAAGGGTCGCAAGCTGCACGGCCTCTTGAGGTGAAACCTTGCCCTTGTAGAAGATATTCCTATTACCTCCAGAAGAGAGCTCCTTGAACATATCATCATTTAATTTTTCACTCACAACAAAGGAAGCCTTGGAAGAAAGTTGCTTCTCGGTCACGGAGTCTATCTCCACAGAGAATCTCGAAGTTGGTAAGCCGGCGGCAATCACTTGATCGAACTGGGCTTCAGACACAAATAAGTTTTTGACGCCGATGTTAAGCAAAGCAATCAAATCATCCACAATCATATCGGTGGATGAAGATGCATCCACGAAGACGTCGACAGACGACGGATACCTATTGAGTGCATGCTTTTCAGGCTTTATAGCCGAGAAGGGTAAAAGTATTTTTCCGGTGACGGACAATCTTGCAATTTCGTCCTCTGATGAGACAATGGGCAATAGGGGGAACGTCATTTCTTCTGGTTGATGAAAATCGAGGTTCTAAGGTAGTTAACTTTCCGAAATTTGTAGATAAGCTATTTATGAACGATCGCGCTATTTTTTTTTTGGCTTGCGCGAGCTGACTCATTGTCTGCAAATTCGGAGTCTCGACTTCTCATTATCCGAAGATGGCGCCACTGAGTATCGCGAAAGGATGAGGGGAGATTGCTGCCCAAGTAGAAGTCATGTCTAGCTTGATTAATTGCGGGATTGGCTAGTTTTGCTTTCGAGCATAATAAACATCCAAGATCTTATAACTAGTTCTGAAAGGCACTGCGGACCACCTAAAAATTAAATTCTCCGCGGAACTGGTTGAGATCCATCCCAGGTCTGACTAGCTCCACCAAGTCTCTTCTTTCCAGGGCGATGAAAGCACGTTTGAGTGTTTCCATGAGAGAGGAGGATTGGTTCTGATTAAGTGTAGTTTCCTGTCCCTCTACCTCATGCATTGCCAAGCCACTGAGAAGATGCTCCGCGGCCTCTTTGTAGCAGCCAATATTTATACATGATACGCCCAAATTATATCTCGCACGGACGAATGTTGGTTTGAGTTCTAATGCTTTGAAATATGCATCCACGGCTTCTTCGGATCGGTTCAGGTTGGCCAATGAGGCACCCAATCTGTTCCATAACAACGGGTCATCAGGTCGGATGGATAAGGCAGCTTTGAAGCAGTCTATCGTCTTGTCAAAATCTTCTTGAGCATAGAACAAAACACCAAGACCCATTTGTACATCTGCATCCATGCTTGCTTGGTCGGGAGACAATTGCGCTGCGTTCATGAAAAGTTCTGTCACACGCTTATTCAAAGTGAACCTGTCTTCATCTGTGATATTTTGGTTTTGTTGGCGGGCTTTCTCGGCAACTTGAGGGTATTTTGTGGAAATCCAGCGCTCCAATGTTGCAAAGGCGGCGTTGTCATAGCCTTCGTTGATGTACGAAATTGCCAAAGTCATCAATGCTTCAGAGTTCTCAGGATGCAAATCCAAACATTTCTCCAAGGCTGAGATTCCAGCTATTTCTTTTTCGTTCTGTGTCTGTACTTCACCCAATTTGAGCCAGGCCTCGACCCGATTGGAATCTTTGTGAATGGCAGCTTCAAACGCCAAGGCCGCCTCAGACAATTTAGCACCATTCTCCATCAATTGAAGGCCAATCTCGTAAGCATCGTGTTCGACAGGCAAGTCCATAAACTGGTTCTGTTCCTCCACTTCAAACTTGTACTCCCCGAAATTGGCTCTAGTGGATGCATACTTGGCAAAGTCCTTTTCCCATTGTGGCATGTCCGCAGGAAAAGTCCGGTCCTGGCTTCTCTTGAAGTCTTCATATTGTTGTGTGATGAAATCATTTTCAATCAGATCCAGATTCAACAGATCCCAAACCTCTTGGAAATTGGCCTGGTATTTATCGTCAATGACGATATCCTCACCCATCTGCTCACCTTCCTTGGCTGCTGCCTCGGCAGATGCGTGTGCCACATCACTAAGCTCTTCGATCTCCTTGAATCTATTGTCCCAGTCTACCGAAACTTCTTCTTTTTGAGTCGACTGACTTACATTTCGCATTGGTGCCATCGATGACATACCCATCATTGGGCGATATCCCCCGCCCATCATCGACATAGGCATTCTGTTCTGTTGCTGAGACTGCGGCTGAGACTGGAACTGAGATTGCTGAGGAGAGGATGACTGGAACTCAGAGGCCCACTGGTGATTGCCACTTCGTTGCGCGGAAATATGCGCAGCCTGCGGTACCGGGGAGTGGGCATGTGCCTTGAAGTCTTGCAGCCAGTTTTGCTGAGAAGAGCTGCTACGGCTCATTGCATTAAGCTCATGGCGCATGGGCTGGAACTGGAAAGTATTCTGAGGTTGATTCCCTGCGACCATGAATTGATCCAAGTCCCTTTGATTCATCATCTTGTCATTTTTGAAGCCTTGGTTGATCACAGCGCCCAGTCCATTTGTCTGCCTCTGGAGCGAGCGGTCTTGTTGTGTGTGTTTGTTGAGCTGAGCGATGGCATTACCATTTGCAGAACAGTCTGTGCCTCCAAAGAGTGACATGTTTGAACCTACAAATTGATAGTCTGGAAAATAAGGTGTGGTCGCCGAGATTTGCGTATGATCTGGGGCGATTCTAATTTTAATTTGCCCTGCTTTGTTTATTTTTCTGTACTTCTTGTGGATTTCAAAATTTAGCTTACACGGAAAGTACGGAAAAAGCCGGGTCAAACCTTTTATTTTCCAGGTCCGACTCCACACTGATCCCTCGAGGATGTGGCCCGCGGTCCGACTGCATGCAAGCCATGGAGTGACTATAAGGTTCCCGTGATAAGAGCAGGTCCAACCCAAGAGAGGGGAAGGGCGTTGCCGTAGCACCTCGTGATAGGCGCGACTGAACAGGTGGGTGCAACAGTCCTTCGTGGAATATTGCGTGAAAGTAGTTTTTTGACAATGCCAAAGCGCGTAAGTCTATCGAAGAGAAAGTCCTTCGTTTATTACTGACGATGAAATCATGAACGGTCACATCAGCATTGTTTTGTAAAGCTTGACCTTCCTGAAGCTACCCGAGTTCCCGTGTAGAGTAGTCCCCGGTTCCCGGATCCGGCTTTTTGATGCGCATAAAACCAAGACCGTACCTCACCACCTCGATTCATCCCACCCACGGTTTCAAACAAACATATTGTTCACCACATTCTCATTGTACAGAAGTGAGCTCATCAAATGTATTGAACGATTATAAAGATACAAGTAACACTTACCACTCCATTTTGGACTTGTCTCCTGTCAGCCCGCAATCAATGTCGTCGCAAATGTCGATTTGCTCTTGAACATCCTGTGATTTGCCAACAAAACTAGCAGGGTTCACAATCTCCTTCCTCTTTTCCTCCAACTCAGTATGCATTTTAACCATGTCTCTCACCAAGCCCTGGTAGTACAAAACGCCCCTTTCCTTCAGTGGGTGCAAAAATCCCTTATTGTAGATACCCTGGTTCAAATTTTTCTGCGTCAAAGTACATAAGTTGAAGTCTTCTAATTCAACCAATTGCAAGAAGTCAATAAACTCTTTGGCCTGAGCCTTAGGGAGCCCCTTTTTTGTGTAAATATCATAATGTAAAATTGTCTCAGTTGGACCAATAGGCAAAACACGGATGGAGTACCATGCTGGGGAATAGCAATTGATACCCGAAGCTGGAAAGCAGTACAACCACAAGCCGTTGAATTCACCACCTGGGTTTTTCTTGGTTTCGATTTTTACTTTCTGTTTTCTTCCGAAGGAAAACCAGGGTAAACTTTTCTTTGCGGACCTTTCTGGCTTCTCTTTGTCTGGATTCCTCACTATCTCGGCATAGTGGCGACAATATCTGGTCCTTGGTACCACTTCGTAAGTTTCCATCCTGAAAGCTGAGTTCAAACCAGGATGAGCGGTCGGACAATGGTAGCACTCTTGGTATCCGTCCATTAAAGTTTTCCAGTTGAAATCACCCTTAAGTTCATAAGACATGTTGTAGTCGTAGTCAGGGAAGTCAAACTCATCTAATTCATGCGAAATTCCCCTAAAGAAGTCGTCAAAAGGTATTAACTGCTCAATGTCATTGCAAAAATTCACATATACCAAACCTTGACGCGTGACATGAGTGTGAATGGGGAATAGTGAGTTCTCGCTTTTCTTAAATCCGGCAACGTTATCGAAAAATGGAGCTTTAACCAATATACCATCAGAATTGTATGTCCAGCCATGATATTTGCACATCAACACAGCTGATGTGCCTCGATCTTTCTTGACAATAGGATATGCTCTGTGCCGACATATGTTATGAAATGCTTTAATGGAACCATCTTTGGCCTTGAGAAGAAAAAACAGAATTCCGGCGACATTGAATTGGAAATACTCACCAGTGTTCTTAAATCTGGAGGCATGCATGCAGAATATCCACGACTTGTAAAACACAGCTCTTTTTTCCAACTCGAAGATTTTTTCTGAAGTCCACCATGAGGCTGGCAAAGTGTGTGGATCAGACATGGGTTTGCCCTGTTCCTCAGGCTTTTCCGTTGATGGAGCAGAATTTGATTGAGCTGAGTGTATCATATATATCTATATATACTTGGAGTCAATCTTCTAAACTTTGGAATTTTCTAGCAAGCTCCTAGCCATAGTTTTAGCTTTGTGTATCGAATCAAAGGTGCAAAAATCAAAATAGCTGGTAAATGTTCCTGCGATCTGAAATGCGAACTGCAGGCTCAAGAATCTGAAAATATATATCGTAGATCATCTCTTATTCAGAAAAAGCTTCCGATAACAATTAGGAATGAGAACTAGTCCGTTTATAGAACGGGATCTTCGACCATATCAGCTAATAAATAACGGAATCGCAAAACCTCCAGAGCCACATCCTGGTCCACGCTTGGCGTAAGAAGTGTATTGAGAATGAACTCAGCCTCTGGTTGCACTCTGTAGATATCCCGGATTTTACCAAGACACTGTTCGAATTCCTTTGAGTTTATCAACTCATCTTCCCTGTGCACTCGAACCAAGGTGACAATGTTAGCGAGTAGCGAATTCACCAAAATCATGGATTTAAGCCCGATGTAAGACAAAACTCTATGTTCACTGGAGCTCGGCCCAAATTTCACAGATTCTGTGATGATGTGGATGGTGTTCCGCGTGAAATTGAACAACAACAATTGCGCATTACTTGTCAACCAGTGACAAAGTAGGAGATTAAACGGCCCATTAGCATCTTCAGTTGACGCCAGATCAATGAGAAGCTTCGCACCAAAAAGGGCTTGGAGCATCGTAGATGAGCGCTGTAGAACGAATTTGGTGTACTCAGCGCCACCCATTGCGAATGGAACAACACTCATGAGTAATTTGAATGCTCTAGTCATGAGAATCCCTAAGCGTGCATCGCTATTCTCGCTTTTCAAATGAGTGTTCAAAAGGGTGCTAGCTTCTTGATAATCTTGGGGCTCGATAGTCACGCTTCCGGAATTCAATTGTAAAAAGTTCATGTTAAAACACCCTGAAAAAACGGCCTGAAAATAGGCTCTATTCTTAGGCTCTCTCACAAAAAGCTTTGTGAATACATCTACCCCAAAGGGCAAATACGAATACATCTCAAATGAAGCAGACGGGATTTCATACCTTTTATGAAGATCATCTTCATTTTGATCTAGCGCAGGCCCGAATGATGAAATAAGGAGATACGCGAGAAAAGCTTCCTCCAAAGAATCAATCTCCAAAAAAGGGGCGTTGCGATCAAGCATTAGAAGACAATCTTTGAGTAAACAAAGTCTCTTCCTTTGTAGAACAAATACCTCTGGCACTGTAGCAACTAGCCTCACGATTTTGAAAACAAACTTCTTAAAGTTAATGTTTCCTGACATGCATCTCGAGCTTTGTTCAGTAAATGAAAGATTTCTCAAAGTCATGGTAATAGTAATCAAGTTGTCGACAAGAAAAATCAGATGGTCCAACGCCCCTTTGGTTTGAGCTTTGCTGAAATGATTTTTATTCTCAGTCTTGAAGTCTTGAAGAGCAGACAAAAAATCGGGAAGGTAGCATTTTTGAATTTCGAAGGAACCAGCGGTAGGTTTGTCGGCAACATTTTCGATAATCTTTGGAGAAAAAACATCATCGATGTCAATATCAGAATCTTCATCTTCAATCATCTCTCCAGTAAGAGAATCCACAACATGAACAATATCTTCCCCGCGCAATTCGTCTTTCTTTACATACTTCCTGAAAGTTGACTCAATTGCGTCATTGGAAGGTACCGTCGCATCCTCATAATCGGATGTCGATTTCTCTGGCGTTGTGATCTGTTCCAATATTTTGAGGCCTAATCCAACAAGAGCATCTAAAAGCTCTGGAGCATCAGTCAAGTTGAACGCGAAGTTGGGGTCAGTTGTTGTCACAAGAAGAGTATTGAGTGCCGATGACGCTTCACCTGGGTTGTTTCTGGTGTAGTTTTTCAAAGACATTATTAGAGCATGAATATTCAATGAGCCGAGTTCTGGAGCAAACAAGAAAACTGGCTTAGTTAGTTCAATCTCATCACCGAGGTCAGATACACTTTTTAGTATCCAATCGCTATAAGCGCCCGCGTTCTTCTTTATGGGAACATATTTTTTGACTGTATTCGGCTTCTTCCTTGGGTGATCACTTGATTCTTGCAATGACGCTGGTATTGGAGTCTCAGGCTTTTGACTTTGCGCATGTGGACCAATCGAGGACTGTCGACGTTGAAGACTATTTGACCTCGATGTATTAACTTGCTGCACAAGGGGAGAATGAATGTTAGATGGAGGAGTGTTATTGGTGGTGGAATTTTGTGATGATTTTCTTTGCTGGTTTACAGCAGAAGCTGTTGGGCTGGGTATGTTCCCTATTACGGGAGTTGGGGCCATCGCGTGATGCGGAGATTGGGAGGAGATACTCGACGATCGAAACTGACCTTCGTTTTGATTAAGATTGCCTGAATGAGTAATTTCCCCCGCCTGTTGGGATCTTTGTATTGGAAGGTGACCCCTCATTCTTTGTTGAGTATTCAAAGAAGCTTGCCCCTGTGAAAGTCGGATATCCTGTTGTAGCTGTTGTTGTTGCTGGTGTTCTTGTTGTTGTTCTTGTTGCTGTTGTTCTTGTTGCTGTTGTTGTTGCTGGTGTTGTTGTTGCCACTGCTGTCGGGCTCGTTGCTGATGCTCGATCTGCTGAGATCTTGCTTGCTGTTGTTGATTCTGTTGACCATTCAGTTGGGTTCCTTCGTGTTGCTGAGCTTGTGTAGAATGTTGTTGTTGTTGTTGCTGATGCTGCAACCGCATTATCAACTGTCTTTGGAACTGTGATCGACGACTGGTGATTTCTTTTTGTCCCTCTTCTGTGGAGCAGCATTGCTCGTAGGGAAGAATGTATTGCAAATAGCACGATCCCAACTGTTTTTCGATTTGGTTCCTGGTACTAGCGTTATTCTGCACATCAATCCCCTCAAACAATCCCAACTTCTGACAAATGGATGTCCACTCTGTAATTTGGGGTGGGGAATGACTGAGCATCTGTATGTGTTTCAGAACCGCTTGCGGACCACCAATTTTGCGACCAAGAATACTCAAAATAAACAAGTTGATTTTTTTCTTGTTTATAACAGGAGTTTGCGTGATTGGTGTTCCTCTGCGATTCATGAAATCAGTGAGAGTCATTTGAAAAAGTTCATGTTGTAACTGAGCAATTTGAGCAGGGGAAAGTTTGCCGCTAATACTTTGTTGAGTTGAAGCAGACAGGTTTGTGGAATTCAGGGGTTGTGGAATATGTGATTGAAATGCCGCTGCCTCCGAGGATGTTTGCTTCTGAGAAGGTCCATACTGTCCATTCATAGATGGGCTGTTTACCATCAGAGAGGTATGGCCCATCTTAGTCATGCTTTGAAAGCCCTGTTGAGGCGCTATCTTTAAATTTCCGGACACATTGCCAGAACCTCCTTCCTCTGATCCATTGGGATTCTGCTGCCGATTTTGCTGTTGTTGTTTGCCTTCGTCATTGCCTTGCTGTCTCTGAAGTATTTGCTGGTGCATAATCTGCTGGCGCATCTTAAAGAGCTGTTCTTGTTTCGACTCATCAAGAAACGATTGTTGTTGTTGTTGCTGCTGCTGTTGCTGTTGAGGTATTTGTGGTGAATTATTTTGCATAGACAAGTGTGGGCTTTGCCCAGGAATCTGATTCATATTTTCTTGCTGCCGCATGAACATCTGCGGACTCTTGTTCAGATAGACTGATTGGGGTACATGTTTTTGTTGAGAACCACCACCAAATTGAGAGAATTCCTGGTCATTAAACATTTTGTCTATTTGCGACTCACCCATTTTCACTGAAGATACAGACGTCTGTTCTGCTTGGATGTTTTGGTAATTTTGGCTGCCCTGTTGTTCAGGTGACATTTGTTGATGTTGAACAGAATTGACTTGTGGTTGACTAGCTGTCCGGCCGGGCACCTCGTCAAAAATGTCGTCCACAAACTCTCCTTCATTTCCCTGGCTATTCTCCTGCCGAAAAGCGGTTTCGTCGAACCAGAAATTGGACATGGGCTAAATGCTTTGTTTGAATGTTGAGCCTCAGGAGCGACTGGAATTCTTTGTTCATGTCAGTTTAAGTCACGTGATGTCGGGGACCGAAAAAACACAATTTCGCGAATAATTGTAGTACGCACCCCACAACTAAATACTTGTTTTCATGAAATACGAACTTTTCTCAAAGACAGCCTTGCTTGTGGGATATGTACTCACCTGACCGATTGTGAGAAAAGAGAAAGTGGTTATCGCAAAACAAGTGGGCAGCCATTTTGTCTGTAGATATTGACGAGACAACATATTTTGCTTTTACCATATCCTCCACCATTTCTGGAGCTTTTTCGATAACGCCTTGTAGTGCTCCATTTCTCCCCAGCAGTCCCTCCCATATTCGCAGCCAGCCATATTTATCACAAAGTCCCCCTCCTGATAGAAGAACTGAGGGTCATCAGCCATATCAGAGCATGCACCATGTGGGAACGCATTAATGTCTCTTAAGGACAAAAATGCTACTCTCTCTCGGATCCATGACTGCGTTGAATATAGAGTTTCCAATGCGTCTTGTTCCTTGTGCTCCCATTGCATATGCATCTGCTCATACACAGCAGGATCCCACCACATATCCAACATCATGTCGGACCAGGCAGACCTTCTCATCAAGAACGAACCAAGGTTAAATCCGCCACAATCCTGAGTGATAATCATGTCTATAGGTGATGTGTAGTCAACATATGAGATGTCCTGAGGTATATTGAGAGGATTGAATGTATCCAAAGTTCTATAGGTTGCATTTCCCAAGTTGTTTAAAAACTTCTCTTCCAACAGTAAATGTGGCTCCATGATGTATGTGTGCAAGTCCAACCACCAAAACCATTCTGTTTTTGGGTATTGCCTCATTGCTTGCTTCATGATATCAACTTTTTCCCAAGATTCTCTCCATTCGTGAGAGTACTTTTTCTTAACTGACATATCTTTGATAGTCAATCCATAGCCATGTCTCTTGGCATATTGCTTTTTATTAGCGATAGAAGACCTCTCAACTGACCATTCTTGGGGACCTTTCCATTTAAACACACCTCCGCCTTCGTTGGCGGCTAAGATAATAACAACTTTGGGATCACTTCCAACGAAATAGTGTGGAATGAAAGGAACAGATGTAAAAAATGAAAGAAAACATAAAACAACTACAACCAAAGATATTTTCTTATTGTAAAGAACCGCGTCCGATATGGCTTCTGCAGCTCTCCCCACCCATGACAAATAACTCTTCTTGAAGGGTTTATATTTTTTTGAATATGATTCGCCGATATTGCCTTCAGTTGTGTCGTTAATTGCAGAGTCTTTCGAATACTCGAGTGGAAAACCCTGGGAGCTCATGTCCAAGCGTGAAAGTAGTTAAGCGACAAGCCAGTTTACACCTATTTTTTCCTCGCGCTATGCATGTGCTCTGTTTGTTTTGTATACAGGATGTAAATAAAATTGGATCTTACGGCAAATGGAGGGAAAAGTCATAGATACATAACTTATTTTCATATTTGCGTGGATTTATTTAATGAGCTTCAGCGGCTTCATCTTGAATTTTTGGAAACATTCATGTCAATATTGTATGCACGAAAAGTGGAAGTAACCCGTGGTAGCTAGTGAAGCGATCATGGTTGTTAAATATGTTGCTACCATATGATGGGTATTTCTTGTGCTATAGCTGAAACTTGAGAAAGCAAAATAAAATTAGACGCAACATATTACCTCAACGGCAACAAATTTTGTTCTAAACATGTCTGGCGACAAAGAGGGCATTCAGGATGCTCTCTCATCCAATCGGTGATGCAAACCCAACAAAAAAAATGACCGCAATTGGCAGCTGACGGATTTATCATCGGCGAGAGACAAAGCATACAGTTTCGAGAACTTGAAGGAATATATGGGAGTTGATTTGGGTCCGATAAATCCACGTTCACCTTCACCGAGACTTTCTTTTCCTCGTTTATGTACTTGTTTAGCTTCTCGAGCTGTTCGAGTTTGAAAAAACTAGAGTGCGTTTGTTTCTCGATGCCGATACTTGTTTCACTCGCTTTATGTGATTTCCTGTGGCTTGAAAGCTGACTTAAGTGAATCAACATCTTCAAAACAAATTGCACCAAAATAATTCCACCTAGGACGGAGTAGTTTCCGGTGGCCTGGAGCTTTTTTTGATCTTTATTATGACCAAATACATATCTCAATCCAAAGATTCTCTTGGAGATTGAGTAGAATGAGCCCTCAAAATAAAAGAGAGCCACATGAATGTTCATCATCGTATCCAATAAGCTGGAATATGATGTGAGGACTTTTGTGATCCATGAGGTCGACCCTTCGGTCTTTGACTTTAGTTTTCTAGCGATCCTACTCACAAAGTATGGAACAACGATCAAATAAATCGAGAAAGAGAGCCTTGATGCTAATTTGGGGAATCTCTTTCCCAGTCTAGATACGTGTTGTATGTCAACGTACTCCTCTCCCAAAGTCCGGGCACCAAAAACAGTCGTCACCAAGAAGTAAAGAAATTTTCCGATGGTTGTAATTTCCTCGGGATATGTGTTTACAAACCGTTGACCTCTAAAAATCCTTAAGGTATCTTGTAATTGTGTATTTAGGGTCGAGCTAAAGTAGTTGTCCTTTTGATTAGCTCGGACTAAGATGAAGTTAGTACATCAAAGTATACAACTGGGTGTCTATCATCGAGAAGATTGACCATACCTATTGTTGCAGCATCTGCAAAAGGAAGAGAATTTGCGTTCGCCCTGGACATTTTTTGGATGTGGTGAACTTATTTCAATCTTCAACTCTCCCATGGAGTTTTGTGGGGCAGAGAATGCTACGATCTTCATCCGAGGTCGCAGTCGTATGCACGCAGCACCTCGCGCGGCCTTCAAACATGGAGGGGTCTCTAATATCCAGCAACTTATAGAAACTGTGGCTTCTTTTTATTCCTTCAATTTGTAAATCAAACAAAAAATAATGTGCTTAAGAAAAAATAATTGTACCTGTAGTAAGTTTACAAACATGTCACAGCCTTTTAGCGCCCGCAAAAGGAAGTTGAGATTGTGCAAGCGGCCTTCTCTTATGTGAATCTATCACAATACTGTCACCATTAAGCTTCAAAGATAGTTCCAAAGCCAAATGATAATCTCTGTGTTCAAAGACATCTTCAACAAATAGATCACACGTGTTGCAGCGTCCCGTCTTGATCATTTCTTCAAGGAAGTCGTCCTTCGAGCATCTTGTGGCTTGGGCTCCAGTAACTTCTTCTGGTAAAAGCTCCATTTCACATTTGTTTTCGGTATTCTTTGAATTTAATTCTCTAGGCTTTCTTTTAATCTTCTCAGTCTCTTTTTGTTTTTGTGGGCTGACCGAAAGTCGCGGCTTCTTTGGAGCTTCTGCTGAAGCGGCTCTCTCAACCATAACACTAGTTTGGAAGTCTTCAAACATCTTCTTCACGTAATTTTTATCTTCTTTAAAACATGACTTTGGTCTAAGTGAGTTGTCAGTATTGTTGCTATCATTCGCAGCCATCTCATTCTGGAAATCTTCGAACATTTTTTTCACATATGAATTGCTTCTCGTGGATTTTATAGGCCTTTGAGGTTCTGGGATGATATCTTGTCTGACTTCGTTAATTTCGGCAAAAATGCGCTTTATTTCTTCATTGTCTGGTTTATTACTTTTCATTGCGGAGCCGTAAGAATCTATGAGATTTGCATCCGAGGTGGTGACAAAATTGGTGATAACTACCCCCATATTTGCCAAAACAGGTGTTCCAATTTGATCTAGATGTTCATCAGACGTTTTTAGACTCCGATATTTGATCTCATCATCAGCTAGCTTCGAATTATCCATCAATTCACACAACAAACGGAAAGCGGTCAGCTCGAGGCTCGTTCTGAATTTATCTAGATCTTTAATCACAGGAAACTGCGTCTGACGTGACATCTTAGACCATGAGGACGTGATGAGCTGAACACTAACTGTGCGTGGTCGATATATCCTTTCTTTCTCACTCCCAATCTTCTGCAGAAGAGAAAGATTGAGATTTTCATCGTCAAGCTCTATAAGCCTCCCGTACAAGTCTCCCACAAAGACTCTTATCCAGTCGTAACAGTCTTTGATTGTGTTTACGGGCTCCCTCTCGAGGAAGTTTTTCCGAGACATCATTGACTTGACTATAGTTCGTTGCTTAATCTCCTGGCAGAATTCACCCCGACAAAGCTCAAAAACACGGTCTGCAACTGCTGGCTCATCCGAAAGCTCATCTCTCAATTGATCCAAAGTCCAATTATTCCTAATAAACGTTATCGAATGTTTCCCGTTTCTCGGAATCAATTTATTGAGAAGCCGGTCACCCAACTGTCCACCCATCTGAGTGATATCAGAAAGCTCGAAGTTATGGAGGAAGGAGCCTATAGCCTTAGGCCGGATAATTGTTTGGAAATCGGGTTTGATGAAGCCACCTGCCAACTTCGCAACTGTTTTTGTAGTGGCCAAACCCCCTGATGTTGTATAGTTAAGTTCCTTGAACACCTCTTGCCTGATTTTGTAGAGAATTTGTGAGCCAATTAAGAAACAGATATCGTCCCAGTCGTTAATTGTGACCTGTTCATCGAAACCTGAGTTTCCCTCTTTGATAGAAACACTTTTCTTTTCGAGGAATTTGGAGAAATTCAGTTGGAGCACATCATTCGTCTGACTAAATTTCTCCTCGTCTGTGGGACTGATTTTTCCCTCCCACCTGAGATCCTCCGGTAGACACAGCGGCACTGGTGGTAAAGAGTCTTCTTTCTTAAGCTCCAGAAGCATAGGGAAGAGTTCTATGAGCTTGGCAAATACTAACCTACCAAGATCCATGTAGCACTCGTCGATGCTAGCCTTTTCAACAAGATCGCATTCCCGGCTCAAAATTTTGAAGACTTTGCGCAGCTCTCTTCTATAAGGATCCAAACTCACCTTGTGAATAGCTTGGTTGGGTGGCTCATCCAAATACTGCCAATGTGCCTCACCTTTTTGAAACACGGCAGCATGACCCACTACAAGACCAGGACACTTGTCTTTCGCTGACTGTAACGTGTCCATTCGGCCAATACCGTACTTTCTGGCCGCATAAGATACAGCAATCAAAGATGACCATTGGCAACACACTACAGGGTCGTCAAGTGTGCGTCCAAGGCGAACCTGCTCACATTGCGCAAAGAAGGCATTCATGTCTACCAAACCTATCACAGCCATAGGCAGCTGATATGCGACAGCCGGAGAGTCAAGCATCATGAGCTCAGAAAATTTGAATTTCGAAGCACATGGTTCAGATTTCAAAATAGGTATAGTGACATTTGGGCTCAACACAGACATGTTCCGGGTCACTGCTCATCTTCTGTCCGGAGCGTCCTCACGTAACGAGTCTCGCACGCCACTAATTTCTTAGTTCATGTACTACCTGTTTCGGATGACCGAAAAGAAACAGAGAAAAGTATACCGAGAATTATATTTCCCCTCAATTAAAGGAAGTGCAGTTTTAAAAGATTGCGGGCAAATTTGGATTTTTGGGATAGAAAATAGAAAAAGTGATTGTTGAATCTTGCGCGTATTTTGATCGTTTGTCAGTAATATCTTCGTCGCTGTGCTGCTACCGATCTAATACAAGCGCTTCACGTATAACCGTCAACGAATTATGAAAGTCAGAGGATATGAAATTGATCTCAAAAATTTGAGGCTTAGAATTTTTTCACCCCAAGACATAGAGAAGAATTTGCCTATTTGGTCAATCATTTTCAACTTATCTGCTCTTCAAAGCTCTGCGTTTCGCGATGTCACGGACTTGGCCCCGCAAAACCAATCGAATGGTCGGAAGACTCATCCAGAATTCCGTAAACATCTCACAGAAAAAATGCTGAAAAACAAGAGATCAATAACTAAAAACGTACATATACTTGTCGTATCCAATTTTTTTCTGTTGGTCTTTGGAGCTAAACCTTTCATTTCGGAGTTTACCTTTTCTTCATAAACGTGTATCCCGCGTACCACTCAAGAGTCAATGTTGTATTGTTTCTGTCCCAGCCAAATTCATTTTCAAGCTTCCTCAAGAAGTTGTCCAAAAGCTCCTCTCCTTTGCCGGTGGCCTCATCATAGTTATGGTAAGAGCTATAGGTCGAGATGTACTTTGTGTAGTCGAGAAGGGAAATGTCCTTACGAACTAGTTGTAAATCATCATTCCGGTAGGTATTCAAGGAGCCAGGCATGTATTTTCGAATCTTGATGTCTGTGAATAATTCTCGAGGGATATGTTTGTCCACCTCAGTTAGGAAACCTTGCAAAATCGAGCGACCAGGCTGTTCCCAATGAGGGCCGAGAAGCGACTCATCCCTGTAGACCATAAGATCGTAAGCATCCATAACGTTGATCAATATGTCCTGTTTCGACAAATTCAGGGACGAGGGTCCATTGAAGTCTACAATCAACGGGTCCACATAATACCAGTAAGCGAGTGTCGCACCCGGACGTAACTGCTTTGCGGCAGCAGTGAAAAATGTATCGTAGTCTTTGAACCAATGAATACACTCTGCGGCTACAATCAAATCTGAGCTTTCGGGTGGAGCTTTGTATTCTTCAACAGCGGCCACCTCGAAATTGATGCGAGATTCGTCTGTTATGCCCATTTCTTGCAACCGATTCTGCTTAAGTTTGTTTGCACCAGAAATCATCAGAGGAGACAAGTCTAAGCCCACAACTTTGTCACAGAAGTTCAACAACGGGAATGAAGCCACGCCTGTCCCACATCCTAAGTCAATGGCATGAGGAATTCTCGTTTTACCTGTGTAGTCGAGCAAAAGTTGGTAGAAGGGTGGAGGATACTGTGGCCGAAATGAATTGTAATTGAGTGATTTGAACCCTGATTTCGAAAACGTAGACATTTCAGATTGATTGTCCGATCGATGTGTTGAGGTGCTTAGGTCTCTTTGTTGATTAATTAGTCAGCGGATGGCAATATTCTGTGATCCGCCCGCGGAGAGCGAGCGTCCTAAAGCGGAGATGCATGCGAGTGTCAATCCGAGAAATGATGTCAAAATTACGCGTCGAATCTGATGCAGACGGAAGGAAATGGGCGAAAGACACAATTAAAGAGTCAATTTTTTGCATCGTATGTATAATTAGAACACCATTCTTTCAACCATGTTCTGTCTGTAGAGGTTCAAGACTATTTTGATGGAACATGGCACGGGCAGCCGGCAACTGCATAGCCGTTAATATATTGTAGCGGGTTTGTGTGGCTGGTGCCGTTGATTTAGTGCAAGTCGCAGCTTGACGTAAATTCGTCCGATCTTTTGGAACGATCGACTGTGATTCTGTTTGGACAGCCGAGCAAATTCTTCTGGCCCAGCTGAAACACGCTTCATTCAGTCTTTTTCCTTGTTTCTCCCTTTTGTTTTGCTTGACACAAATGATAAGGAGAGCCATAGCGCACAATTGAGACACATCTATTGAAGTATATGGGATTTGCTTTTGCTTCACTCATAAATTCATCAGATTTGGGGACCCTAACCATGACTAATTTGCATTTATTTCTTACCCATTCCCGAAGACGTGCGCATATTTTAAAAGAAATATCAAATTTTTATTCCATATTTTGTCGAAGCGCAGCCTGTCAGTATTCAATCACGGCTTAGACGGTCCGCTTACCACATTTTTTGTTTATTGGATTTGCCTGGAAGAACAAAATGATATGTAAAAGGACTTGAAATAGCTACGTGGCTCCCCTTTTTTGGAAAGAAACATCATATTCTAGAGTCTCACTGAAGGGATGTAAGACCCCTCCACCAACAAAAAACTATAAAGAAAAAAACTATAAAAGGTCGCAACACTTTTTTTGGTAGACTCATCTGAATAAAGGGCCAAAACTATATAAAAAATATATAAAAAACCTTTAAACAGCTCACAGCTACGTACCAAGTGTCTTAGCTCGGCCCGTCCCCTTCCGTTAGTCACGGCCTGGACAGTCCTCATGGCACGTATCTGTTTACGTATTGGATATTACGTCATCGACTCCTAGGATAGGTCTCCTGTAGTAGTCGCTTCAACTCGGCTGGTTGTAGCGGACTTAAGGATCCCACTTCCTGCGACTCGCCACTCCTTCTGGTGTAGACCTTGAAGATCGTGGTGACGAACCAATTTAATTTTGTTAAGTTCTCCAATGAGTTGTCGGCTGGGGCCAACATTGAGTTCAAGCTCATGGGCTTGGTAAATTTTAGCTCTTGCCACCAGTATTTGGATGTTTCGCAGTTGTTGTAGATATGGCTTAGGAAAGCGTCGGTGGCGTCTCCGTTGTTGTTGATTTGTTCTGTGCAAAGATGGCATTGAAAATCTGCTGTATCGCTCGGTAGGGTCCTGCGCGGGACATATAGAAATGGCGCGGGCATCAAATCAAGTCGAATCCAAATAATCATTAACTTTTTTATTATATGGGAGGCTAAAATGAAAAATGCTATGATTATTAATTTCATGGATTAGTACGTACAATCTCATATATCTAGACTAAATTGGGAAAAAAGCACAGGAGCTTGCATGGCGCAGTGGTAGCGCAGCAGATTGCAAATCTGTTGGTCCTTAGTTCGAACCTGAGTGTAAGCTTCATTTTTTACATTTGACGCTTTTCAAATATTTTTTGTAGATAAAAATGTAATAAACAATGGAATCTCACAAACGCATTATTTCTAGTGTAATATTTCTATAATATGTAATATGTGATTAGAAGTCATATTTTTCCAGAAACACCAGAATTTCATTATCTTTTCCCCACTTTTTGACAACATTGATCATGGATTCTGGACCGCATACAACGATCCAGTAATTCTCCTTGTTAAAACCTTCCAAGAGAGGCGAAAAAATGTCGCCAATGACTGGTCGCCCGGAATGAAACCTGGTACCAGTATTGTTTTCTGAATATTTTTTTTCAGCCTCACCGAAACTTTCAGATACTTCGCCGCTGTCTTCGCCAAAAGATTCCAATTCAAGCGATTCGATATTTGATAAGAGAGCATGATTTGGGGCGTGAGCATCATCACTTTGTAACATCATCGAGGAGTTTTTAGTGACGTAGACGTTGATTTCACTATCGCGTTTAACACTCGGCAAAACGAATGCATCAGCCTTGTTTGCGACAGACCAATGAAGTTCCGAATGAATTGAAGCATTTGACTTGAGAATTCTGAAGATAGGAATCCCGAGCGAAATTCCAGAGCCACCACATAATATGATGACTTTCTCAGCAGTTTGGAAGAAAGGGGGAGGGAGAGAAGCGTATGGATTGGAGATAGTATAGTTTTGCAAGGCCGGCAAGTGGAACCTGTGACTCTTGTTGACAACGAGATCCAAGGATTTGTCACCTGGGAGCGAGAAGATGGTGAATGGATGAGATGGAAATAGCCAAAATCTGACATCTGTAAGGGGATAAGATATTCTTGTATGGGCGCCGGCTTGCCATTGGGAAGGAAAACGTTTCGGTACAGGCAAACGTAGAACGAGTAGACTTGAAGACTTCTCATCGGAAATACTGATTTGGGATCCTTTGTTGCAATTGCGGATGCGTTGAACTAATTGGAAAACCACCAAGCAAAGAGAAAGAATCACAGCATCGGCCACCCCCGGCCTGGCATGCCAAAAAATGAGTATCATGAATGCGGCAACTGTGATATTATGCCAAAGATAGAAGACCCGATACACGCGGCGTCTGATTGGCCGCAGCGAGAAAATTGCAAGAACCAAACCAAGGAAGAACACAACAACACCTAGAAAATTGAGCGTCTTCGTAGACTTTTGCCAAATGTTATTGGTGATTATCCATTTTGCAAAGTACCCGATTCCATGTAGCGTCACCAACAACAATATTAGTCTCAGAATCCATTTGTGTATTGAAATGTACTCAAGGTAAGAAGTTGCCAACAAGGATGGCCGAATGGCCAATAATATGTCGAAGGGCACGAGGTAGAAACCCACACGACCTAGACGTTTAATGATGGTGGAATAGTGTTCTTTTATATCATGTACCTTGACAACTGATAAAGCAAGTGTAACTATCAGCCATATCAAGAGATGTAGCCATAATGGTTTCGGTGATCCGAGGCGTGCCCATATTGATCTTTGACGAGGAGCACCGTTCCTCACCCACTTGTTGAGATATACATAATTGGACACAGCCAACAAAATCGCAGCTACCAATGAGATTCCGAAGACTATCACGCCATATTTAACATTGGATTTATGATGGTGACCGGGATGCCGTCTCTCGGACTCCATTTTTGCTTCTTGGATCTGGCAGACATCGGACTAAGGTGAGAGTGTACATGTCAAATGCGCTCCTCCGGCTGCAGAGAGGGTGTCGGTCAAAAGTTCTTCTTTTTTTTTTTTACAAAAGAAATGAATAGGAATTAAAACGTGGACAGGCATATGAAAAACACGAGCGCCAAGTCAGGAAAGATTACAGGGTCAAATTTTCACATAGCTCGTGTTCGATGGTTGATTTTGAATTATCAATTATGTGACATCAGTACACCATGAAATTAAGACCTGAGCCACAAGCGTCGTCATGTAAGACCAGTACTACGCTGCTATCCACAATGATACATTCAGTTCTAATATGTACGTGTCTTTCCGTGTAATTTCAATGGAGATAGTCTGCTGGTTATACGCGAAATTCTTTCGACAATAGATCTTGCTATGGATCAAGCAAGGAAGACTGCTTTGTTGGCTTATATGACAGTGATATTAACCTAGCAGTCAATCAAGATGGAGTCCCCCGTCTTACCAAGTTTTATAAGCCTGTGGATCTTCTCACACAGAAAACTCTACTTGACCAGATCTACCAGCTAATATCTGTCAGAACTTCCAAGGATTGCTCGTTCATAACACCTCCAAAATTACTAGAAGATTTGGACGATATCAAAGTGATCTATCGACATTACGCGACGCTTTATTTTGTGTTTGTAGTAGACGACCAGGAGTCAGAGCTTGGAATTCTTGACTTGATACAAGTATTTGTTGAGTGTTTAGACAAATGCTTTACAAACGTTTGTGAGCTTGACCTAGTTTTTGGGTGGCAGGTTTTACAGACAGTCTTGGAGGAGATAGTACAAGGAGGTATGGTAATAGACACCAACATAGCGCGCATTGTTACAGCTGTGGATGATGCCAATAGTCAGAAACTTAGTGGTGCTAGCGTTGGTACTGGATGGCTATCATCTCTTGATAGTGGATTCAGATGGAGACGGTGAAACTTATCGAAGTCCGCCTTTCGTCGGGCTTGAGAAAAAGATGATCTTTGCACGCAATCAACTGAAGAGGGCATGTTATGGCGACAAGTTCGAGATCACCAAAGATTATACATTATAAATACAAGCATAGTATCCTAGGTGCGAGTGCCTCAACGCCAAGAAAACCACAGCTTTTTAGATTGAGCGACCAATTTCTCTGTCTCAAGGAATTCAGCATTAGCAAGATCGATTTCTTGCTTTTTCTTTGCAAGTTCTAAGTCGCGATGGAATTCTTTCAGGTCAACCAAATTTGGATCTGCGCCTCTCGTGTCTTTCTCGAAAGGAGATGGAAGCCTGCCTGTTTTCCAAATGGGATCATTCGACTTGGAGGTCTCTTGCACTATTTTCATTAACTCTTCCTGCTCTTTTTGCCTGAGAGCCTTGTTCCGCTCATACTCTGCTCTAATTTCGGGCGAGAAGCGTGCAATCAATTCCTCATCTGTTGGAACCGTGTATTTGAAGAGCAAGACTCCTGTTCCCACGATCGAAATACCGGCACCCCACATACGAGCCCATTTTTGCAAAGATAAACCTCCGATAGCCATGATGATGTGTGGCGATGGAAAATCTGAGATTCTCTCCACAGACTTGAGTACGCTCGTATACGCAGGATTAAAGGCACATAATCACAGAGGGTACTTGAAGCAATAGTAAGAAACGGAAGCTCAGGGTGTGAAGTTACTCGTTGTAAAAGTCCAGACCGGAAACCCTGTGTTGCATCTTTTTTTGACAGGTATGCAGGGCTCGTTTTCGAACTTGGGCTTGTTATTAAAAATGGCATCTCTTCCATAACGCTCACAGTTTGGCCACTCAAGTCCCTTGAGATTGTAAGCGTGTGAACTGCTCAAAAAACCAAAAGAGCAGATAGGACGCTCGGAACTTTGCCCTTTATGGCTTTGAAAACGTCGCTACTGGTGCATAGAAATGTCGGGAGGTAGAAAAAAAAAAGCCTCGGAGTCAAGGCATGACTTGAATCGAGCTTTTGGGTGCACCACTGTTCTTGTCAGCTCACTGCAGACACAGGCGTGCGGGTCCACTCGCCTCACTGCGCCAGGATGTGACCGTGGTTTCAGAAAGAAAAGCACAGAGCAAGTAGAGCTTTCCCAGAACAAAGGTTTGACCCCATGCAAACAAAAAATATCCAAACCACTTGAAACAAAATACACTCAAGTGCCTATGCACGAACTTCTGATACAGAATCTGAAGCTGGCCCCATTTTAACGGAACACATGCAATTTTTACAATTTTGAGCTTTCAGTAAGGCCCGTCCCACTTTGGATGCCTGGAAGCTCGGAAGTTTGAACGGGTATACCACTGGACCAGATATTCAAAGCCGAGCCGTGGGTACGCGCGGAAGTGCCGGGATGTGGCTGAGTAATGCGGAGCCCTTCAAACCCGAAAAAGGGGAAAAAAGATTTTCGCGTCTGTCTGCGTGAATGCAGTCGGTGGCTAAACGAGACCCGAGGGGTTGCTATACGACGAAGACTAACACAGATAACCAAGTCAGACAACCAATTCAAGATATATCCATGATCCCCAGAAATTGAAGCGGAAACTGGCTAGGTGCTTCTGCTACACTCAACATCTGATTTCCACAATACCTAACCTGCAACAAAAGCCCATTTGAACGCCTGCGTCGCCCTCTCTTGATCATCCAGCAAAGTATGAAGGAACAGAGTAAGTCTGACTTGAAGTCAGGCTTCAAGCGGAAATACCACTCGAAGTCGAGGAAAGGCTGTTCGACATGCAAAAAAAGAAGGGTGAAATGCGACGAGCTCATGCCATCATGTGGCAACTGTGTCCGTATGAAATTGACATGTGGGTACTTGCAGGACGACCATTCCCAAGAAAACACTCCGAAAAGAAAAAAAGAGGAGAACACAAGCAAAGCCGGCAACTGCTCCCCCGGAACCCAACAGGCCACGCCGGCCATATCACCCAGTCCTCAGCCAAAGAAAGAGGATGCCGCAATGAAGTTCGCTGCGTCTGCTTTGGGCAGTGGGCTCTTATCTGCCGGGAACTTGAACAACATCAATATCAGCCAGTTGGTGAACAACCTCTCGTCCGTGGGGGATTTGAGCTCTCTAGGCGGCTTCGCCAACTTGAGCAACCTTGCCAGTCTAGCGCAACTCCCCAGTGATTTGGGTTCGATCACGTCACACTTGTCTAGTATTGGAGTCGACCTCAGCTCTTTTGGATTGGGGCCTCAAGGAACTGACTCGCATCTGCCCAATGGAGTGGCGGCCTCTTCCTCCGGGGACTGCGCGAATGCACCGAACCAATCTCTCGACTCGTTGATAGATGGTGCTCCACTACTATCTAAGCATCCAGAAGGCACGTCTTCTGGCAATCTAGAAATGCCCCTGGCCGATCCGGGAGTTTCGCATGACTCGTCTTCCGATTACTCAGACAGTGGTCTGTCATCTTCTGCCAGTTTGGGCTCGCTTAATATGCTAGACTTGAGACTAATGTACCACTACACGACGCATGTCTCAAGCACCATTACCGGAGCTGGCATTTCTGACACCGATATCTGGAACAATGATATCCCCACATTGGCGTTTGAGTTTCCTTTCTTAATGCACGCACTTTTGGCGTTCAGTGCAACACACCTCTCGCGGACCGAAAAGGGCCTAGACAAATGTGTCACGCGACATAGAGGAGATGCGTTGCGCTTGTTACGAGAGGCGATTTTGGATATCAGGGCTGACAACACAGACGCTTTGGTGGCCAGTGCTTTAATCTTAATCATGGACTCGCTAGCAAACGCGTCTGTGCCTTCCCTGACCTCACCTAAATCCCTTCCTGCTTCAGCTTGGATCTTTCACGTGAAAGGAGCTGCAACCATCCTTACTGCCGTATGGCCGCTCACCGAGTCGTCTCGATTCTATAAGTTTATTGGCGTGGATTTAGGAGATCTCGGCGATATAATCAACCAGAAAAGTCAACTCACAGACATGGTCCTGCTTTCTTTCGCCAACTTGAACTGCCATGATTCAAGTATTGCAGATCTTTATCCCGTTCCCATAAACTCACCATATCTAATCACTTTAGCTTATTTGAGCAAGCTTCACAAGGAGAGGTACAAGGCTGATTTCATTCTACGGATATTTGCGTTCCCAGCATTGCTCGAGAAGGAGTTCTTGGGAATGCTTATGTCTGGAGACATCAAGGCCATGCGCATTATGAGATCCTACTACAAGCTTCTACGGTCTTTCACTCTGGAGATGAAGGACAAAGTCTGGTTTTTAGAAGGAGTTTCGTCGGTCCTCCCGGTCGACGTCGAAGAGTACGCCGGAGGTGCTGGTGGTATGCATATGATGCTAGATTTCTTAGGTGGTGGCCCAGCTATTGTTGAAGACCACGAGGTGGACAAGGATCTACTGATGATCGATCCGGGTGGTGAGATCGCGAATAAGCTCATTGACACGAATAATTTACCGAGTGAAATAACCAGCAACCTCGACATCATGCAAGGTGACAGTGGCATGATGGAGATGAAGCTCGATTGATTTAGAACGACAACATGCAAAATGGCAGGCCATACGAGCACTTGCAGCCGGAATCACACCAATTTATTTGATGTGCGGAGGTACGTCGGGGGATCGCTCTTGCGTTGCCCCTATTCTGGAATCGACGCGGGATCGGGCTGAAGCATTGCCATGTACTTACCAAGCGCGCGCGAAGTGTGAGGGCTCTTCTCTATTGTGTACTGCAAGTTGTCGCACATGATTGGTTTTTTCCCTATTTGCCCTGTCGCGGCCTCAAAGATTTGCGAGATACAGGCCAAAAAAATAGCCCACCAAGTGTAATCTTGGATAACCTTTCTTTCTCGTCTTGAATACGTCTTATACATACAACATTCCATACCTCCTAAATTTTGTTCGTTACATCTATTCCTTCTCCTTCTTTGCTTTGAAAACACGCTACCAGAAAGATAAAACTAGTCTGCTCCCTTGCTTTTAAAGTACAATTCCGAAGCATAAGCATTAAGGAAAAAAAAAACATACGCAAGTGAACACCCCAAGAAACACTGAATACACGCGAGTCAGTGACGCCATCTGGAGCGAAGTTACTCAGTATCAATCAATACTTCCACAATAGAGAATATGCAGACAATCAAATGCGTTGTCGTCGGTGACGGTGCCGTGGGAAAGACCTGTTTGTTGATTTCCTATACAACCTCAAAGTTTCCCGCTGATTATGTTCCCACAGTCTTCGACAATTACGCCGTCACGGTAATGATTGGCGATGAGCCTTTTACTCTAGGCCTTTTTGACACTGCAGGCCAGGAAGACTACGACAGATTGAGACCCTTGTCTTACCCTTCTACGGATGTGTTTTTGGTATGCTTCTCTGTCATCGCACCAGCATCTTTCGAAAATGTGAAGGAGAAATGGTTTCCAGAAGTGCACCACCATTGTCCGGGCGTGCCATGTCTTGTGGTCGGAACTCAGATTGACTTGAGGAATGACGAGGTTATTTTGCAGAGATTGCACAGACAGAAATTGTCCCCAATTTCCAGCGATCAAGGTGAGAAGTTGGCCAAAGAGTTGCGTGCAGTAAAGTATGTCGAGTGTTCTGCTTTAACTCAAAGAGGATTGAAGACAGTTTTCGATGAAGCCATTGTGGCTGCCTTGGAACCTCCTGTGATCAAGAAGTCGAAGAAATGCACCATCTTGTAAAGTGGGCTTTTTTCTTTAGAGGGTGTATACTGGCGGCTCACTTTTTGCTTCAATTTTTAGCCTGAAGATGGGGTACATCATGTCTGCGTTGAGACTAATTTTATGATTATGGGCTCGTATCGACAAAGCTCGTCTACCTCACAAGCTACAGTTCATGCAATCTTTGCGACTTTCACGACTTGCAACGAATAAGTCAAGTGCTTGGTTCTCCCACGAGAGAAAGCGCCTGACATGGCTTTCCTTATACATGTGTTATAATAAAATTTTATTCAAGGCCAGGAACCAACGATTAGACTTCCAATGCTGCTAGTGGACTATATAAACAATGCACTAATAAAGTATGCACGGGTATAGGTCCAGGACGCTTTTACTCAAGGAAGGCGTACCATCTGTTTTGGATCTTGATTGAAATGTGTCTCTTCGTTCTGTCCCAACAATGAATATATTTTCGCCCCTCTGCTATAAAGCTTTTCCTTGGAAGTTGGCATTGAGTGATTGTTTGTTGTCCTATTATTTCCTGACAAATTGAGATGGCATAGATCACGCTTAATACAGAGCTAGAATGTTACGTCAGGCGAGGAAAGGACGATTACATGTTACATTTCGCGAGAAATTGAATGACGAGCCTTTCTACAACTTACTGTTTTCAGAGCATGAATAACCAAAGAAGAGCGATCAACACAAAATGCTGGATATAGTTTGGTCGGAAAAGGCAAATGCACTACAACCTTTTCGCAACTAGAAGCACGCTTTGGCACGGCAAATACTTCTTCGATTTGCGCGCCAGATGTCTCCTGAATCTCCCGAGCTCTGCAATGCAAAAGACGGAATTCCTTCGAGATCTGAGCCGACTCGCGGCAAACCGTTCGTGCGCATCTCAACTAATCTGGTCACCACCGGACTTGTAACTACCTGTACCCATGTCTAGAAAGAGACACATGAAGCAGTTCGGATGGCACTAGAAGGCTGAGTAATAAAACGAAAATATCAAGCGAGAAATAAATACATAAAAGAACTAGATTATGCGTCATCTTATAACGAGCTTGGTTTGACAAACCCGCATGATGGCTTAGTGAGGTCATCGGCGCGCCCAGTGGATCAGTGGCTTCTCCATCTGAACCATGCTTTCAACAAGACAGCATTTCTTGGCAAGAAATGCTGAACAACGTACATCTGAAGTTCTGCCGCGGCCTCGTACATGGTTCTTTCAGGGAAAGAGCATGCGTGTCTGATTGGAATTCGCTTATTAAAAGCGAAACATCGTACCTGAATGTGCCGTTTGTTCGCGCCGCCCGCGTTTAGCAATCTGCATTGTCTGCACACCCCACCTCAATTGGGACATGAGCCGAACCGATAACCAGGAAAGGCTGAGAAACGCCATGAAAAAAAAGACCCACCCCATCTTCATTTGCCATCGGCTGCCTTTTCACGTTACCTCTGATATACTAATATGTCAGAAAAGAGCGTCAAACTGGATTCCTCAAATCTGTGGGAAGGAGTGGACCAGGTCCTAAACACCTTTTCAAGCTCGGGCTCCGAGCTGTCAAGGTCCTCCCATACCCTCCTGATGTCTCACGTGAGTGATTCCTTGATACCGACATCTAACAGTTCTTCAGTAACACCTTTGACCAGATCAGACTCCCTGAAACACACAAGCAACAAACGTGGAGTCATCACCAAAGAAAAACTATTTGCACACTCGCTGTACGCTGATGACATCGACTTTATTAGGGACCAAAACAGTTACATGCGCGAGGCCGGGGCCCAAAGTATCCCCCAGTCTCTGCCTGAAGACACCTTCATTGCACCTACCTCGATTGCTGGATACAAGATCTTGGATCAACTATCTCCTAAAAACGCCACCTCATATATTTTCAAGGGATTGCATGAAATCACGGGAGAGTCTGTATTCATCAAGCTTTCTCCAGATTTTGCTCACGTGGAGCACGCGGCTCGGTTCCTCAATGACTGGTATATCACATCAGGCCTTAACCCGGCCTCTGAAGAAATGCTATGGACTATTGGGGACGTTGAATCTCCAAGCAAAACATCTCCGAGCCCTTCGTGGAAGACACTTGCGGCCGGGTCTCCCGTCACATTACCGAAGGACTTGCCGGGGATTTTGTACCCTATCAAGGAGTTCAATGTAGAGGAAGAGACCCTCGGCGTAGTGAGGAAATCCATGGCATTGGTTTATCCTGATCTAAGTCTCAAGTCCATGTACGATTATTATTCCGAGAAAATCAGAGAAATTCTCCCTGAAAAGACATCGTTGTGGTCGGGCAGCATTATCTCAGGCTTCTCAGATCATAGCACGGCTTCGCTGGAAAGATCATCGTCAATACATGGTTCTGAAAACGGTGACTATGTGGAGTTGGCGAACAAGGTAAAGCAGCTTTCGAAGCCATCTTCTCTAGTTGTGGAGATATTAAGGGACATAATCGATGCACTAAAGACCTTGTCTTTTGCACACAAGGCAGGAATATGTCACAATGGTATCACTAGCCATAGTATCTTGGTTTCTACGCTCAGACTGAAGGAGCACACAAGCGGACTGAATGTTTTCGTCATTGGCTGGGACTTCAATTTTTCCGTGGCGATCGAGAGCTCATCTGAGCTGTACAGGAAAAAGACCATCAACACTATTCAAGATATGTTCCACTACATGCCTCCTGAAGGCGTCAATGGTGGAATGACATCTGTGGACTACCGTTCTGACATTTATTCGATTGGTGTTGTGTTATACGAGTTGATAGTCGGCTGCCTTCCTTTCCGTTCGGACAACCTTGCAACTTTGCAAAGAATAATCATGGATCAGAACCCTATTCAACCCAAAATTTTGGGGCCCAAGTGGATCAGTAATGACCTCAATTACGTTGTTTTAAAGTGCCTTCGAAAGAACCCAAGCGAGCGGTACTCAAGTATTGATCGATTGATCGATGATTTAAAGCTTGTCGTAAAGAGTTATTGTGAACCAATCAGAAAGGAGAATGGAAAATTGGCATTCAAAGATATCGTTGCACCCACTACAGAACAAATCCCTTTGTTCCATTCTTCGATAACCAATTCGAACAATTCTGATCCCAGGAAAGCTGCGTTCGAAATCCTCAATAATTCCGAGACGTCAAAGGTGATTGTTTTACAAGGCGACGCAGGTGTCGGAAAGGCTACTCTCATGGAGCAAATTTCTGGTTTGGCACAAAGCAAAGGCAATTTCATCGTGAACTGGAGATACCATTTTGAAGACAACAATGTTTCAAAGCATGCTTCCTCAATGTTTGCATTACACAGTATTACTAGGCAGATTCTTTCATCCTCAGAGGAAGTTATCAATGAGTGGAGAAAAACCTTCACAACCGAAATTGAAGTTGATTTGAGTATTTTGTTCAGCGCAATTCCAAGCTTGAAAACTCTATTAGGTACTCACTACAAAGCTCTACAACAAACTAAGGATGATTCGCTGAGCTTTGCTCACAACTCTGGTCCGAGCACACCGGGGGGGCTTGGGGATTTATTTACTGATGGAGTTCAAAGTCAACATCCATCCATGGAGGAGGAGTCACGCGACGCAGGCTTTGAAGAACAAAAGCTTAATATTGAACTAAAGTACTCATTCATCTTCAAGAAATTTTTCACACTTGTTGCAAGGAAAGGCCTTACAGTCTTACTTGAAAACCTTCATTTGTGTACACAAGATGAATACGACATGTTGCGAGAGTTTCTTCAGTTTTCCAGTCAGCTGCCTGACTCAAAACTCTTTCTTGTGGCGTCATTCGAAAATGAAGCGGCAACAACAGAATTTGCTGAAAAAAATGCAATCTTTCCGCAATTTCAAGCGACTACAGAATCGCTTCTTCTCCCCTTCCATATTTTAAAGGTCGAGAGACTAAGCTTTGTGAAGTTTGACAGATTTTTGGAGAAATTCACGAGTAATCCAAATGATGCTGCTATAACCCGAAGAATTTATGACCATGTGGATGGAAAGCTCCTTTCACTTAATTACTTGACACGCCTTTTCAGATTGAAACATCTTGGAACCAATTCATTCTGGGGATGTCTAGATCTGGAAATACAATCAGGCAAAGCTCCAACGGAAATAGGACTGATTATTTCAGAGTATTTGAACATCGCTCTCACGCCCAAGGCACTCAGATTGTTGAAGTATGCTGCTGTGACATGTGTTAATGGATATTTCAGCATGTCTGACTTAATGATTGTGACAGGGATTTCACTCAAGGAAGTTAATGAAATCTTGCTGTTTTGCATGAAAACTAGACTCATCGTTCCAACAGGTATATGCTATAAAGTGCCTTTTCATCTTATTGCAAGTGATGACTTTGTTTTCGAGATTGAAGATAGTCTTGTGTGGGACTTGGCTACGCGTGCAAGATACAAATTTGACCATGATGTTATCAGAATACACTTAATCAGAGAGATGGGGAAATGTAACGAGCTTATGGAAGTCCATCGGGAATGCGGTTTACAGATGAAGAGAAAACTTTCCAAGGAAGTAACCGTCAATATCACTTCCTATTTATTGATGGTGTCGCATATCTACCGATCATGTGACGTTGCCAGGGCAGAAGATTTCAGGCATTATAATGAAGCATTGATCACTGGCGGCAGGTACGCCATTTCAACGTCGAATTTACCATTGGCTTTGCGATATTTTACCAGTACCATGAGATTTGTTCATAAAGATGATAAGAGGCGCAAACTTAAAATCATTATGACACAGGTACAATGTAACTACCTACTCAAGAACTTTGACGAAAGTATTCGTCTTATTCAGCAAGTGGAAGTCAATATTGGCAAAGAAAATCTTAGCTTGGCCCATTTGAAGGTTTGCTCGTTGTTTAACATGAAAAAGTACGAAGATGGAATGAGATTGGCGATCATCAGTTTGCAACGACTTAAGATTGATGTATCAAACGATGTGGTTGAGCTGAGAAAGATTGCCGCGAAAAGTTATACTCAATTGCCATTATCGGTGAGTGAGATACGCGACTTGAAATCATTAAAAGCTGCCACAAACAAACTGTTTCTCCTCGTGACATCGTTCATCATGGATATGATCAACCCGACTTACATACTTGATCTTCCAGATGTTCGAATAGCAATCCTTTCCCAGTTGGTGCAACTTATGCATCGTTATGGTCGCAGCTCTTCTTGCGCGATACCTTTATTACATTTGGCAAATGTGTTTCTTCAACCTGGCGAGCACATGAGCACTGTGAAAGCACAAGAGTTGACAGATGTTGCATTGGATACCATAAACGAAAATAAGGGAGCAAGTACAGCACTTACTCAGAGCATAAATGAGTCCTACTTGACATTGATGGGTCAGTTTAGAAGCCCTGTACCTAAAATATTAAAAGCGGCATCTCTGATTAATCAAGAACATGACCCGAAGACAGTAAATTACTTCATCGATAACTGGATGCTGGCGAACCTGATGTTTTTAGGGAATTTGAGAGGCTACGTTAGCTCAGGCTTCAGCTCTAAGAAGAGCGTATCATTCTCAAATGATATTGAAATCCTGATTTTTAAATCCATAGCCGAACTTTGGTGTCTGGAGGAACCGATCGAAGAATATTTGACCCAAGTGTATTCAGCTTCGAAGGGATTGAAACCGGATATTGAGTTTGTGGCTTTAGCAAATGCAGTCATCAAAGCGTCTTCTGAACAAAATTTTCAACTAGCATGCGCCCTCATAATGGATAAAGCTTTTGACTTACTGAGAAAGACGCCCGTGTCTATTCTGCACATCTGGTTCTACTTTATATCTGTTGTTTGCCTCACAAACTGCAACACATCGGAAAATAAGAAGGAAAGACTAGAATTGGCCAAGGAAATTGAGTCTTACTTTAAAATTTGGTCAACAACTTGCTATGTAAATTTTGGGTCAGAAATGAAGCTTATTGAGGCTTGTATTAAGACACAAGATTCCAATGCGTCAGAGTTGACCCTACTTGACTTGTTCGAGGAAGCCATAGATGATGCGCAGAGACAGCAAAATTGGTTGGCAGTCGCTATGGCAAATCGCTTATGTGCAAAATGGTTGCAAAGAGTATCGAAGAGTCAAAAAAGAGCGAACGAGTACGCACATAGAGCCTTTGCTCTATATTCTGCAATGAACGCTCCCAGTCAAATCCTGGCCATAAAGAAAGATTTTCCAGACATTTCAGACAACTTTAATTGGGCTGGAATTCGAAAGATGGTCAGTCCTGAGAAACCCATTATTGAAAACGCAAATTTTTTCGAAGGTTCTTCTTATCCCAATAATCGTCAGGGATCGAATCTAAGAATAGATCCATCAGTGGTAGAAAAGGAGCTGACAGCTAGTGACGCGAATTTTATTCCCAAGCTGGGGCAGATAAAATCCATTGAAAAAAAGAATTCAAATGAACCTACGAATAGTGAATGGACCGAGGCTATCAGATTATGTCTCACTATATCTCAATCATCAAGTCTTGACTTGATAGTTCAGACCCTACTAGAAAGCGCTTTGATGTTTTCAGGGGTCGATTACGGTGCGGTGATTTTGAACTTTCAGACAAAGGAGCCCACGATCAAAGCCATTGGCACCAATAATAGTATTTTTTTGTTGGATGACGAACAATTAGCAACTAGAACTGACTTGGTGCCTTTTAAATTGGTTTTACAGTGTCTTCTAACGGGTGAAATAACATGCAAAGAGAGAAAACTCCTGCTGCATGAAGATGACATGAATGAGGATATTTACTACAGCAACAACCCTTCTTACTCGGGAATTTGTATTCCTATTTCAACCTCTACGGTAATAGGTGTCATTTATCTTGAGAGTCATTTTCACAGTGGTTCTCCTAAGCTACAGTTCCCATTGGTCGAGTCTACAAAAATTGATCTTTTATACTTGCTTTGCTCCCAAGCTGCAGTGTCCTTCTCAAAATCTGTTGTTTACACACAGATGGAATTGGCAAAGAAGGCTGCCGAGGAAGCAACTGAGGAAAAAGCGAGTTTTTTGGCTAACATGTCTCATGAGATCAGAACTCCTTTCAATTCCCTTTTTGCATGCTCTATTTTCTTGTTGGATACGGAGTTGGATGATATCCAAAAAGAATACGTGGAGACCATCAAAGATTCTGCTTTGGTAACCCTCAATATCATTGATGGGATTCTTGCATTCACGAAAATAGAGCATGGTTCTTTCACACTAGAAACTGAAGATTTCTCGATCAACGACACGATTGAAAGCGCAATACTGTTTTCAAGTGAGCAAACTGAATCAGATGAGTTGGAGTTCGCGTATTTCAACAGGTGCCCCCAGATTGAGACCATTCAGGGGGATCCTACGAGAATTCGCCAAATAATAATCAATTTGGTTGGCAACGCCTTGAAATTTACCTCAAAAGGATATGTGAAAGTTATCTTAGATGCCAAACTTATTACAGACGCTAGATACGAAGTTAGCATCACTGTTGAAGACACAGGTATAGGAATTCCGGAAGATTCGAGATCTAAAGTTTTTGGAGCATTTGCACAGGTGGATGGCTCATCAAGACGAGTGTACGGTGGGTCTGGTCTAGGTCTTGCGATATCAAATAAGCTTGCTGAGATCATGAATGGGAGAATTACATTTACAAGCGAAGAGGGGATAGGTTCGGTGTTTTGCTTCACCTGTCCTTTTGAAGTGGCTCTTAATGACAAAACTTCAAAAGTTGAACCCCGTGATGTCTGTATTGTCTCAAATACCAGATGGAAAAGACTTGCTCTTAGAGATATTTTGGAATACTATGGGGCGACTATCGCCTTGTATGACAGTATCAATGATTTGATACGAGAGCTGCGAGAGTTTGAGATTTTGATCATTGACAAGAACATGATACTCAATGATATAAAGATCAGGTCATCCTTGAACTGGAAACGTTCCCTGATTTACGTTTTGACTAGGTTTGGCCTGATGCTCTCTGATCAGAGACTTAAGGAAATTGAAGCTGATAGCTTGATATTTTCTCCCATTAAGAGAAAATCAGTCAGAAAACTTCTCGAGAATAATTTCAATTGGAAATCACTCCCTGATAAGGTTGTGAAAACCTTACAAAAACCAATTAGCTCGGGTCCTGATGTTGCCAAATCTGTTCTGCGAGGAAAGTCCGAAGTTGAGGCCGAAAATGCCAACCCGCTCACAATCTTGATTGCGGAGGACAATCCAGTAAACTTACGGGTTGCACTGCAGCATCTTAAAAAGTTAGGATACATCGCTGATCACGCAAAAGATGGTGTTGAAGTTCTCGAGAAGTGCGAGGAAAAGCTAAAGAAGGGTGAGAAATACGATGTTATTTTCATGGATATACAAATGCCAAGGAAGGATGGAATCCAAGCTACACAGGACTTGAGAAAGTCGTATTTGGAGAGGGGCCATGCAAAGTTTTTGCCTCAAATAATAGCGTTGACAGCGAACGTTGCTGGGGAGGAGAGAAGCAAATGTCTACACTGCGGGATGATCGATTTTGTGACGAAACCAATTTTGCCAGCGAAACTTAAGTCAGCTTTGCAAAAGGTCATTGGAATTATGAGAGAAAATAATGACTAGAGTTATCATGTAATACGAAGATGCTACAACGCAAGAATGTACCACATTTTCGATGAAATATTTTTACGCTAGATCAATGGTCAGAAGCTTTAATTTACTACAAACCTAACAAAACCAAAACTTGAGCGAAGTCACAATTTGATCAGTTCAGACACGCCCTTTGTTGAAAAGGCTGTTCACCAGGGCCAAGAATTAGGCCTTGGAGTTAGCAAGCCTGAGTCTCTCCTCTTTCCAGGCGGCATAAGCCAACTTGTAGGCTGCCCGCTCCTTGTCGGAAGGCGAAAATGTCATCTTTTCTTCCGGTGTCAATTTCTTCCACTCCAGGGAAGCCGCTTTAGAAGCTTCACCGAAGTCGGCTCCTGCGGTCCAGACGGACTTCAAGAATTTTGCGTAAGCAGGAACAGGTCCGACTGGCTTTGGAGTGTAGATCTTCAGCTGGTCTTCATTGAACTTTTTGGCTTTTTCAACATATGATTCCTTTTCCGCGTCGCTCAACTTGACCCACGCTTGACTGGTCTCAGCCAAAGCGCCAATGCTCTTGATGTTCTCTTTCACAAAAAGGTTTAATGGAGTGATATGCTTGTATGGCCTGAGAGCTCTTGCCTCGCGCTTCTTCTCAAGTGCAATTTTTTTCTTTTTCTTCTCGTTGTCCAAAATCTTCCTCAATTCGATCTTCATCTCGTTCAAGACCAGCTTCTCCAGCTTGAGTTGGGCTCGCAAATCCTTGAGTTCCGGGGAAACCGGTTTTCTGCTTGCGACGGCAGCCTGGGAGCTCAACAATTGAGCCCCAGTGAAGCATCTGGCCTGGAAAACGGCGAATTTGGCGGTGTTTGAACGTGCAATTTGGAACATTTGCGGTTTTTTGATAGTAGGTGAAGTTGTTTTTATAGATTCTTATTTAAGGGGAGAACAGGATTCGTACCCGCGGGTCTATGTACAGGGTTTTGTTTTGTTTCAAGCCTGCCTCGGCATGTATGCCGGATGCATAGCTGTTCTTGCTAAAACAAACCACCTAACCCGTGCAGCAGCGAAAGTGAGGTATGAATTCTGAAACGGTTGAGGGAAGTTACACAATACCTGGGAGGGCTTTGGCATAAGCGGAAGTATGCTGTGCAATTGCGCATTTGGGAGAATGTTCAACTTCTAGTTGTCGCGCATCTTCAACTGTAATAGTTGCACCACATTAGGGCTTGCTTGCTGTGACTGATCGTAGCCCAAATCTAACTAGAGCGCTGAGCGCAATTGACCCTTCACCTTTAAGTGCCTGTTACCAAGATTATACCGCTCAAGAAGCCACCACCCATTTCCTCATCATAAATTAACTGAAACGTCTGGCGCGTCTTGCAAAGTACTGGCCGCGCCAAGATACAACCAGTGGGGGCCGGAAAGGGCGACCTGCCGAAGTCACCCGTACTTTTCTTTGTCTTCACTCCGACTGAAAAACACCTTTTTATTTTGTTTAAGAGACATTATATCGAATGAATCACCCAATGCGTAGAGTTATCTTTTTTCTTTTTTTGAAAAAAAAACAAAACAAAACAAAACACCAAAACTGATGGTGTGGGAATGCAGGTGTCCAGCTTGCCCAGGCCTGAGACCATTCCCCATCAACTACTTGTGGCCCATAAGTCCATAGTCTCCAAGAAGCAATGATTGGATATTCGAGTCCGCAATTCGCGCGGCGTAGCGCAGTATGGAAGAGCGTCATCTCAACCGCGAGGCTCTTAGCGGGACGGAGCCGCCGGAAGCCGCTACTGCAATCTTTGCCGAGCATACATTGGGAAAAAAGATCTTATAATCCGGGGAAGCCCCGCTCGTTGACAGCGAGATTTCCCGGCAGATCCGGTTCCGTTTATCACTAACTCCTTCGATTGAACATGGCACCTGTCTTGAAGAACAAGAAGCTTTTTGAAGCCAAGCCTTTTATCAACGGCGAGTGGTACAACTCCAAGTCAGAAAGGACTTTCAAGGTCTATGATCCAGCCACAGAGGAGGTTATCGTCGAGCTCCCTGACCAAACGCCCGAAGAGATCGACGAGGCCATCAATGTGACAAGTAAAGCCTTTGCCTCCTACAAGAACACCAGCCCTACGGAGCGCTCCAAATGGTTGAGAAACTTGCACAACTTGATGATGGAAAACTTGGACGATTTGGCTGCAATCATCACCTGGGAAAACGGCAAGTGCTTGACCGATGCCATTGGCGAAGTCAAGTATGCCGCGTCATACTTCGAGTGGTTTGCCGAAGAGGCAAAGAGAAACTATGGCCACACCATCCAACCAGCTAACTTCAACAACAAGGTCATCACATACAAACAGCCGGTGGGTCCTGTTGGTTTACTTTGTCCTTTCAACTTTCCTTCCGCCATGGGTGCTCGCAAGGCCGCCCCTGCATTTGCGGTAGGGTGCACGTGTGTATTGAAGCCAGACGGTCAGACGCCTCTATCTTCGTTGGCGCTCGCGTACTTAGCGGACCAAGCGGGATTTCCGAAGGGTGTTTTCAACGTGGTGTTGGTCAGTGTTGAATCTACCCCAGCATGTGGCTTGAAGTTTTGCGAGTCGCCAGCAATTAAAAAGATATCCTTTACTGGATCCACTCCCGTGGGAAAATTGTTGTACAAGCAATGTGCCCCAACATTGAAGAAAATGTCCATGGAGCTTGGAGGCAATGCGCCGGTGGTCGTCTTCAATGATGCCAGACTCGACTTGGCTGTGGACCAGGCGATTGCGTCTAAATTCCGCTCCTTAGGTCAAACATGTGTGTGCGCCAACAGATTATACGTACAATCTGCGGTGTACGATGATTTTGTCAGTGCGTTTGCCGAAAAAGTTCGCCAATTCAAAATTGGAAATGGGTTTGAGAAGGGCGTGACTCACGGCTGTTTGATCAACACAAAAACGATTGATAAGGTCGAGGAGCACGTGAGAGATGCGGTCTCCAAGGGTGCTGAGATTGTGGTCAAAGGCGGCACCCTCCAAGAATTGGGAAAACACTTTTACGCTCCCTACGTCTTGAAGAACATCACCAATGACATGAAGGTTGTTCACGAAGAGACGTTTGGGCCTCTTGCAGCGATTGTAAAATTCGAGACCAAGGAAGAAGTCCTCAAGCATTGCAACGACACCCCATATGGTTTGGCCGCATACGTGTTTTCTGAAAGTCTTAACACTATCTACACGGTTTCCGAGGCGTTGGAAGTCGGAATGGTCAGTGTGAACACCGGTCTTTTCACAGATGCCAGTATGCCATTTGGGGGAATAAAAGAATCTGGGTTTGGACGTGAGGGTTCTTTGTATGGTATGGACGACTATACTGTTGTGAAATCCATCACCCTCGGGAATGTCTTTGACTAAGCATATTGTCGAAATTTAGGAGAGCAAAACAGATTCTTCAATCATTACCTTGTAGACGGGCACGACGTCCGCATAAGATGAATTGGGAGTAGCTACCGAGGAGTCAAAGGAAGAGAGGGGATTTCCGTGAAACACAAATCAAATTCTCACCAAACGTTATCGTAGGAATTGTAAAAGGCTATTTTGATGACAAGACTCAAGGCCAAAAAACGTGTCATGGAATACTGGCTCATTTTTGGTCGTGCTTGAGCCGTAGCCTATACCAAAGTTGTGAGTGCGCACTCTTGCAATTCGCTTTCCATCTATCTGTCATCATCTAAAGAACACGATGGAAAACGTTGATCAAATAAAGCGACCATTGGAAGGGGTGTATCTCATTGACCAAGAAGGTACGTATTTTGAAATATTGCGTCCGAAAGCTTTTGAAAGATGTCCACAACTTACTAACTTTTAGCTACATATAATGCCCCAAATCCTACTCCACTTGATAACTTGCTTGCTATGTACGACCTTGAACTGATAGCCAGCTCGTTAGGCAGAACAAAACCTGATGGATCGAAAGGAGTTAAACTCAGAAAGTCATATAAGAACCACATCCAAGACTTGAAAGGCAAGCATCAAATACCGCCCTCGAAGCCTTTAAACGGCCAGATATTGGACCCAGAGCTAGCTAAAATCCCCGACGTGATCACCGAATTCAACCCGGAGTTGCTTAGTGCTGCTTTGAAATTTGATAAAACATCCATTAACGGAATTCCGGGCTTTTCTCCGTCTGATTTGGCCTTGAGCGATCAAGCCGCCTCCACGAGAGGAGATGACAATGGCGAGTCCGAAGAGGCAAAGAGAAAGCGGAAAAAAAAGCAGCTTATGGGGGTAGAATACAAGCGCCATCATATCTAAAATATCATTTATTTGGTCCACAAGTCTGTAATGGATTAGATCGTTTATCAGAGAGAACGACTATCATTCTTGGCGTCACTATTTCGTTGTCACTTCGAGCTTTTTGAACATTCATGGACTGTGTTAGGATTTGCAGGCTCGAGAGGGAGAGATAAAGACAGCATGTGTATGTTTCTCAAAAAAGCTTTGTACCGCCGAAGATTATTCAGTCTTGTTGTGACTTTGTTTCGCAAAATCCTTAAAGAGTGGCTCATTAATGATCTGACGACAACAGACTTGAAGAAATCCACAACTTCAAATAGTGACAACACCTTTCTCTGGATCTCCCATCGTGGCAATACCAAAAGGAAATTAGTAACGTTGAGCCACCTTTTTAATCCATTTTTCATCCGCAAGGTTATCATCACCTCAAACAGGTGAGATGTCAACTTGGCAATGCTCAAATACTTTTTTGATCTCGATATCATAGAGTTCAAGTCTTCGTCAAGGTCTGTCTTTGAGCTCGTGGCTAGAGAGGATTCTTTACTCGAAATATTTTTGTCTGAGCCCTTTGAAAATGTTGACTTTTTGCCATTCAGTTTTATTTCATCGCACAGTGCATATTCCACATTGAATTTGTCCGGTGAGGTGTTAACATTGCCTCGGGATCCTTTTTTAACTCCCATGACCGGACTGCGGCTCAAGTCCCGGCTTTTGTTTTGACGGAAGAGGAACCGAATAAGCAGTCTTCCGGTTTCTTCTTCTATTTTGACATTTAGCGGAAGCGAGCTTATATCAAAATTGTCGATGATTTTTATTCCTCCGACGGACTTATTCATGGACCAGTCAATTGTGACTAAGTGATGATCTTTAGGGGGCTCAATTGGTTCCAAAAAGTTTTTGAATCGAGAATTCGACAGAAGACTGCGGCCATTGATACTCATTATTTCGATACGATTATCATTAGACCCATCGTCCTTCACGGCACGTTTGTATACGCCACGATCAATGGTCAAATCGATAATATGGCTCCGATCATCATTCAACATGCGGATTGTAATATCATCCGCCGCTATTCGCCAATCTTGAACGACACGTGATAACGAGCCTCTGGCAATATCTCCCAGAAAGAGTATCTGTAGCATCAACACAATTTCCATTTCAAATGAGGCTTTTTTATCTGCCAAGAGTAAGTAATCATTCAAGCTTTCATTATCAAGAAAACTTTTTTGTCGAAAGCTGTAGTTTTTGAGGAGTTCTTTTGTGATCCCAACATATTCGTATAAATCTTCGAGTCGATCTCGAAGTGCACGAAAGTCTTGAAAGTCAATAGAAAAATTAAGTTTTCTTACTCTTTCTCTTAGTTCCGCAGCCAAGGGCTCAATATATAGCATGAGGCTCAGAATTGTAGCATAAAGGCTGAAATACTGTTTTGATGTACAGTTGATAGAAATTCGTGGAATGTCAATCTTTAGCTTATCAGCCGCATTTCGAGACATGTTGATGCTTCTCTCACTGCGAGCAACATTTTCTGTCGTATCCATTGTATCGCAGCTTGATGCTAAAGGCTGATCAAAAGTCAACATTACGGACATCTGCTGAGCAAGCAAGGTATCTGGAGATGCTAAATCTTGTCTTTTACAAGTTTCAACTCCCAAAAAAGGGGGCCATTTTGTTTGAGTTCCATATGGTGTTGTTTCGAATGCATATGGATTCGTCTTCACATCTTTTTCGTCAATAACCATTAAACTAGCTTCATGCAAAATGACTCCGTACCGTTTTTCCATGACATCGAGATCATTGAGAGGCTGATTTTCTTTCTTTGTTACAACAGAAACAATTTTAGCCTCTAGGCAAGGTGCCGTTACTATTATGACTGAGTCTTTCAGCTCTTCGGAATGTAGCTGTATTTGTGGCGAGACAATTTCAATTTTGTAGTTTTCCACAATGTCCTCCAACAAAGTGGTCTGATGAATGATTTTATCGAAGTTGTCATACCTCTTTTGAGAACTTTGATTTTCATCAGGAGTCTCGGAGTCTACACTCTCTCGGTTCAACAGTTCGGAAAACGACGTCGCGAGAGAGAGTTCATCAATTGGCATATTCTGATTCTCAATGAGCCCCTCAAGAATGCTCATGAAACCAAATGACAAAAACTTCTTGTGGCTGCTGTTCAAATGAACAAAATGAATATACTTCATTAGTTGATTGCGAACTTGTTCATTCCACTTCAAAAACATCGACACAAGAAGAAACCTATTATGAAAGCTTTCTTCTTTCTTCAGTTCAAGCACATTAAAGCTATCACTACGCGCAAAATTTCTTCGATCTGATTTGCAACTGGCCATCAAAGCATTTAAAACCTCAATTCGTTTTGATACCCGAAACTCTTCGTGATTCTTTTGCAGGGAAGGCAACCCTGACAATTGTTTGACTCTTCGCTTGTAAAGCTGGATTTCAGATGACTTGTAATCTGTAAGATCTAGGTTGCATTTATGCATCTTAGTTCCAGATTTGTGTTCGAGGTTTATGCCATTTGTTGTGTCTCTCATATAGACAAATTCCTCAGAATAAAGAAGAGGTAAGATCTTTGCAGATTTTAAGTCGCCAATTAATGGTCTGAAACATTCGACATAATCTCTCACGTCAAGCCACTCGTCGTCATTGTCAAAAATCTCTAGGAGGACTTTCAGCGGTTGGCTTTGGTTTTTCTGCCCTTGCCCCTGCTGGTAGATGTCACGAAAGAATATAGCAGAGATGGATCGTAGGTCAATGTTTTTGAGTGAAACCTGACCCAAATTAAAGCGCATTTTCATGACTTTCTTTCGTCGTGACAAGTCTTTATGAACATCAATTATTTCTTCCTTCTTTTGGTGAAGGTCAACTAAAAAATGTTCAACCTTTGCCCGTAATCCAACACAGGAATAATAGTCGTTCTGCACCTCTGATTCAAGCTTTTGGATTATGTGCCCGATAAACAAATTTCCAATATCAAAAAGAAATTTATTTGAGAAAAGATGTTTAGAGAATTTCTGTGAGCTCTTCTTCTCCCCAAATAGCCTGCCCTTGCGAATTGGGAGCATCATATTTCCCTGAAAGATTTTCCACCAAGAAAAGAATTGCTTCATGACACCGGGACTCAAGTGAATTGTGTTGTAGCTATTTTTAGTGTAAGCCTTCAAGGCAATTGCCATATGAAGTCTGTCTGATCGGAAACCCTCGAAAGAATCATGATCTATACTTGTGAATTCCGGGTTGTGGAGCTCAACTTCAAAGTGTGGTTTCCCTGTTGTTGAAAACTCATTTTCGCCTGTGGAAAAACGCTCAAGGAGAAAGCCCACAGAAAACTTTATCCCCCCACTCAATTCTACTACCCGCTTTTCGCAACAGCCGGTGTCTTTTACGACAGGATTTGAGTCAGTTCGCCCCAAGTAGAACCCATAACAAGAAGTGATGAATGATTTCTCACTAGGAAGGTGAACTGCTTTTGAGCTGTCTCTGGACCAACACACTAGCTTTGTTGACGGATAATTTGGAATGTACCAGGATAATTTATCAGCAACAATATTGAATAAGTCGGACGAGTCATCGGCCTGATTAATGTTCCACACGACTGAATCCCTGAACCCCAAGATAAAGCCGTTTGACTCACCAAAAAGATCGTACGGGTCTTTTCCACCCTTGAATGCGACCTCAATACTTGCAGAGTAACCTGTCCGGATGGAAATTTTACCATGGATTATCAACCTTAGCTTGTCCCAAAACCCCAATTTTGGGGAAATGTCCACGGGAGGTTTTGAAAATTGATCAACAGTGAGCATAATTTGCTGAATTCCGAATTGATACGATTGGCCCCAAACAAATCGGGACGGCTGAGCTGAACCAAATACAATGTTCATGTCTGTGTAGAGTTTGACGGTGGAGAGGGACTTCTGAATAGTCAATTTGTCGAATGAAGTCGTCTCACGGTTTGTCTTGTTGGATTTATCTGTAAGTTCAACCTCGAGCGTTCTTAGGTGTGCTTTATCGAGAACAAGTGCTTCACAAATGATTAAATGACCACTCATGCTGAGGGCTGTGCCATGATCACTGTGATTTTTGGAATATGGCAAGTGGAGTAGCGGCAACGGATAATCTCTTAAGTGCATTCTAAGTTCTTCTAAATTCAATTTGATGAAAGTTGGAATCATCAAATTATATCTTGTCCCACGAGGAACACCTTGCCCATGTTGGTAGAGAAAGTCTGGTAAATTCTGCAAAGAAAATTCTGGTTTCAAAATATTCAATTGGACACCAATCAACGACACGCTCAAAAGCGGCGCATGAAGGGGATATGGCCTGAGTTTATCATACTTGAATGAACTCACATCAAGTTCATCACCGAATAAGTATTTTTTGTTCTCCGAGACTTCTCTGCTGAGCTCTTCTTTGTAAGTTTCAACTTTTCTGATCCACAGCCTCTCGAAAGCTTTTTGAAGTGATGAAAATGCAGCACTGCAATCAGTTTCCGATAAGAGCTTTTGTCTGCATTGCTCGTCGAGTATGTTCAAATGTTCAAGGCGTTTGCGTTGCTCCACCAAACCAAGTTGATATATCATATTCAACTCGCTTTCAAACGGATCATCTTCAATATTTAATGATATTTTGGCACTTGTCAATTTTATTCCAACAGACACCACGGGTTTGGATTCTGTTGGAAACACAAAGGTTTCTTTTTTTTGACGTCGAAAGCAGCTCACAAGGTGTTTCGCAATCTTAAGAAACACGGATAAGTTGTCGAACAATTTGTAAACGACAAATCCATGAGGCTGAATAAACCTAATTGCGCTTGTCAGCAAATTAATTGGATAGTCCTCCGTGGTATCACCGATCTTCGCATGAAGAGAATCGACGCATAGCACACGATCCCAGTGTCCAGCCAATGAGGAAGAAATCACCATAGCTCTCAAAAACTTGTTGGTAACAGTGACAATGCCATTCGAATAACCAATTCGTGATGTGTAAAACTGTAGCCTGACTTTGAATTCAGTCGAAAGAGACAATACGAAATCAACATTTTCTATCTTAAAGCTCAAAGTGGTGTAGTCCAATAAATGTCGCTTACTGTAAGATTTAGAGACAGGTTTGAGAGTATGTGTCTCTTTTTTTATTCTCAGGTGAAGCTTTTTCAAAGGCATCACGACTGTTTCATTTATAAGGTAAATCAGTCCAATCATAACAAACAATTTTTGCCTGTCGAAGTTTATATCAACTAATTTTATAGTGACTTCTTGTGAGAGCTCATCTTTTGAATTTCTTGATAGAGCATTGGTGTTGTGTCTTATGGAAGGCAATGATATAATAGGTGAGCGCTCGGATTCATTGATAAAACTCAATTTGAGGTTTGAGATTTCTGAAGAAACAGACCAGTAACTTTCAATCAAGTCTTGAGACGACATCTGCGGGATAGTTGACGCAAACGAGGACAGTACCACAGGCTGGAAAGATTTTGATCGCAAAGCACAACGATCGTCTACACTGATTGTGAGATCACTCATTTCGAGACATACAACACGATCTGTTTGATCAAAAGTTTTGTTGACCAAGTTAGAAAGTTCTGAAATATAGTCCAGTGGGAGCAAAGGTGAAGCAGAACCAACTCGTAGCTCAATATTCAGGAGCTTAAAATCGAAACTCACGAGCCAAGAAGGTATGTACCTGAATAAAAATGTTTGGAGATCATGGCCGCTTTTTTCTCCTTGTTGTTCACAGATAGCTGTTACTTGATTTCTGAGCTCATGAATGGTTTGATCATATCGAGCATTCATCAGACACAGATTGAAAGTTTTCGTAATACTGCAACTCGTTTGATCAATAATATCATGAAGACCATTTAACACATCAGGCTTTGTCAAATCAATGTATGAACCATTAATCTGTACTTTGGTTTTTATTTTTAGGTCTTTCATGATATGAAACTTCAAATTTGCATCTCCTAAGCCGCATATTTCTACATGAAGAACATCAGTAAAGCAGCTCATATCAGATTTTTCGCTAAAAGTCACATTGGGATGAATAAATTGGCATTCAATATTGTAGTCCCGCTTTTTCGTTGTCAGGATATGGACTACCATTAGGGAGTACGAAACCATGAGCATTTGTACAAATGCCAGATCCGGATTCTGTACCCGAATCAATACTCTTGGTTGCTCAACAGTAACTTTAGCATTCAATTTAGGAAAATAATCTTTCAAAAGGACTATTGCTCTATCAAACATCAGATCTTTGCGTAAAGTTTGGGGAGCGCAAGACTGGCTCGGTGAATTTTGCGTATTATTCACTCGTATATTTCTTCGCTCGTCCCCTGAGACAGTTTTTGAAGCAGAAAGACGCAGATTTTCATGATGTTTATCATAGATCTTCTGACGCAATTTTCGTTCAGTGATAATTTTTCCCCATACCGTGAAGTTATGAGCAAGAATAGCTAGTTGATGGTGATCGATGTCTAACGTGGGACTATTCACTGACAGAAAAATTTCGAATATTGAGTTTTTGAAGCCAAAGCCATCAACCAAATGTCTTGCTGCGTTTGTTTTTAACGTGAAGCTAAAGTTCGGTATGGAAATAAGCTCGTTCCGGGACCCATAAGACGATGAAAAATCTCCTATGGCCTCCCTCCACTCAAAACCTGCCTTAAAAAGCAGCGAAGAAAATGTGATATGTATTGGCAAGTCCTGTGCCGAGCTGAAATGAATGTCGAACCCAGCAGAAGTGGGTAGCAATCTTTGGAAGTGAATTGATGCTGCGTCTACTGATGTGTACATTATGTCACCAGCCGTTAGCAGATTAAGATACTCCGAGAGACTGCAATCAGAAACTGAGGGAATCACGGGTATATCCTGTGCGCAGAAGCTTACAATGTTGATTGAGCATTCTTTGAAGCATGGTGAAAATTTCCTGTGGATTGTCGTAAATCGGCTCAACTTAGACTCCAAAGACACCTTTGTAGTGGGCGTGTTCGACCCGCCACGTGAACAGGATTCCAAAGAAGTAACTAAAGTTCTTATGATGTGCAACATATTGAGCTCAGCTTCGTCAACGTAGAGTTTTGTTACCACGTTTGATAGCAACCCATTATGTGTATTCACGGATGTAGATAACAAAGTGGACAACGTTCCAATGCGCAAGAGACTGGTCTGGGCTCCTGAATGCAGAAGGCGTACACGAGCTTGTAAGGCGGAAGCCAGGCAGTGAATGTCACGGATGCTTGAGCTCTCTAGAGATTTCTGAGAATGAAAGACAAACAGAAGTGATTTTGCATCTGCTACGAACTTCTCAAGGCCAAAACGTGGGTCTTTGAGCTCTAAGTCCACCCTCCTGACTATGAAAAGAAGAGACTTGATGGCCCATTTTGAAAGCTTCGAGGATGGAAAGATGGTGATGGGTGAGTCCGACATGGTCCTTCCCCGAGGTTTCGACTTCACGGTTCCAACTCGCAGCGGTACTATCACATTGAGGTCTGAGATGACAACTTTTTTGGTATTTCCCCATAGCCTCCATCTGACGGACGAGGCAGAAATCTGGATACCGCGGTGAAGCTTGAAATTATTGAGCAGCACCCCGTTATTGATGGATACATATCCCACATATAGGCCACTAGTGTAGTATATGATGATCCATGCGACTTTCCAGCATAGGAGCAATGCAAGCACCCAAAGTATGTACTCGTTCATAAAGTGGTTAATTTACTTTATTGATATTAGCTATGGGCTCTTGGGACCGTTATATAGAGTGCAGTATAGTTTAAAGCTAGGCCGGAGATATGGTGTTTCCGTTCAAGCAAGCATCCGGGGCAGCCTGCATGGAGTTCCTCGTTGCGAGCGGGTATCTTGATATATATACCGGTTTACGATATGGGGAATCACACGGCCTTGCAAACAGTCTGTATTAGGCTTGAAGCCAGATTTACCTTGGAAATAGATTACCAGCAACATACCGTCATTGTAGAGATTTGAGGCGTGAAAATATGGGGCTCATCTGATCAATCTTTTTATTATGGATATGCATACAGAGACTTGTGTGAAAGGATCAATAAAGTATGCATGGTCGGACATCGTGGTCTAGTGAACACAACTTACACGTGGACGTACAAGTTTGTCTAGCACAGCTTCCGTTAATTTTAAGCAAATTTAGTACTTCAACTCAATATTTGCAACCGTTGCTGCCGGTTATGTTTTGGCAATGGCAGACTTGTGTAGGATGGAGCATGACGTGCAGGTTCATCCCGCCGCCTTCCATGCATATAAGATGCTTCATACAAGCTACTCTGTGTACATTTGGACAAGGTTACAATGAACCATGATCTTGACAATTACAAATATATTTTTGATCGCCCATATGGTGACTCAAGATCGAGATTTCTAGGCTAAGAGGCGTTACTGAATATAATTTTCAGGGAGGACGTTTTTAAAAGAAAACTCAATTTTCATATCTCTGTAAAATCTCAAAATCTCAAAATATTCGAAGAAATCCAGTCATAGTCAATGAGGTTCGAACTAGTTCATAATCGTGGAGCTGGGTCAACTATAGTAAAAGGATATAGTTTCACTTCGGTGCTCTGTCATTGGCAATATCATATCCCGTCGTACTCACAAGCGGACCCGTATATTGAAATCAGCACGCATGTGCTCTTCTGCACACCACATTTAAATAAACCAAAACTTTTGAAAATTTGTTTGTTGGCAATTGCAGACTTAAAGGAACCAAGGATTGCAGATTTCATCAAAACTCCAGAATTGCTTGATAACAAACGGCTCCTAAAAAACCGGATCCAACAAAGGCAGCAAGGTCCCGGCGCCAGAAACAACCCTACGCGCGCACGTGATCGGCCTCAGGGCTAATGCCCTCGCTCATTGCTCATTGTGTCCTGTACATTACGACCAGTCTCCCGCCCGCAGCACCTCAGCGAAAATTTTTAGCCAGTTCAATCTCGTTCAGACCTCTTTCATACTTATCAACGATCACTGTCAAGAGTATGTTGGATTCGCTATGACAAAATTAAAGAGACCAATCTATAAGCATGATCACCTCCCTTGAGCTCTGAAAGGCATCCGGGCAATGTGGGATCACGAGGCTTTTGGATCTAAAATCCTATCTTTTCAAACAAAGGCAAAAAATACGAGAATGGAAGAATGTTCCTCATACCACAGTATTGAATTAGGCCACGTTCGAAATACATATAAATTCAGGCTGTCTCTATTATTTGTTATTCCCTTACTAACCAAATAGTGGCTACTCCAAAGATTGTCAAGAAGTACACCAAGAAGTTCAAGAGACACCACTCTGACAGATACCACAGAGTTGGTGAGAGCTGGAGAAAGCAGAAGGGTATTGACTCTTGTGTCAGAAGAAGATTCAGAGGAACCATTCCTCAACCAAACATTGGTTACGGTTCCAACAAGAAGACCAAGCACATGATCCCATCTGGCCACAGAGTCTACCTTGTCAGAAACGTCAACGACTTGGATGTTTTGTTGATGCACACCAAGACTTACGCTGCTGAGATTGCTCACAACGTCTCCTCTAAGAACAGAGTTGACATTGTTTCTAAGGCCAAGTCTCTCGGTGTCAAGGTGACCAACCCTAAGGGTAGAGTTTCCTTGGAGGCTTAAATGTACACAATTCAAAATATATTGGGTTTCCTTTCACAAATACATATAATCATTGTCCATTTGGAAATGTAGCTGTTTTGAACGTATGATGGGAACGTACCAAAGTGGTCTGGGGGTTTTCTCTTTTGGGAGGTATCTCCATGGTTTCTAATAACTAAAAGAAACCTACCAGTGAAGTAGCTGATGTCCATGCTTTTATTCCATATTATCTAAGGTCACAAGCTCGCCTGGAAGTGTGAGTATACAAATTTAGTACTTATCGCCTTTGAAGACCACCACCTATAACAGCGTTGCTCACACCTAAATGATGATGCCTCTTTATCTTGTAGCCGAGTTCACAAACGCCATTAGCGTCTAGCTGTAAATCCTTACTCTCTCGAAGAGGCTCTTCGTCTGGCAACACAAGCGCGTGGCCCTTTATAGGTTCGTGGGCATCTGCTGCGCTAGCATCCTCCGGATTTTCCCCATTCAATTGGCGCATGTCCTCATTGACGTCCGTTTCACTCGAGTCCCCGAATGTTTCTGACTTTTGCGTATTCTGATCAACACCTGTCTCACTATGCGTGAGAACTTCTTTGAGGGGCTCCAAAGACAAGCTAGTCTTATCATTTTTAAATTCGCTGTCTTTGATTTTCATTGGTGGAGATTTGTCGTGGAGGTGGCCGAAGTCAAGCATTGACTTTGGTTTGGTAAAAGACCCATTTGATGACGACAGGTACAACGACATTCCGCTATTCTTGCGAGGGATCTTATCGTCGTGCGCAATGTTCAAAGGTATGGCGCTCAAAGAAGAGTTTGAGTGAACAGACACGGCATCTTGGTCAGAAGACATGCCATGATCCTTCTCAGGGACACCCACCAAGTCAAGCATACTTCTCACAGGTGTGTGAGGCGTACTATGGTCACTGTCCTCCTGGTGGGACATAATCGTGTTTTTCCTAGAGGGTGCTCTGGAGTTTTGATGCGAATTGGAAGCCGACGGAAGAACAAATGGGTCAACTTGCTGGTCTGGATGTTCATAAAGGCACATTTCAAGACCATGAAACCAAGGATCTTGGAACAACAAGTCCAAGTCATAGCGAGCAATCGTTGATGGATCACAGAGCTTCCATGCAACTCTGGCGGCTCCCGATGACTGAAACTGCGCTGCCCACTTAAATTCAGAACCTGGTCCCTTGGAGAGGTCGGTGTTGTTCTTGAAGCCTGGGTTGTCCGAACAGTATCTGTCTCTGCTAAATTTGTAGTCTCTAAACTGCACATCACTTGTGCTAGATTGCTGGAAAGGAACACCCGAGTACACAATACAGAAGAGAAGCATACCCAATCCCCAGTGGTCCATCTTAAACGGATCATAGGCGTTTTTTTTGACTTCACTTGGTGAACAATCTTTCAAATGCATAACTTCAGGTGGAGAATATGGCGGGGAACCCACATACGCTGTGGAAAGCTTCACCGGGCTCTCAAAATCCCCAGGTTCTTCATGCCCAAAGTCACTGACACCAAAGTCGCAAAGCTTTGCAACGCCATGGCGATCCAAAAGAATGTTTTCTGGCTTCAAATCGCGATGCACAATGTCATTGTCGTGGAGAAACTTTAAACCGTGTGCGATTTGTTTGAAAATGCAATAGCGCTCATTGAGTGGGGTTCTTTTCCATCCTGGTTTGATGATGGTGTTGAACAAATCGCCACCCTCGCAAAACTCCATTATCATACCCCAACCCCTGGTGATGGTCGCTTGTGATTGTATGCGAAGCAAAGCAATGGTGGAAACGCAATGGCGCAGCTTAGAGAGTTTGTGGCTGATAATGTATTCTTTCGCCGCGCGTCTGTAAAATTCCTCGTCCAGCTCCTTGTTGAAGAGACTCAACCGTTTTAATGCGTAGTGTTTCTTCTTGTTTGATGAGAGCGTGACTTTTCGCACGTCACTGGACCCACCTTCGCCAATAGTGCGGTCGATATTCTCGAACTGAAAATCTTGCAAGAAGTTGATGTGATCCTCTTGAAGCTCCTCTGGTAAATAGTCATTTGGGTTCGCCACTGGGTTCGCCACAGTACGGCAACCTTGGTCGGGGCCTCCCTTCAAGTAAAACAGAGCCAGGTGTTGTACAGTGGAATTCAGCTTGTTCAAGCCAAAGGGATTGTACACGATTTTCTCGTGATTCGAGTTCTTTCTGTTTGGAGCAGGGCTTGCCAAGGGTCTATCAAAATGGTTCATAGTCTCTGCTCTCCGCACAGATGACCCACGTAAGGAGTTGCCCCTCAGGAGCATCAATTGTGTGTCATTTCTCTTGAATGTATTTACCGGGGAAGCTTGTGACGACATCAAAGGCAGCATGTGGGTGTCTTTCGACTTCTCTTTCTTCGATGATGCAGCGCTTGAGCTGCGGGAGAGTGTAGGGCTCTTTTCGTGATTTTTGGCTGGACTCACCAACTCTGCTTGAGATTTATCCTTATGGAAAAACTTGGACAAGCTCAAGTGAGAGCGGGAGGACGACTCCGAATCAGAGCTACCCTCCTTCTTGAATATGTTTCTAAAATGATGGTGATGGTGGTTTTGGTGCTCCATGCTGAAAGATCTGTCGTGACGAGCGATTTGTAATATGATGAACGAGATGAAAGCTTAAGCGGAAGCAGTGATGGGGGGATTGTGTTGGCAAGCGTATGCTAATTAGAGAAGAAAGGCAGACCGTGGAGGAAATAATGCAGAAGAAAATACTCAGGAACGACTTCCGAATTGTGGACTTGTTTGATATACAAAGACAGGTGGTACACGTTCGAAGGTATGATGCAATGGGTTTACGACAGGCTCAGTTGCTCCTTGGCCTATTTCGGCTCTGTGTGCAGGAGCGCTCGATTCGTTGGACAAATTGTTTAAAGCCAGGCAGATTGTGTGCGGTTCGGGGGTGGTTCGATATTGCGAGCTGCACATCCTTCCCTGCACGTGTTCAAATTACCCAAGCGAGGGTTTCGATTGGTGAGAGTTTGCGCTTGGGAAAAAACTAGAATAGCACAATTAAGTAGTTTTAGCAGAGATGTCTGACTATGTAGGAGGCCCACACGTGCCCATGACGTGGAATTATAGTCACACTCCTCCGCCAACGCCGTTCCACTGATACCTGATGTCATTTATCCCTCCCCTCAGTGGCCGCGCGCGTTTGCCGAAAAAGGATATATGAGCAGCCCGCCACAGCCATGCCAGAATAGCATGACAAAGCTCTGGCCTAGTGCTGCTTCTCTTGTTGCGTTAGATTCTAGGAAATCCTTAGCACGCAGCGCTGGAGCGGTGAAGTGAAATCTTAGGTTTTCCCTCTTTTAGTGCAAAAATGGGAAACCTCTCGCCGTAACCGGATGCTCATGGCACATCTTCAATCCTTCAAGATAACCATTATCGCAGAGCACTGCAGGACTTTTGGGCATTCCAAAAATCAGAAACCGTGAGGTAAGCTTCCAAATGCTCTGTTGGAACATCTCTTACAAAACCAGCTTAGTCACAAGGTATATATATTATAAACTATTAGTTTTCGCTGATTCAGCTAGAATTACTTAAAAAAAGGGACGAAGGTATACGCTTGACATTCCTCACACATTCATGAGGGTAACAGTACCCTGCCACCAAGCCACGACGTGATAGACGGTGCAAACATTCTTTGGAGCAATTGCATTTTCAAAGCTGGGTGCTTATGTGCCCAGTTAAACGCTCTCGTCATCCGATGGCTTCTGGTTTCTCTTGATACGGAAGAAACGAATTCCGCCGCTATCGGCGTCGTTCTTCTCGGGGACGTTGGCCCTCGTGAAAGACGAGTCATCGCCCAAGGCGGACTGGCTGTTTCTAGCCTCTGGCGCGTAGTCATCGTTAGGGTACACGTTTTGCTCGTTGATTCTCTCAATGTGCTTTCTGTATGAGTTGGCAATGTTGGAAGAACAGGTGATGAAGAACACCAAGAGCAAACAAGCGACAGCAGCCCACGTCATTGCTAAAAGCTTGACACCAAGCAGAGACAGCAAGTCGTCGTTTGCGAAGGCGTTTCTTGCCAAGACAACCACGGCAGTTTGGAATGCAGCAGCCCCACAAACAAAGAAAAGAGCAATCATGGCCAACACAACCATAACCTTGTCAATGAAACTGAAGCAGAAGCCCAAGAAACAGGTGAGCAAGGCAAACCCAGAGAAAGCAAGGGCCAACAAGAAGAAAGCAAATCCGAATCTGGACAAGTAGAAGAAGGTGTCTCTGTTGTCGACAAAGTCTGATGGAACACCACTAGTGGTGCCAAAGTTGTCAACGGGGGAGATTGGGTAAGCCGGGCCGCTCTGACAGGTACTGAAATCATTGTAGTCACAAACACCCCAGAACGTCCACGCAGACTCATTGTAGGCATCAGTGATGGCAGAAGTATCACCCCTAACCCAGTAGAAGGTGTCGAACGGGAAGTGGTTAACCGAGCCCGACAACACCAAAAACGTCAACAAGAGTGTGGAGCCGGACAAGAGCACAAGATTCAAAAGTGTGCCGATGAGCTTCATTGTAAAACGATGTTCGTTAAGTTTTTTTAAGCAGTTGCTATTAGAGTTGCCAAACCACGCAAGTCGGCTCGATGGAAATAGAAATAATTGACTCAAACAACACGAATCTGGGGGTTCGAGTTGAACTAGTCAGTGGGTCCGAATAAATTTAGCCTCTGTGGTAGGAGCGAAGCAAAAGAATAGTCGGTGAATGAGCAGGGAGCAAAGAAAAAAAAAGTATGATACGAGAGAATGGACGGGTGTTATGTAACAAATTTAAGGGCAGTGACGATGCATAGGCCGCTTGTTTGGGAATGACTTACTTGTGTGGATCCTGCAGGTGGAAATGTATGCTCATTATTCTCTTTCTCACGCTTGCTTATGGTTGCTAAGCAAATAACTTCCATCCGTTCACCCATTGCAATACCGTTTATTAAGCAGATTTTCATGGGGGAACAGGAAAATCTAGTAATTGTTATTCTTGAGTTGGAAAGGGCATAATTTCAAGGTGAACATGGCTTTGCGCCATGAGCCTGGAGGCATTACTTCTACGATCAGGCCAAATAGCTTGCTTAATCATTGTGCACTCTGTTTAGCTTTTATCCAAATAGGTTGGGTTCTCAACATATGCCGAATTGGGACGGCAAACATACTCTGATGTACGGGCTTCAGTTTTTTTTTAGAATTTTCTTTTTTTTTTCGCGCGGAGGAGGAACAAGTCTTTTTTTACACAGTATGTCCGTGCAGCGATTCCTCCATATGTTTGCTTGCATTTTGAGGATAAAGTTAATCCCAATCTTGCCAATGGCAAGAAGTGTCACGTGTATTTTTTAAATCTTTCCCCATGACAAGAGAGGCGCATACTAGTGTGGTACCATATGTGGGAATCCGTTCCGCGATCCCAAAACACTCCACTCCAGCAGCTGCATCCTTTTAACCGAAATACGTGAGACTGTCTCGAGCGTCAGGCTGCATGTGAGAAGTTCCACACGGCTGCGCTCGTAATTTCCTCATGTATAATGATTTCACGTTTGCATAAAGCTGTGGGGTGAGTGGAATGAGACCACAATTTACTAACTTTGTTTCACGAAAATCTTCTTGACATTTGCTTTCATCTTGATTCATCCTCATGTCCCCATTTTAAACACCAGCCATACCACGTTCTTTTCAAACATTTTTTCGGTACCTCTGTGGGCTCACTTGTGCCAGAAGTCAGCGACGTTGACTTTGAGCCACGAAAAGAGCTTGAAGAAGCAGAAGTTGAGCTAAGCGTTACGGAAGGTGAGGGCTTTGGTTTGAACGGATTGGGAAATTTGGGCTCATCAGGCTCGTTGTCGTCGTTGCTTGTAAATCTCCAATTGAAACAGTCCTTACACGGTGGTTGTTCTTCACAAGGGGCTGTTTCGTTATATGCCAAAATAATATCGTCGATAACAGTGTGGATTCGGTGATTGAGCAAATTGACGTGCCAGCCCTTGTCTGTGACAACATCGTAAACACAAATTTGTCCGGTATGGCACGCTGTTTCCATGGCATATCCTGCAACAGAGCAAGACGATGAGGCACCATTGCATACACCCATGAAAATGGGGTCTGCAGTGTTTCCGAAATGCCAAATATACTCTAAGTGCTTCGGGATGCCGGGTGGTTTCGGAAGGTGTAATCTTTGGCTTGCCAACATTTCCCCAGGGGCCTCAAATGCAACAACAGGTAGCCCATAAGTGCGGCCCAAGAGCGAAGCCAACGCTCCACCTAATGAATGACCCGTGACCCAAATATCCGTAGTTTCTGGTGGATACAACTTCGTGACATTTCTGTAAAGGTCTAGAGTGGCCTGGTAGTATCTATCTTGACGAAGAAGCTCAGACTCTAGGCAGTCTTGATTGCAGGTATACGCCTTTTCGTAGCAGTCACATACCGTTGTCCACATGTACCCCACGCGTGCACAGCAGCACAGAAAGAGTAAATTGTCGTTTGTTTTATCATTTGCAGACGTTTCTTCGCTGCCTCCTCCAGGGAGGAAAGCGCCCGATGTTCCCTTTATTCCTATCACCACAGTCTTAGAATCGTTGCTTACAAAGACATGGCCTCGCAACCCGTTTTCAAGCCAACCAAAATTCATGTCAGCATTATCTTCATCCGGGGCCCAAGGATCACCCACATCCACCCAGTCCAGTTTTTCTTTTTCTTTCTCACTACGAGGGAGTTTGACGTACGCATTTGATGAAATGGTGGCTAGCGAAACAACAGTATCCCTATCTTTGATATCAGGGACCCTGATCTCCGATTCTGGATCCCACTCTAAGCCAATCAGATTGAGGCTTTTGGGGTTTCCCTTCACCTTCATGGCATAGTTTAGATACGAATCAAGGAAATTGGGACTGTGGCGCTCAGTGAGGCGCACGACTTTAGCCTTGGATTGTCTCTCCCGTATAGGAAGCTGGACCGTCCACGGATTGTTCGTCATTTTAGACTTTGGCCAGTCAGGCTCCGATAGCACACTATTAAGGTTGCTCTCGTCAACATTTGATGAAGAACGGACGCCGGAGTCGCCAGTGGATAGAAGAAATGCTTCATTTTCCTCCAAAAACTTGGGTGTAATATCTAGTCTTCGGTGTACACGATGTAGATCTCCAGTACCATGATGGAATATATGCTTTAGCTGAAACTGTTGGTCGAACAGTTCCAATTTATTCCCTTTACCTTGCAGGGAACTATCTGAAAGATATTCTGAGGGTGGCAAAGGAAGGGTACCCAAAGGTGACCACACAGAATAGAGCCCTGAAAGTTTGTAGATAAATAGTATGGCAAGAAAAGAAAATAAAGCAGCGTATCGTAGGGCGTGATTCGGAGTTTTGTTTTTGTCTTCGCTAAACGGCGTCTTTCTCCGTATCATTGTGATGATGGAAACAATCTTATGGAGTTTTGGGACGCGATGGACGAGTGAAGCGTGACAAAGCTTATCGCAGTGCAGGCATTGCGCGGTGTTGAGGACACTTTTTTATAATGCCACTTGATACCATAGATAAGAATGGCTGATTAGTGGTCGCAGTGTAAAAAAAAGGGGAGAAATAGTATTTAGCCACTTGCAATACTGAATTCATTGGCATAGTTCACGTGTACATGCATACCTAAGACTTTGCAAACATGGGATTTTGGCTGGTGAACAAAATGACGATCACAAGACCTCCCCGCTTCTCTGGTCAAAAGCGATATACACTAATCTTTATGCATATTTCTGTTGCATGAGGCAAGAATTGAGCTATTTTTTATGAGTGGTTAAGTGAGAGAGCTGCCGGGGTATTCATTTTTCTCACCTGGATCACCATGATCTGTAACTCGGCTGGAATTAAATTGTGAGAAAATACAGGGCGAATGGAAAAACTATAAGTACAAGATCTGCTATAAGTAACTCACTTCAAGATCGTGAAGAAAGTTTTCGTCAAGCACTTTTCTCAGTTGAATCAAACGCACATCTTGAACCACAATAGGGGCCTTTCCAAGTTTCGCCTTTTCCTCATTAAACGAAATCATCAATATACGGTTGAGCTTGATCAACACCTGGCTCAAGACTTTGGGTGTGAGCGTGCAATTATTTTCGTAAAATATATTTGTTAACAAGGCAGTGAATACATCTCCACATCCGCTGAAGCGACAGTCAATCTTTGCTATCGGGATATAGAAGATCGCTTCGGTTGCTTTTGAGAATCCCACGCCATACATTCTACCGTCGACAATCACTGACAGTATGACAACGTTTGGGACTTTATATTTCTCGTTAAACGTGGTGAGTGCTAGCTTTACACTTTCCCAGTCATGAATTTGAATACCTGTTAATAACTCCAACTCAAACTGATTAGGTGTAGTCAAGTCGACAAAGCCCAACTGCAAAAATTCAATGTGAGCCTTAACAATTTGTTGAGGCACGTAGAGTTTACCATTGTCTCCCAAGACAGGATCTACCACCAAAATTGGTCTACTCTTTTCTTTCGCGGCCCCCATCAATGGGGTGATCTGTTCGTAGAGTGTTGACATAACCTCTGCGCTGGGGCAGTATCCCACCAATATCAATTCGTACTCTAATCTCAAGTCCAAGATGCTTTGCAAACCTTCAAAAATCAATTTAACAGTCTCGACATCCGCTTTTTGTCCTTTGAACTGACCATAACCTGGGTGGTTCAGAAACTCGGTAGTGTGAAGTGCGTCTACATTCCATCCACAATACTGGAGAGTAAACACCACGGCCCGGTTACCCACATAGCCATGTGCGACATGAGACAGTATGGACAATGCGTTTTTTTGCATGCCGGTAGTCTGGTGTGCTAACTTGCTCAATATCGCACTTCCTCCTCGGCATCGGGTCAGTCACGGCAGAGTTAATTGCATAGATAAGAGGTATCGACGAGTCTGTAGTCACGTGATGCTGGCTTTTCGCAGATCTGGTGGTACGAGCGCTCGGTGGCATTATTTTGCCGAGCGGTACGGGTGTGCCACCACTACAATAGACGCAGCGTCTTCAACGTCACAGATCTCCAGCGTATTTCGTGGATCCAATGGCAGCTAAAGACTTTGCCGAAATCGATACCGGCTTTCCCGTATATGGTCTTCGCTTTATCAATAATCATACTTTGTTAGCATGTGGGGGTGGTGGTGAGGGTAATAATGGGATTCCCAATAAGGTCACGGCCGTCAGATGTAGCTTCACTGTCTCTGACAAAAGTAGACGGCTCCAGAAATTTCGGGAAATCACGTTGCCGGCACAAGAAGATTCTCCAATGTGCATCGAATTCTGCCGGAGTTCTGTAGGTGACAACAGCCGCTTTCAGATCTTTGTCGGATGCAATCAGTCGACAGAATTGATTCGATCGATGAACATTAACAACAATTTGAGGAAGTACAATTACACCGAAGATGAACACTTGCAATTCCTGGATGCGGTTCAATTTGACGAGAACTTGCTGGTAGAATCTATCGGCGAATATCCCAAAATTGTGCACTTGTCCACTGACGCCTCCATTGGGGGAATGATGACCTCTAGAATTCCTTCCGAGATTTTTATCTTCAACCCCGATACACTTGAGTTGACCTTACGTTTCAAGCCCCCGGCTGCCTCTGAAATAAAGGACTTCCATTTCAACCAAGATGATTCGGGGAAAACTTTCACTTACGTGACAGCCTCTTTCATTGAAACAATCTCCACCCATTCGGGCAATTCAATCAGTTCCTCTGCCAATGCTGACAAAAAAACTGCAAAAATCTTGGGCAAGTATTTCTTCTCCAAGGTGCGCTATGTTAATGGGCCAAAGGTTATTATTGCTGCTGCTTCCAGGAATGGAAAAGGTGCCGCAGTCTTGGAATACAATACTGAGACAAGAAAAGTCTTAAGAGAAGTTATTATTTCCAATAAGATCAAGGGCATTGTTGCTATTGATGTTTCCAAATCATCTGGCATGTTTGCGGTGGCAGGGAACGACTTCTCCGTGTCTTTACTCCGGGTTACTGACTTCAAAATGATCAAAACGTATACTAAGTTGCACAAGTTTGCCGTCACTTGTTTGAGCTTTTCCCCCGACGGCAAAAAATTGGCAACTGGCAGTGCATCCAATACTGTCAATGTGCTTTTGGTGAAGCCGTCGTCTGGTGGATTTTTCTCCTTCATTTTTTCTCTCTTCCGCTTCATTTTCTATTCAGGTGTGATTATCATCTTCGCTTTTTACATTCAAAGGGCACTTGAAACAGGAGAAATCGATCAATACATTGAACTTTCGAAAATTTATGGAGGTAAGGCTCTTGTGCATGCTCAACGCTATCAAGAAGTGGGACTAGAAGTATCTCAAAAATACGGAAAAGAATGTTATGAGTTGAGTCAACACTATGGAAAGATTGGTTTTGAACTTGCGAGAGAACAGACTCTCAAAGGTGTCGAGCTTTTGAAAGACCAAGTAAACAAGCGGTCAGCACAAAAAGAAAAAAATTCTGCACTCCCAGAATCGCCTTTCCTCGAGTGGGTCACCGAAACTACTGAACGAACATCAACTGAGAGTTCCGATATCGTCAGAAAAGTCACGAAAGATGTTCATGAGCTCACAAAGGAAGCAGGTGAAAAGGATACATTATCTATTATCAGTGACGCAACTCACCTTTCCATCCATGGATCTGCCACGCAAGACGATGACATCTTGGAAATTTCACATGAAAAAACGGAATCCAATGCCATCTCTATGAAGACTGACTCCAGCGAAAGTCACTCGTATCCTTTCGCCGTCTCGCTGGGTGACATTATCCCCACAGAAACCCCCAAAGCTAATGACAGCATGCACACTTCTTTGACAAAAGAGTCGGGATCTCTAGTTCGAGAAAATACATTTGAATCTCTTGACGACTCCGAACCTCAGCAACCTTCCCAGTATGAAACTGAATTTAAAAACATAGTCAAAACAGTCGTACACGATATGAGCATTCAAAAAGAACCAGCAAAACCAGTGGAAGATGCTCAAGATATCAATAATACGCCACCCGCATCACAGACTGATGTAATCTCGGAGTCAGCCAGGAATGAAACTAGCGGTGTGTATATCTCTGAGGAAGATAGTGTGCTGTTTTCAAGCGGTAAACTGCCATTAGAATATACCGGTACTGCTGAGTTGACCATCAATGCTGAAGAAAGCATCTCTGAAATGCAGCCAGAGCCTGTTTCTCATGAGACTTTGTTCGATCAAACCAATATTGAGTCGAAATTTTCCGAAAGCATATCGGCAGTGCACTCATCAAGTGTAAAATCTGCAAATGTAATAAGCGAAACTACTGCAGTTGAAGCACTTTCGAAACCCTCGACCGTCATTAGGGAGAATGATCCAAGTCATAATTCGGACGAATTTTCCGCCCAAACATCCTTCGTTGAGTCTTCGAGGAATGACATGATGATGCATTCTGTGGACCTCATTGTTGAGAAAGAGTCCACAGAACCTGAAAATGTTACTGATACTTTTCATGAAATTCTACTGAGCGAATCCAAGATCGCTGCGTTGAATTCCGATGAGCCCCAGCCAGTCTGTGAAGATGAGGCATCAACATCTACGATTGTTGAAGAAATGCTGCAACTCAGTCTGGAAATCAATTCTAGTTCCACAGAAGATGATAAGCTCGTTGTGGACCCTGCGCCATATACTGCTGACGCAAAGACTAGTGACGTCGTTCCCTCTCTCGAGTCTCCTGTCGCAGCGAGCATTGAAATGAGCAAGGAATCAAATGAACTGATCAGTAGTGGGGTCGAAGAGTCTGATGCTGAAATTACTAACGAAGATACTAAAATTTATGGGTATGATTCGAGCTCGCGCTTTGTCTCTGCAACTATTGAGAAGTCTTACACCTCAATTCCCAATTCAGACTCTGGATTTGCTAGTCCCTCCGAACTGACTCATGAGAACCACGTGAAAACAACTGTTGGTATTCAAGAAAGTTCCCAAGGGACTCAAGCTGATCATGATGAGTTGTGATCTTGATACCCATGGATGAGGTGGAGAAACAGAAGCTGCACGGTCCCCTTCACCAGCCGTCCTTAAATTAACTATAAATTTAAGAACTAATACAAGAACGCTTAAATCTTAAACTATACTTTATTCGCGTCGAGGACAAACCAAATTTAAATCATTTTTTGCTTGCATGTTACTCTTCTATTTTTCATCAGTACTCCGCCAATACTCGAACAGCCTCTCTTATCGCTTCTCGCCTTCTCGCGGCCATCATTTGCTGCATAAAGGCGAAATTTCGCAACTTCGTAAAGCGTCATAGCACAGCTCGCGCTGACACTGCACTTCGCCGTCAATAGATTCATCCAAAGTTTTAGAGTTAAACATCAAACTCAAGCGCAAAAGAAGCACTCGCAATGTCCGAGTTTGAGCCTTCTGACTGGAAACTCACGAGAATACCCAAGCTTTCACAGCTAGATTCCCTTCAGCGATGCTTGATCTGCAAAGATTTCTTAAAAGCACCAGTAATCACATCTTGCAATCACACCTTCTGCTCTCAGTGCATAAGACAGCACTTGATGATTGTGAGCCAATGCCCGCTTTGCAAAGCCGAGCAATTCGAAAGCAACCTAAAACGTGTCATCCTTTTAGAAGAGATTGTCTTGTGTTTCCAAGCTCTTCGTGATGACCTTATCTCTCTTTTGCAAGAGGAAGAGAGTTCAACCAATGATCAGCAAGATAACATGAAGACTATCAAAAATCAGCAAGTTCATCTAGATGTCATAGAAATCCCAGATCATTCTGAAGGACTAGACTCAAATTCTACCCTGGCACAAGGGACGATACTAGATGCTGGGTATGTGCATTGCCCTGTCTGTGGAGAAGTCATGAAGGAAGAGCATGTTCAAGGGAGCCACCTCGACTATTGTCTTAATGGGAAGCCGGATCCCAAGCTAATGCTGAAAACACATTCGGTGAAGCGTAAGACGAACGATGTGGTCCTGTTCTTCCAGGGTCGTAAGCGACAAAAGAATGCAGCGAATAACGTCGACCACGCCAATTTTTATTTCAATAAGGGAGACCAGCATCATCATAATACGAAAAGAATACCTAAGGTGGACTTTTCGTCACTTTCTACAGCGAAAGTGAAGGAAAAGTTGATGGCTCTCAAGCTCTCTACACTGGGCTCGAGGACAGAACTCGAATGGAGATATAACCATTACTATCTTCTTAATCAGTCCAACTTGGACTCCAATCATCCTCTCACGGAAATGGAACTCAGGCAAAAGCTTAAGCAGACAGAAATCTCCCATCTGATGACGCCTCTAACGTCAGCTTCAAACACGATTTATGGGGACTCGCTCAGTCGAAAAAGCCTAGCAGACAAGGATTTTCCCATCAAAGCCTGGCTTGATATATACAAAGATGAGTTTAAGCAGCTCGTGAAACAAGCCCGTAAATCTCGGAAAAAACAGGCACTGACAAAGAACATGAAAAGCCCAGATCATGCAACCCGTGCTTCTACAAACGACATTGCCAGTAGCAGGAGTGCTACAAATCCACTAACCAACGAAGAAAACAAAAATGTGCATCTAGGGGATCAAGCCTCGCATAGAGAGAAAGATCCGGCCGATGATTTCGATTTTAGCACATCTGCTCTATTCGCGCCGCAGTGATATGTAGTGGCGTTTCCGCGCGATTTATGTCCACTCCGGGTCATTGTTACCGTGGACAGACTGCATGCCTGCTGGATGCGTTTCGTCATCGATATGACACCCTGCCACAATTTACCCGGTGCCGCCGGCTAAACTCATCCTTGATCTCAAGGAAAGCCTGATCTGTTCTTCGCTATGGATGAAGACGGATTATATTTGACGACGCATGAAAGTGCGCTTGCCGTTGTCGCGACATCGATGAAGAAGGCAAGATTGCTGCTTGATACTTTAATCATCAACTCGTTCATCGGTGGTGTGTTCTTCACAAGTGGCGGAATGCTACATGTTATGTTATACTCTGATTCTCCTCAACTTCTCGACGTGAATCCGGGAGTCTTGTATTTGATACAAGGTCTCGTCTTCCCAATAGGACTTTTTTTCGTCGTGATCATGGGTGTGGACCTATTTAACTCCAATATCCTATTTTTCTCCGTTGGTGTTGCTCGAGGTGCGGTTTCAATACTTGATCTAATTATCTCCTGGTTTGTGAGTTGGTGGCTCAATTTGGTGGGAAATATTTTCGTATGCTATATCATTTGCAACTTTTCATCTATCTCGTCTCTGCCTTCATGGGTGACCGGATCCATCGCTATTCTCAATGAGAAACTCGAATTCAATTTTGTGCAAACTCTAATAAAATCTATGGCTGGGAACTTCTTCGTATGCCTTGCTATTTACATGCAACTAATGGCGAAGCCTATCCATGTCAAACTAATTTTGATGACTTTGCCCATCTTCGTGCTCGTCAGCTTGGGCTTTACACACGCTGTTGCAGATATGTTCTTAATCATCATTGGCTTAATCAATGGCGCTCCTACAAATGTGGCAACTGTGGCTTGGAAATTGTTCTTGCCTGGTGCGCTTGGAAACATCATCGGAGGCGCTTTCTTTTCTTTAATTGTACCTTTCTATTTACATATTGTTGCTGTGGAGAGGGATCAAAGAAAGTTGCGTTTGCCAAGATACGAAATGAGAGATCAACAACCAGAAATCAATCAAGATTCAAGAGTCGTGCGTGGTAGGCCGGAAGAAGAGAGCGAAAGTACTGAATCGGATACCGGAGCCGATGATAATGATGCTAGTATAAAGTCACCTAGAGAGAGCGGGTACATTTCTGACGGTGCCTCTATTCGATCCCCAAGCATTATGAGCCGGAGGAAAGTCTTGCTGCGGCGTTCCCCTTCGAATGTCTTCCCTGTGTATGGTATGGGGCCCCCTCGTGAAAGGGAACAATCGATAGCCTCGGGATACGCAGCTGAATATGGCAAAGACTCGGACAGTGCTCGTGAACCTGGCGTAAATGAGCCTGGTAGAAGTGCTTCTTTCATGGGAGAAACTCTTCTAAGAACACTAACACGTACACAGAGTCATCGAGATACCAGAGACAGCGCAGCAAACGCTGTTAATCCAGTTGAACGACCCCTGAGTAACAAAAGACCCCAAAATTTTACTGAAGGCAACAGTTACTTTTCCCGGACCACAAGCAACAATCGTTCGCGGTCTGGTCTCGGCCGATCTGGCGTCGCACCGTCTGAAATTCCACCCGAAGCAATTATGGAGCATTCGAGTGGAGATGATGATTCCGCGTACGTTGTGAGATCCTTTGATCCTGCCGATCATGTATGACGACACCCATGTAGAAACTTGCATATTTATTTCTTTTACTATATTAATTGGGATTTTAGTATCAACCTTATTAGTTTTTGGAATATTGCTGTGTTAAAGATGGACTTTCATTTTCTTTCGAAAGAAAGCTCAATGCAACAAAAAATAAATGGACGAGACCGGAGTCGAACCGGTGACCTTCTGCTTGCAAGGCAGACGCGCTACCAACTACGCCACACGCCCGATTTTCAACAACAATCGGCTATATATGTTTATTTCATAGTAAGATCTGGATCCATATTTGTTTTTTTTCAGCTCATGTATATAAATGCACTTCAGTTTGAGTAATGGTAAATATTCGAGCAAGAATTTTTCATGAAGGTACAAGGAGCCGTTTAAAGGTTCTGAGTTGAAGCCCTATCCTAGGAGTCGAAGGGGACGGGCCGAGCTAAGACACTTGGTACGTAGCTGGGAGCTGTTTAAAGGTTTTTTATATATATTCGTTATATAGTTTTGCCCCTTTAATCAGATGAATCTACCAAAAAAAAAAAATAATACATCTGGTGAAAGGGGCAAAGCTATTTTTTTTATCCCTACCGTGTCTTCTTTCGATATCCCTATTTCTGCATTTTCTAGTTTTCTGAATATTGTTGTTTCGATTCGTTTCGGTTTGAAGAAGGTTCTTATGGCCTCATCACAATGCGCTGTTCTTGATATCTCTCTACCTTCCCCTAGTATCGTTTTGGCGAATTGCGGTTTGCGTTTGCGGACATATCCCATGAATGCAATATATTCTTTTCCTTCGTTGGCTATCTTTTGGAGGGCATCATCGACGTGAGTGTTTACGTTGATGTTAGATGTGTTGATCTTGCCGAATTGAGGTTGTAGTCGCGATAGTGGGTATCTGAAGCGAGGTGTTCCTATTTTGAGATTGAAGGGTTGATCTGTGCGGAAGTGGACTGCGATCAAATGATGCGAGGACGTGATCACTGGCGGTTTTTCGATTAAAAAAAAAACAAAGAAAATCTACATTTCAATGCCGCGGAAATCTAATTCAATGATGAAGACTTATTACTGTTCTGAAAGACTCGACTCCAAAATGTTCATTGTCAAAAAAAAAATGTAAAAAAATCCTGTCCTATCAGGAGTACATATAAAAAGGATCGGAAAGGCATATGAGGGGGTAAGCTGCATGGTTCAACTCCAGCGCTCCTAAACAGAAGGTTTAGGTAAGAGCCGTAAAAATTTAATCAATGGGCAGAAACAGTGAGGGTTCATATGAAATGGCTTCAGATCAATTTTTTTTTTTTCTTTTTTTTCATACAGTGATAGATTTGCGATGGCTGACCGTTTTGAGGTGGGTAAGTTTCTACCTTACTGATCGTTGTTGTAATAGAACTTGAATTTGTGCGAGAGGATCCGTTCGTTCAGATAATTGTGCACCGCGTAAGATTTGATATATGAATTCGACATATGATTAGTATTTTATTGATCTTCGATTTTTTTACCCTTTAAGACAAATTAGAGTTTTCAAGTCTCAAAATATCTTCAATTGAAAGTAAATGTGAGTTGGATTCCTCATTGGCTTACCTTACGCCTCTGTGAAATCATTGTGTCCTGTATATACTATCAGATGAGCATCACCCAATTTTCGTTACTTCCACCGAATCTAGTATATACTTCGATAATCAAGCATGGAAAAGTCAGCTGCAGCAGCATACGTCGATGACACATCTCTGTGGGATTCTTTCGGGCTTGACGCTCGAATCTTGCAAGCCATCGATCACTTGGGCTTCAAAAATCCTACATTAATTCAATCCAGTGCATTGCCTCTCGCTTTGGAAGAAAAACGAGATATCATTGCTAAGTCGAGTACTGGTTCAGGGAAAACGGCAGCATATTGTATCCCAATCTTGCAAAATATATTGACGACCGAAGAAGAAGGTAAGTGTGTCAAAAGCATTATCTTAGTTCCAACCAAGGAGCTTTCAAATCAAGTTACGCAATTCATCGAAAAACTCTTGGTATACTGCAATCACAAAGTCACATCAGTTAATTTGTCGTCAAATGTGTCAGAGTCTGTCCTTAACACATTGTTGATGGCCGAGCCTGACATCGTCGTCTCCACACCTTCGAAATTAATTCAAATATTGCAGCTGAATGTCAACACCAACATGATCAAATTGAGTAAAGTGAAAAGTTTAGTCATAGATGAGGTTGATTTAGTTTTGTCTTACGGGTACATGGAGGACTTGCAGCAACTTGAGACATTTTTGCCTGTGAAGACAAATTTGCAGACATACTTGATGTCTGCCACCATTAACGAGGACTTGGAAGAGTTGAAGAGACGATTCTGTTCCAGACCAGCTGTCTTGAAATTGAATGAGGAAAATTTATCAAGATCTAACTTGGTTCAATACTATGCTCGCACAACTGAATTCGATAAATTTTTGCTAGCCTACGTTATTTTCAAATTGCGTTTAATTAAGGGAAAGTCTTTGATTTTTGTCAACACAATTGACCGTGGTTACAGATTAAAGTTGTTTTTGGAACAATTTGGCGTTCGCTGTTGTATTTTGAACAGTGAGCTACCAGTGAATTCCAGAATACACATTGTTGATGAATACAACAAAAATGTATACAACTTGTTGATTGCTACGGATGAGACAAATGATTTTACCGTTGAAAAAGATGAAGAGGAGGCTGAAAATGGAAAAATAAATGAGCCACCACAAACTGTCGAAGACTCGGAAACGAAAGAGGAGGGTTGTCACCAAACCCCGAAGCAGGAATCGAAGAAAAGCAAGAAGAAATCAAAGGCTGTTAAAGATAGCGAATATGGAGTGTCTAGAGGAGTAGACTTCCGTAATGTCGCATGTGTACTCAATTTCGATATGCCTACAACCTCGCGTGCTTATGTGCATCGGATTGGGAGAACTGCAAGAGCGGGTAAAGCTGGAATGGCTTTGTCTTTCATTGTTCCTGAAAAGGAGGTAGGTAAGCATAGAGTTGCTGGTGTTGGAACATCAAAGAAAGATGAGAAAGTTTTGAAAAGAGTTGAAAAACAGCAGCTGAAAAACGGATTTGAGATAAAGCCCTACCAATTTGACATGAAACAGGTGGAAGGTTTCCGTTACAGAGCTGAAGATGCATTCAAAGCTGTTACGTCTGTCATTATCAGAGAGGCTAGAGTGCTGGAATTGAAAAAGGAGTTGATTAACAGTGACAAGTTGAAGAGATTCTTCGAAGAAAACCCTCAGGATTTGGCATCTTTGAGACATGACAAAGAATACTATCCATCTCGTGTCCAGTCGCAGTTGAAAAGGGTTCCAGAATATTTGCTTCCAGCAAGTGCGAGAAGCGGAGACAAAAAGAACTTAGGTTTCGTTCCTTTCAAAAAGAATAAGGTGTACAAAAAGAAGAAGAAGGCAGGAAAGAAGGCTGACCCTCTCAAGGCAGCATATAAGGCATAATGCCTTCGATGAACCCATATATTTGCAGGCTCAATTATTATTGAATTACATGTATATTCAGTAGGATTACGTGGTTTGCGTTATCGTGTTATGTAACAAGCTAATTCAATCTGCTGAGAATGAGATTCCACACGAAACTCGCAAGGCAATTAAGGAAAAACATCAATTGCGGTGGTACAAGAATAAACATTGATGTCGATATAAAAGGCCAGTAACAGTAGCTGTATCGCAATGATTTCATAAATGTAGACTGGGAACTCAGACCAAAGATGCTATCGTTCTCCCATATACTGGAGAGAACAGTGAACATTAGCTGGAATAATGGAGCTCCGACTGTTTGGTCTATAATTATTTGAAGGGCAACATTTTCCACGCGACTCACCAACACGTCGATCCAAAGTGCTGTGAAGCATCCGTTAATACAACCCCAGGCTATAAACTTTAAAAGCCTATTTGTCGAAATTTTTTGTCGGAAGAACTGAATCAATGACTGTGCTAGTGCAGCAGAAGTGGATCCCAAGATAGCAGGTGCCAAAAGCGGAAATTTCAGGGCCACATGGTCGTATGAGTAAAGTATCTGAGTTCCAATAACAAGCTCCACAGCTAAGTACACGTATGCTTTTGCTGGCCGATGGAACTTCGTGTTCTCCTCGATGTCAAAAAATGGCTTATTATGCAAGTCTTTTAGTTCGATTCCTGTGGACATATGTTTCGGGATATTTCTGATAACTTGTCTCTGGAGAAGGAGTTGAGTTGAATAGGAAACGTGGTTCGCGACACAGGCGATGGAGATTACGTCAACCGAGCTCGGTGTGTTTTCATGCACGGACGAGCATGACACGTGAACTTTAAAAAAACCAAGAGTCTGCGGTGAAATACTCGGAAGGAACTGTTAAAAAAAACAGCTCTTCTGACAAACAACCGAGCACCTCGCTTACTTATTATTTCAGCTAAGCACCAAAAAAGGGGGCTTAGTCAGGATTTCATTCCAGTCATTCCGCGAAGACCTCGCATCTCGTCCATCGTCGTAGTTAAATAGATCAGTTTTTGCATTCACATTGGGAAGGAAATTTTGTTTTTAACAAAACTTCATAAAAAACAGTGACACTGATGTAATGAGTCTCAAAGCTCTGAAAGAATTTGAAGTTTCTTTCGATACGCTCGGAGATCCAGAAGATGCCCTCGGCTTAAGTCACACACGAAAATGGCTCATAGTGATTGTGGTTTCTATGACCTCTGTTTGTATAACCTCTATCTCGTCTGTATGGTCATTAGCTACTGAGTTTATTATGTCTGACTATGGAGTGTCTCATGAAGTCTCCACCCTAGGGATTTCATTATACATTTGGTTTCTTGGGACTGGTGGTATCTTCCTTTCTCCTATTTCAGAATTCCACGGAAGAAAAATAGTGTATGTATCTGGCCTTTTTGTTGTATTTGCTTTCCAGTTCGTTCCCGCATTCAGTTCAAGCTTTGGGTTTGTTCTATTTTCAAGAGCTATTGCAGGGTTCTTCGCTTCCTCGTTTATGTCAGTTGCTAGTGGTACGTTTTCTGATTTATTTACGAAGGCAGAACGAACTGCTCATTTCAAACACGATCAAGACAAGGAGTTAAGTAAAGCTCTAATATTATACTCGGTTTCTCCTTTCCTTGGTCCGGGCTTAGGCCCTCTTATCTCAGGTTTGATTTGTCAGCATATTGATTACCGATGGCAGTTTAAGATAATGTGTATTTGGTCTGGATTGATGACAGTTTTAGTACTTCTTTTTGTTCCTGAAACCTATGAGCCTATCCTTCTTAAGAAGAAAGCCAAGCGACTCAGAAAGAGTACGGGTGACCAAAGATACTTTGCCCCGATTGAGATGAAAAATACTTCACTTTATGAAAGTATTGTAGTATCTTCAAAACGGCCTCTTTTGCTCATTTTCAAAGACCATATGACTATGGCTTTATGTTTTTACTCGGGCTTCATCTTAGCCATCATTTACATGTTTTTTGTTTCTTTTCCCTACATTTTGAGTACTGTTTACCAGTTTAATATTCAGGACCAGGGTCTTGGATTCATCGGGCTTATTTTGGGATTGAGTTTGACTGCCCTAATAAGTCCTACCTTAATTAATAAATGGCATGCCCGGCTCATCGCCAAAAATGGAGGCGTTCATGTGACAGAGTTCAGGTTCTTGCCTGTAATGGTAGGTGTCTTTGTCGCGCCCATAGGACTATTCATAATCGCTTGGACGTCATATCCTGATTTACATTGGATCGGACCAATATTTGGCTCCTTCGTTTACGGTATTGGCACTATTCTCATCTTTAATGGAATTTTTGCATACACAGTGGAAGCGTACCGCAAATACACTGCATCCGCCATGGCCACGAATTCGTTTGTGCGTTCAATTATGTCAGGCATTTTTCCGCTATTTGGCTTGCGCATGTATGAAGCCATGGGAATTCACTGGGCCACCACACTTTTAGCATTATTTGCATGCATATTGATACCGATCCCATTTCTACTTTTTAGATATGGAGCTAGATTTCGGGCCAAGAGCCCGTATACGTGGTCCGAAGACTGATTAATGTTCGATATAGCCTCATTTGATTCATACTCCATGCCTGAACCTGTCCGACTCGCGACGTGCGAAAAATTCCATCAGGTTCCGCGAGCTTGCGAACCTGGATCCAATCTCGGACATATAAGCCGTGACAGCACGCTTGCAGAAGCACTCTCCCATACAGAATATATCCAATGGTTGTTCATAACCCCAATAATTGGTATGTGTCTTATTATTATTCCTTGCAGCAAAGGTTTGTAGCGCATCATCGATTTTGCTAACACATTAGGCACTGGGTGGACAAAAACTGCCTTCCATGGGCCAAGCTGTATATGGACAATAATGTCAAAGACACTACTTTTGAAGACAACACCTTCAAATTTGTGTTGAAAAGTGTGGACTCGGTTTTAGGTGACTGTGATGTCACGCAGAGAAAAGGAAAGGTATTGTGCATTTACGATATGAAGCTTCTGTTTTCGATTGAGGGTAAAAAGAAGGATGAAGAGAAAGATTTGCTGGGGACCATTACAATCGATGAGTTTGTTCACGATCAAGATGAAGACGAGTACTTTTTTGGAGTCACATCTGATCATTCCCTGGACATAAAACGTTTCTTCTTGCCGGTTCTTCGAACGAAACTCATGAAATTTCAGCTGGATTTAATCCTGGCACACGGACGAGACGTGCAAGACACCACGTTGTAGAGACTCAGGTGAGATATGTAGGCTCGCATACAGAACCTTGATCGAAATGTTCATTAGTATAGTATCAAAAAATCTATAGCATTGTATTTAACATCCGTCGAATCCTTCAGGAACACCCTTGGCATGTCTTGAGCCATTTCTGTGGTTAAGATAAATTTGAATCTCGCCGTAGGTGTTTTGGTCTTTGCCAATACTATACCAGGGTATGAGGCCTTGTTCAATCGTCTTGATGACGCGATACATGTCTTTGTTCTCGTATGGAAGCCCTGTGGCAGGGTCGAAATAACGAGCCTCTTTCCCGGATATAAGACACAACTTTTTGTTTCCGTTTGGTAGATAGAGGCCTGATGGTGCTTCTGTACGGATCTGAATCTCAGCCGCCTCTTCCTTCTGCTCATTCTCTTCCTCCACCTCAAACGTCTCTTTCGTACCAAGGCGCGGTAATTTTTTGAGAGCCTCGAACATCGCGTCGTTTTCTAAAATATCTGTGACTGGTCTCAAAAGATCGTTTTCTTCTTCACCTTTAGGAGCAGCGTAAGGATTGTCCAGTCTGATGCTGCTCTTGAGGATTGTTTTGACATCTTTGAATCTCCTTGAGGCCCCTAGATTTGCATCTTTTCCAAACAAAATAGTTTTGATCCTTGATTCTTGGAGGTGTGGAAACTGCTCGTCGTCAAAGTTGATTAGAATGACATCGTTCCTACCAACATGTTGAACAGGACCTTCGTATATAAAGCCATCTTTATCAGCTCTGTATGAAACATCCGCCTCTGGTGTATCTTCAGCAAAATTCAGTCCATCCAGTTCGTTTTGCAGCGAGACTTCCAGATTATGTTCCTCGCTGATAGCAAACGATACCTTCTTTTCATCTGCAAGTGATTCATTTGTAGATTCTTCGTCGTTCTTGAGGACAATGGGTGCTTGTTCCTTTGTCTCATTGCTATCCATGGCAGACTCAGTAATAGTGTGTTTCGAAAAATTTTGTTTATTTTCCGTCATTGAACACTCGGTCATTTCACGACCATCACCTGTTGTCTTCGATGCATCATGAATGTTAACCCCCTTTCCCTGATCGGGTGATGTCTCGTTCTCCAAATGCAGTTCTCCTTGTATCTCTGATATCTCTTTGTCGCCAAATTCACTTGCTTCTTTATCTTTTCCCTCCACATTTTCCTCGTTGTAGATATGTTCGTTGTTCTGCTGCCCTTCATTTTTGCCATGATTCAGGTTGAAAACTGCAAGTTTTTCATCCACTGGCTCCGTCAGGTGAACCTCATAATGGGTCTCAGATAACACTTTGTCAACTTCGCCTTGATCGTTTGAGTTTTCCGTTTCCATAGAGGATGTCACAGAAAAATCACCGTTTTCAAACTCTCTGTACCTCTCTTCCTTTGCGATCTTTCTAGACTCACGCTCCTCCTCGAGCTCGTCTCTTCGCTTTTTGTCTTCTTCCGCAATTCTGCGCCTTTTCTCTTCACGCTGCGTCTCTAGCCTCTCCCTTTCGGCAGCTTCTTCCTCCTCTTTTCTTCTCTTCTCCTCCATCTCTTTTTTGTAATAAGGTAACTCTTTATCAATGTCTCCTGGTCGCGGTTCTTCGGGATTGTTAGATCCAGCTTTTCTTCTCCGGCCTTTTTTCTTTTTTTCAAAAAGGTCCTGAACATGTCGAGCGTCTTCTATTTCATCTATCGGAGCAACAAAAACTTCCTTTGATGAAAGACGTATCACGTTACGTAGCTTAGGTCGTCTTTGTTGAAAGAGTAATTTTTGGTGCTCCTTCTTGACGATCTCTTGCTCAAGAAAGCTATGGAGAGATAGAACATTTTCTTTCTCTGTCTCAACGGCCTGCGCGAGTCTTTCTTCTTGGGTGAGTTGTGCCTCAACAGCTCTGACTACCGGCGTGAGGGTTGCGCGTCTTGTCTCATCCTCCTTCAATTTCTGTACTAGAATTTCCTTATTTTTCATGGCCGACTTTCTTGAAGAAGCTCTTCTATCGATATCAAGAAGCAGTTCGGAATGCCTCGTCTTCTTCTTCTTGGGTTTGGGAATTTCTGTTGCGAGCTTTGGTTTTTTAATTGCAGGGATGATCATACTGGTCTTTGTCTTCCGCTTTTTTTCCTTCTCTGTTTTCTGTAGCTCTCTTTCCCCTTCGCTTTCATCATTTTCGGAAGCTGATAAATCAGAATCGGATAGCATTTCATCAGAGTTGATCGCCAGTTCTATTTCAGGAGTCTTCCCCTCAGTATTTGAACCCTGAGTTTCTGCCTTGCGGTATTGCGCAAACTCGCCTTCTTCCTCTTCACTATTTTCGTCTTCTTCATTGTGATCAGATCCATCATCATCTGACTCTTCGAACTCCTCGTCGTTCTCGTCTTCTTGAAACAAAAGCTGTACATTCTCGTCTTCTTCAGAATATACAATATTCGGGACACTGGATGCTTGCTCCTCTAGTTCTATGAGTTGTTTTAGACGAGAACCTGCATTTGCTCTTCTAGCTCGGGTCGCCACCAAACTATCTTTATCCGACATGGGATCAGTGTGCTGGAAAGAGATGGCGAAATTTACGGTGCGTTGTGTAAATAATCGCGCGTACTGAGATTGATCGAGCATACTACACGTAAACTTTTTGATTTGAACACCATACCATATCAGTAATAAATCGTGTTAACAACACCTACTAAACAGTGGTGAATGTGTAGGCTCACAAAACTCAACGAAAGTGATTGTCATCTGTCATATTAAACTTAAATCGATAACAACTTAATGATTATCGTTATCAAAAATTGAAGGTGCTTCGCAATTATTTCTCGACTTTCTTGTTTTCACGAGAAGACTTTGAGAAGTTTTTTAATAGAATGGTTTCTTAAAAATCATACTTACAAAAATATCTCAAATAGCGTTGCTTATTGCAATTCTGAACCTTGAAAGAGACAGGCATGTAAAATTCAGATATTTCGTTCTATTGTTTGAAGCATTGGTGACTTCCATGACCCATCGGCAACTCAAATTCCCGCTATCGAGGTACCTGCATGAATTCGTGAACTGTAACAACAACTTCTTCCTTGATGATTAAACAAGCCCTCCAGAGAACTCGGCCAGTAATTCTGTGTCGAGCATTCAGCATCTCATGTTCACTCAGACATGAGGTTAATAAAGCAACTTCGGCCTCCAAAGACGAAGTGACCCATTTCAATGCTCTTGCCTCCAGCTGGTGGGATGTGGATGGACCACAGAGGATTCTTCACAAGATGAATTTACTTCGAATGGACTACATCAATGAGGTCATCAAAAACAACGTCAAATTAAATGCCGACACAACTAGTGCAGATGAAGAGGTATACATTGCCCCATACAATTTAGACCTACTCCCTAAGTCGATTAAAGATCGAATTTTGGAGGAGCAAGACGAGAAGAGGGCCGAGATTTTTGCTGAAAAGCCGTTAAAGGTCTTAGACGTTGGTTGTGGTGGAGGAATACTTTCAGAATCCTTAGCGAGATTAAATTATGTTGACTCAGTGAAGGGAATCGACCTATCAGCCGACGTCTTAGAAGCAGCGAAGGTTCATATGAAGAAAGATCCAGACCTTACCGATGTCTTACTGTATGAGTACCAAGCAGTCGAAGAGTTACCTAAAGGGGAAAGATTTGATATCATCACCGTGTTTGAGATGCTAGAACACGTAAGTTATCCTGCGCAGATCTTGTCTGAGGTTTTTGACCGCTTGGAAACAGGCGGATTCGTCTTTTTGTCCACAATTAACAGAGACTTTGTCAGTTGGTTCACCACTATCTTTATGGGGGAACATGTTTTGGGTATAGTGCCTGTTGGAACACACTCGGTGAAGAAGTACATCAACGAAAGTGAGATCCGTCAATGGTTGCATTCGAGTGAGTACAAGAAAAACTTCAAGATTGTTGATTCACGTGGTTGTGTTTACTTACCCGCATGTGGATGGAAGTTTACAAGCAACGCGGAGATGGGCAACTACTTCATGGCTATTCAAAAAATAGGATGAGACCACCCTGTTCCACACCTTGTAAATAGTACAATTATCGAATTCTGCACCAAACCTACATGTTGAGAACATCGAGCACGCAGTACAACAACAAACATGTTATTCAATCTATAATTCCTCTTATTCAATGGTTGATTCCATTCATTGACTATGATGAATCATATCCTTGTCATCCGATATCAACCGCTTACTGAGATGCGCACTGCACACCTGGACCTTGTGCTCCCTCTTCTTCGTCAGAGTCGTAGGCATCGCGTCTGCCTCCAGACTGGTGCAATCTTGGGTCGACCTCAGTCAAGTCGCACTCATCAACACCAGCACCAGCTGGAATGGTGTATTTGGTTCTTGGTGGCAAAATCGACTCCAATTGCTTCAACTTTTCCTCGGAAGCAAACTTGCTTCCTGGGAACTTAACAGAGAATTTGATGAACAAGTGGCCCTTGTCACTGCTTCTGTAGACTGGCATACCTTGCTTCTCGATAACACGCAAGGCACCTGGGGAGATGACCTCACCAGGGAGGACATTGAACTTGATGTAATCACCAGAAATATGCTTGAATGAGACCTCTCCACCGGCCAATGCAGTTAACAAGTCGATTTCAGACTCGTAGTACAAGTCGTTGCCCTTTCTGGTGAATGACTTGTGTGGCTTCTCGTCGACAACGAACACAACGTCTCCAGGAGTAACACCTGGCTCCTGGTCACCCTCACCAGAGAAGACGATTCTTTGACCGTCTTTCATACCTGGGTCGATGTGAACTTGCAAGATCTTGCGCTCAGCCAGAACCTTCTTACCCTTACAAGCGGTACATCTGTCCTTGGCATCGCAGATGTCACCACTACCCTGACAAACGTCACATGTGGTTTGGAATCTCTGGATCATAGGGCCCATCTGTCTGGTGACGAACTTCGAGCCCGCACCATGACACGAGCTACACTGCTTGATCTTGCCCTCTTTACCACCACGGCCATCACACAGCTTACACAAGACGGTCTTGTTCAAAGCCAACTTAGCAGATCTGCCCTTGTACAACTCCTCTAACGTGCAGGCGATAGTGTGTTTGATGTCCTTGCCTCTGGCAGGGCCTCTAGGAGCACCTCCGCCCATGCCTCCGAAACCGCCACCGAAAAACTGCGAAAAAATGTCGTCTGCGCCCATGCCGCCCATACCACCTGGACCGCCACCGCTCAAGCCTTCAACACCATAGGAGTCGTAGACTTCTCTCTTCTGGTCGTCTGAAAGGACCTCGTACGCCTGCGACAACTCCTTGAACTTTTCTGCCGCCTCTGGGGAAGGGTTCTTGTCTGGGTGGTATTTCAAGGCTGCTTTTCTGTAGGCCTTCTTCAACTCGTTCTCGCTGGCTTGGGGCGAGACGCCCAAAAGATCGTAGAACTTAGTGTCTTTCACCATTGTGCTTGCGTATGAATGTGTAGAAAGTTGAATAAATAAACGTTGAAGCGCCGCTCTACAGTTTTATCTCACGACACAGGAATTCAATGCTTATGACAGAAGAGATTTTTCGTTGCGCGCCGTTTTGTGGAACATTCTACAGTTTTCGCATGCACGTGATCCGATGAGGCCTAGATTAAACGTGATTACCCTTTTGAGAGAAAGTATACGGCGGATAATGTTGGTGTTGCAGAAGGCATAAAGAAAAGGGGACGAAAAGCGTCTGAAAAAAAAAAAGAGAGGAAAACACAAAAACAAAATGAAAGAACCTTCTCTGTAGGCTGATGATCGCACTCCTATAATTTTGATGTGGGGAATCGATTGTAATCGAGCATATGATTATCCCCCCAAGACTGGGAGTATCCCGGTCAGTTAGTAATCACGGCATATTGCGATTTTAACGCTCGTATGCCTGAGCTTTGATATGTCTAGCTTCTGAAACAGTTTATTTCGACCAGTGCGTAATACTTAAGATGTAAGCGCATGCGATATTCCTTGCGCCGCCTGAACCTGCAAATTGCAACTTCACCAAGTAGTCTCACCCTGCGTGCTCAACCACTTCGGAAACCAACTTTCCGTTTTTAATGGTGTGAATCAATTGCTCAGGAACAGGGATCTCCACGAAGTCGTCGCCATCGAGAACATTGATATTCAAGGCTGTGGTGTTTGAGCTAATCACTTGTGAGTCGGCGTCAACGCTCTCTTGCGACAAGTAAATGCTGCCTTCCTCGCACTTATCCACACTTATCAATGGCACCACACCAGTGACTTGCACTCCAAATTTGAAAGACTTGATGACGTCAACACTAGAGATTAAGGAGTCCACCACAACACCGGTCTTGGTCGTCTCGGAGATGGACACGGCGTTTCCCTTGCCTTTAATTTGAATGGTGACGCCACTGGTCTTTCCGATAAAAACGGATTGCGTTTTTTCAACTTCAATCACAATCGGCTCAGGGGCATCCATAGCAGTGAAGTTTTCAATGATCCATTTCGACCCGTCCACAAGCTCTTTACGGGCAGGCTTCTTTTGTGGAACATTGGTTTTTGTAGATAACGCTGTAGGCTTCTTGGGAGGCGTTGGCTTTCTTTGAAGAGTACCCTGCTTTCTCAACTCTGGGTTTTTGTGTGTCATTTGAGACTTGTCTACCTTTTTGAGACCAGCCGTCACGTCAGATCCCTTGTTCAAATCGGCAAATACAGCACCAAGCCCGCCACTGTTCTCTGGTTTGGATGCTTCATCGAACAAGTTAGCAGGGGGAGCGGGAGGAGGGGGCGGTGGAGGCGCAATTCCGGTTGCTCCGTTACCAGAGACTGGACTCTGTCCATCTGCAACAGGAGCCGATTCCGCAGCCAAAGTCTCTTTCAATAATTTACCCTTGGGGTTCCACGAGGGCCCAGTAGTATGGTATTCCTTGACATATGCACGCAAAGCATCAAAGATGGCATAGAAGGATTTGACCCACTCACCATGCACCGCGTCCTTCTCCTTGAAATCCTTGATGACTCTGTTTGCCCAGAACTGGGCGCTGTCTTTGATATCGGAGATAAAGGAAACTGGCGTCTCGCTGACAATCCACCCAAGCACAGGAGCTCCGTCGCTCAATGTGTTCAAGTGGTTGAAGTACTCCGAACGGCGGTTGGCGTCTTTGGCTGCGCTAATAGCACTGATCTTCTCGTTGATTGGCCGCAAAGCCTCCATAAAGGCCGGGTCCGCAGTATCTGGCTTTTTGGTCTGCGACACAATGACCAAGAAGCGAGTTTGTGCCACGAAGGCGTCTCTGAAATTGCCAGCAACCTCTGCCACCACCAGATCGATCTTCAGCAGGATTTCGACGAAAGGATCTACAAGGCTTTTGACGAGGTCTTCAAATTCGCGCACAGTCTTCACCTTTTCTTCCGACTCGGGTTGAGGAAGACTGGACTGGATTTCGGGGTCTTCGGCTTGATCTTTGACCACGTCATTTCCAACCTTGGGTGTAGTACCTGACTTGTAAGTCTCCTCTTGGAAATGGGTGATATCCTCCAAACGAGATGTGGCCTGCTCTAAGCGCTTGAGAATATTAACTATATTATAGCCTTGCACATTGAATTGGTTTTCTTCCAGCATGGTGGTTGGTATGTGGGGAGTCAAGTGCTAGATGGGAGTAAATAGTGGTCTGGCGTTGCCCGCGACACGTGACGGGGCTCGTCCGACTTTCCGGCACTAGCATTCGCCGCCTTGCCAGAGATTGTTACAGGTGAGCATGACCTCCTCATTGAACAGAAACGCTATAGAAAAAAGGCCCTCATATTTGCTTACGCCTCGTGCTCAAGAGCGTTCAGCATATGAATAAGTAAATGTAAAAAACTCAGCAAGTTTGCCCACTCAGAACAAGCTGCGAATGGCGTGTTCGACAGCTGGATCTAGAAGGTAGATGGAGTTCCGATAGTTTATCCAGCCATGTCTGCGAAAGAATCGAAATGCTTTTTTCAAAAGACCACTTGTAATTTGATTTTCAAAAAATCTTCAGATATTTGTGCATTGTGACCGTAGGCATCCCCGCTGATAGTGGAGGCTCCGGACACGCAGTAAAATTCCATCAAGGCACGCTCGCTGAGACGAAGTCTAATGTCGCATGCGAACGGGTGTATATCTTCGTAGCGACCCTCCGGACAAGACCAGCAAAGAATCTATCGGAAAACTACTTTCGGACGCTTTCACGCAGGGACGCCTCACCACATATCATGTCTGCTTTGGATCAAGAGCTCCCGCCCCAGAAAGTTCACTTGATACGCGAGTCGAAAGCTTCCGGAGATGCAGAGCCATTTTACAACAACTATAAGGAAGGCGTACCGATTGCGATAGACTTCGGCTCTGACACAGTGAGGGCAGGTTTAACTAACGCGTCTGAGCCTTGCAACATCTTTCCGAATATTGTCGCCAAGCACAGAGATCGCAAGTCCAACTACACGCTCACCTTGATTGGCAATGATGTTTACAGAGAGTCGGTGCACTTTCCAACTCTCAGAACAGGAGCAAAGTCCCCATTTGACAATCTGATGATTACCAACTGGGACTCGGTCGAAAGCATACTCGACTACTCGTTGGAGCACCTCAGCATCACGTCTGACAACGGGTGTCTCAACAATCCAGTGATCATGACCGAAGCTGCTGGAGCCCCGTTCACTTACAGAAAAGGAATGTATGAAATACTCTTCGAGGCATATCGAGCACCGAAAGTGGCTTTTGGAATCGATTCTCTCTTCTCGTTCTATGCCAACTCCAAGAAGAAAGACGGGTTGGTCGTGAGTGTTGGAAATAACCTGACTCACTTGATACCAGTCCTTGGAGGAAAGGGCATTCTAACGAACTGCAAGCGTATTGATTGGGGAGGCGAGCAACAGCTGCTGTTCTTGCAAAAAGCCCTAGCTCTCAAGTACCCGTACTTCCCAACCAGACTCACCAATGATCACACCAAAAACATCGTATGTGACCACGCGTACGTTGCCCAAGACTATGCCTCAGAATTGTCTACCATCTTGGACATGGAGACGCTAGAGAAAAAAGATGTCGTCATACAAGTTCCTGTCGACATCGCGCCCGAAAAGGCCAAAAAAAGCGAAGAAGAGCTTGCCCGTCAGGCTGAGAAGAGGAAGGAACAAGGCAAAAGACTTCAAGAACAGGCACAGAAAAAGAGATTAGAGACTCTTATGCAAAAAGAGAAAGAACACGCGTACTACACTGAACTTAGGGATACTATATCAAGCTTGAGTAAGAATGAAGCCGAGCGCCGTGTCATTGCCGAGGAGTTCGAGAACGTTGCAGACTTGCATAAGTACATTGCCACTTTGGAAAAGGCAATCAAGAGATCCAAGGGTCTGGAGATCGAAGAGCCAGAGGAGGAAGTCGACCCTGCTTCGACATGGCCGTTGGCTGAGATCCCAGACTCTGACTTAAATGATGAAGAAATCAAGGAGAAAAGAAGACAAAAACTCCTCAAAAGCAACTACGAAGCTAGAGTTCGCATTCGGGAAGAAAAGAAAAGAGAGGAAGAGGAACAACAACTTTATTTGAAGGAGCAAGAGGAATGGAGAATACGCGACTTAGAAGGCTGGTGCAACGCAAAGAGACTAGAGTTGGCCCAATGCATCTCTGAATATAAGATCAGGCTTAAGGCCATGGATGCAATGAAGGACAGAAAGTCTATGGCGGCGCAACAGCGAATGAAAAATATTGCCGATTTGGCGAGTGACCAGGCCTCAGGCGCTGCTGCTAAAAAACGTCGTCGTGCTGGCCCCAGTGCAACCATAGACAACGACCCAAACGATACTTTTGGAACAAATGACGCCGATTGGAATGCATATCGTGACATAAGCAATGCGAGTTTGGAAGAGGAGCAAGAGTCAACCCTTGCCGAAATCAACAGGATAGAGCTAGAGTTGTTGGACTTTGATCCGGACTTTCACACAGAAGATACATTTGCAGCTTCAGAGAAGTTTGACTGGAGAAATCTGGTTTTGCACAAGTTCATCCATGGACCTCGGCCGAACTTAACGCTTACAATGCAGGCTGAGGGGCATGATCCTGAAGAGCTCTTGAAAGATCCAGAAATTATCCGCCGCAATCACCAGATCCATATTAATGTGGAGCGGATAAGAGTTCCTGAAGTATACTTCCAACCTCAAATCGCAGGTCTTGATCAAGCTGGTATTCCCGAGATAATTCAGAACATACTTTTGCGCAATTTTGACGGTATCTTTGATGTTGGCGGTCAACTGAGACAGATGATGGAGAACATTTTTTTGACAGGAGGTGGAACGTTGCTTCCTAACTTTGCTGATCGTTTAAAGTCAGAGATAACCAGTTTTCTACCAACTGGCGCCCCCATTAACGTTTGCAAAGCAAACGACCCACTCTTGGATGCTTGGAAAGGTATGCAAAAGTGGTCCAGTGCGTCAGACGCAAAAGAAAATTACGTTACACGAAAAGAGTATGACGAAAACGGACCAGAGTATATTAAGGAGCACGGCCTTGGAAATGTCAGTCTCCGCGAGCTTTGAGAGTTTTTCGAACTGTGAATGCAATACTATAATACACTATTTCTTAGCATGGGGGTTGAGACCCTTTCTCTTCATACTTCTCTTGATGGATTTGTCGATCAACTCCAGGTCCTCGTCGTTGTCAAACTCGGCGAAATCATCGTGAATAATTCCCTCTTCTTCCGCTTCAGATCTTGCCAAAGATTCCTTCTCCTTGGCTCCTGATTTCGTGATGTCGTGAGGAGATGGAGCAATCTTCTTGAACTTTGCAACATAGAAACCATCAACATTATAGGTATGAGGATAGTAACGTCTCGTTAAAGAGATGGTTGGGTTAAAGTGCTTTCCTCTAAATGAAGTAAAACCCTCTTTACCAATTTGCAAGCCCGATTCAACAAGCTTGACATTTGGCCTTTTTCTCAATGCATAATCCACCACATCTTCGTTCTCCTCAACAGCGATAGAGCAAGTGGAGTAGACAATGACACCGCCAGTAGCGGAGTGGGCGTTGACAGAGTCTATAGCACTCAACAATAACTGCTTTTGCAAGTGTGGGATTTGAATGAAGTCTTTCTCGGTACGGGAAACTTTGACGGATTCATCTTTGGCAATCACACCGGTACCAGAACAAGGAGCATCCAACAAAACCCTGTCAAAGCCACCGATCACCTTTGGGAATTCACGTGCATCGTAGTGACAGACAATGGTGTTTTTACAACCCAAACGCTGGATGTTGGCAATCAAAGATTTAGTTCTGGCCTTGTTTGCATCGTTGGCAAAGACACATCCAGTGTTCTTCATCAATGCAGAAATATAGGTGGTTTTACCACCGGGCGCAGCAGCCATATCCAAGACACGCTCATTTTCCTTGGGGTCCAAAGCCATCACAGGTAAAAATGATGAGGCAGCTTGCAAGATGTAGTGACCAGCCAAGTATTCAGGAGTAGCACCGATAGGGACTTGGGAGTCGAAAATTTGCAAGCCAACCTTAGTCCAGGCACCAATTGGCTGCAAGTTGACACCACGGTTTACAAGTGTCTGAGCCAAGTCTCTTCTTCTGGTTTTCAAGGTATTGGTTCTGACAGTTGTTGGTCTGGCAACCTCGTTGGCCTCGAAAAACTCGATAGCTTCAGCAGGAGAAAAGAGGTTGAAGAGTTTGTCTGCCAAGAATTCAGAGTAGCCGAAGTATTCACAGATGTCTTTGAGAAGTCTTCCCGTGTAGTCTGCACGAGATTTACCCTCTTCAGACAATTCCTTGAAGTTCTCCAACACCTTCACGATTTCAAGCATACGCGTTCTGACAGTTGTGATGTCGACGGGCTGTTTCGCAAGTTCAGCTTCCTCTTCTTCGGTTGGCAAGACCTTGGCTCTGGGCTGAGCAGCGCCTTGCACCAACTCCAACTCCGCCTCTTCTGCCTCCAACTCGTCTTCTTCGTCAAGTTTCTTGGAGAAGGCCTCCATGTTCTCTGCATTCAATTCCTCTAACTCATCATTGTCCTCATCATCAGAGAAAATTGGACGTTCTCTGCCTTCCTCATCAGAGTCCTGGAACTCATCGTTGGCACCCTCAAGGTCCTCGGCATCGAACTCGTCATCTTCTGGGAGAGAGTCGTTGTCATCATCGAAGAGAGACTTTTTTGCAGATGCCAACTCTTCCAAGTCAACCTCTGGAAGATCAGCAGGCACCTCTTCCTCATCCTTTCTAGTTTTCTTTACTGACTTCTTGCTTTTCTTATCACCTTCATCACTTCTCTTTCTTTTTTCTCTATGTTGTGGTTTCAGAGAGTGTTTGTTCTTTCTCTCCAAGAAATCATCCAACGAGGGTGGAACTCCCTGCTTGTTTTTGGCCCTTCTTCCCATTGTTTGGCTTGTGTTTAGTTGAAGTAGTTGAAGTTGTGGAAAGAAAAACCGCGATGAGCTTCGAAAATTCGCATCTCTCGAGATATGGAGGTGAGCGAAAAAAAAACGCCTACACGCTGGCCCATCACCAAAAGATCTGTACGCCAAATCAAACTAACTACGTATTCTAGTTTGTTTGTATTAGCACAACCAAACTTCAATTGAGTTCAAAAAGGCTGCTATCTTGTACTTTATCATACATATCCCAAAAAATCCTTCTGAAGTCTTTTTGCTACTTGCCGGTCCATCACTCGAAGATCTGTAGCATATTGTCTGAGACAGTACGAGAATTTCACACAAAAAGGCCAAAAGCGACTTTTTACACTCAAAGAGAATCGATTGAAAATGGATTTGAACAAAAGCCACCTGATTGTTGTGGCCAATCAACACGTGCTTCTCAGGTTGCCATCTGAAGCTTTAAAGGTGGTACACTTGAAGGAAGATGGAATCATCAGTTTGGGAAAATTTGGAGCCTTCAAAGTTAGCAGTATACTCGGGCATTCATTCGGCACGACATTCGAGATTATAGAAGATCAAGTAGCTGTCCCCGTCAAATCCTTGACGAGCGTGGAAGAAGTCCCAGAGAATGAAATCGATGAGGAGCAGCTTACAAAAGATCAAGTGACCAAGTTTTTCGAAGTGAGCGCCGAGTCAAATCAAGATATCATCAATATCGGATCGAAAATTCAGAAATTGGACAGCAAGCAAATTGATGACCTCAAGAAGTCTGGTGCATCATCCGACATCGGACAGAAAATTATTGAACAGATTATTGCAGGCCACTCTGCTTTTGACAAGAAAACGCTATTTTCCCAGCAGAAGTACTTACGTCGGAAACAGCAGAAATTCTTGCGCCGATTCCAGGTCGAATATTTGGGTCTGTCTCAACTTTTGCAGTACTATATCGACAAGGATATTCAGAGGGTTAGAGACATGAGCGAGGAAACGTTGGGTATGTTGCTCAGTCATGCCAATATTCGTCCGGGCGGAAACTATTTGCTTGTTGATGACACTTCAGGTGTAGTTGCATATGCTATGTTGGAGAGGATGAAAGGAGAGGGAAGTATTCTTCTTATTCACGAAAATGAGCATGCAAACTTGGCAGCTTTGCGTCATTCGGATTACTCTGACGAGTTCCAAAAGAAAATGATTAAGACTTTGAGCTGGCTTCAATTTGCTGAGCCAGAAAACGAGAAGATTGACTGGGAAGAACTCCCACAGGAAGCCATTGATGAGATGAAGCCCACAAAGAAACTTCAGTATCATAGAAGGCTGAAGAGGGCCGCTGAAATCAATGAAGCTTTGGACATGGTAACTCAGAGTAATTTTGATGCATTTGTTTCTGTTTCGAGTCTCAATATGCCCTCATTTTTGTCGTTGGTTGTTCCTCGCGTGGGCGGATCACGCCCGTTGGTATTTTACAGCCCGTTCAAGGAAGCTCTTTTGGAGACCCAACACGAGCTCTCCCGCGACAAGAGAGTGTTGGCTCCTTCAATATATGAAACCAAGGCTAGAAAGTACCAAACGATACAAGGCCGTTTACATCCACTTATGACTCTGCGAGGATACGGTGGTTACATTTTGTCTGGTACTAGAGTGTTTCCAGCTGATGGTCACATTCATGCTGTTGGTAAAGGAACGAGGAAGAAACCAAGACAGGAGACATCTGCTACTCCAGAGGCAAGCACCACAATTCCGGTAGAATCTGCAAAGGGGAAGCCCGACGCTGCCATGGAAGAGTAGGTGACCGGACGCCCTTCCGTAAGAAAAGGAACACACTCATCTCGAGATACTATGAATTTATAGAACCTTCCATTTCAACTAATCTTTCGCTTTGGTCCACTTCAACCTAGTTTCATTATTTTATGTATCCCCCGTTCACCAACAGGCGCAAAAATGACATTGCAGAGCCTCTCTTCCACGCTACTACACAACGCAAATTGTTTGCCAGGTCAACATACCTGCCACACAACCAGTCGTGTGGAAGCTTTTCAGCTGTTCTTAAGACTTGATCCTCGTATCCAAGCTCGAAGATTAAGCCAGCAGATAGCAGTGGTAATATTAACTTATCTATTAGAGCTTCGTAGAACTCTAAATGTCCCACCAAGGCCTCTCGAGGCTCGTATAATCTCACAGACAATTCGGGACCGTTGAGTGCAAGCGGCTTTTTATAATCATTTTCAGGGATATAAGGAGGGTTCGATGTCAAAAGATCAACTCTCGGTAGCCTATCTAGGGCCTGAAAGTTGAAGAGATCGTCCTTCCAGAAGTCCACTTCAATTCCACTGTGCTTCCTGTTTCGCAAGGAGAGTTGGATAGCAGCGTCGCTGAAGTCAAATGCCTGAACCTGAGCCGATGGAATCAAGGATTTGAGCAAAAGGGGAATGCATCCACTACCAGTACATGCATCAAGAATCGAAATAGGGCTTTTGGATGAAACTTCATAGGCTTCGGCAGTCTTGGTCACCCATTCTTCCGTTTCCCACCTGGGGATGAGAACATTTTGCTGGCATAAAATCTCGAGGGATCCAAATGGCTGGGAGCCCAAAATGTATTGAAGGGGCTCAAGCTTTGAACGTCTTGCGATGGCCTCTGCCCATTTCGATTTAGGAAGTTCGTTCTGAATCCAGCGTAGCTCTAATTTTGCCAACTCCACAGTCCTGGTAGCTTTTAAAAGAGGCGGCAACAAAGGACTAAATGAAAACGCCTCTCTGATCGTCTTTCTTGATATGCGTGGCATTTTGATGTCTATGTTTATGCGTAGAATATCTGCGGGCCATACTCGCAGTTAACGGGGCACTGGCCCATGAAATAAGCGAGTCCCGGAAAGTAGGTTGCCCCATCGTGGGTTCTGATTTTTAGTAATCGTAGGGTCTTCAGGCTTACACAAGTCACATTTTAGAAGATAGCTCTGATACACATGTTTGGAAGGCGAAGACGTTCGGTTCTTTATCTTCATTAGTATCCTCTATATACAAGTTTACAATCCCTTTCTGACATAGTACATGTACGATCTCTCGTGGACGTGGTCGGGGAACGGAGAGATCACTTCCGAGTGGCCTGGTCTTGCGACTGGATCATTCAAGTAGATAGCATGACATGTTTCAAACGACACCTCAATATGGTGGGGCAAGATCGCGAACGCTCCAATAAATGGTCTTGGGGTCCATGGAGTGAAAAATGGCTTAGATGGATCTTGACGACCAAACAAGCCCTTCTGCCAAGGCAAGTTCACAACGGCTTTAGACTCGTCTTCAATCACTGCATCCTTATCCAAAGGAGCAACGGTCTGCAAAGATTTGCCGAAGTCCGAAGTGAATGGGATGGTCTTGGCATCTTCTGGCAATTTTTGAGTTTCCGCGTCACGGCGTATTCTTTCTAATTGCTCGTTGACAATTTCACTAAGAATCTTCTTGACATTGGAAGCTTCCTTCGCAGCCACAGTGGATCCGAACTCTGTGCTCTTTGTCGAGATGTACTTGGTGCAGTCGTCGATCAGATGGGCCGCCACCAAATCATGGCCAGATTTCTTCAAGATTTTGTATACCTCAATACATTTTGCCAGGTCTGTCTTGTCCGACGAGACGAGCAGCAGAAATTGTTCAGGTATGAGTTCCTCAACGTCCTTACCATTCGCAATTTGCAAGATCTCTTTCAAAATAAATTGTCTCGTTACACGTTTCTGCGTCTGAAGCATATCAGATTCGATCCCCGCGTTGGCCTTCTTGATTTTCTCCACCCTTGACTTTTTATCCTCGTTCACCAAAGTGTTCAACGAAGCAGGTTTCATTTGCTTCAAGTCCCATGCATCCTTGGGGTTCTGCCTGACCATGCTGACGTACTTGTTCCACACAGCAATCTGCTGGTTGTCCACTTTCACCGCCTGTTGAACACTAGGTTTAACTCTGCCCATTGCAAGCATGACCTTTTCGGGAGTGACGCTAAAAATGTCGCCACTCTGCAATGGGTACGCAGGATGTCTGATGGTGACACCGTTGACCTGAACAGAGCCACTTCTGATGAACTCTCTTGCTTGTCTAACCGAAGATGCAAACATGGAACGGAACAAAGCGAACTCAAGTCTCTTCTCCAACACGGCAAAAGTTTGTAAACTCATGGGCGTTGGAAATACATTCACACCTTTCAAGGAGGCATCTAGCTGGGCAACCGACTCCAATTTGGGCAGGAAAAGAGTCTTCCATCTGCTTTCAGTCAAGTGCTCTCCATGATAAGCTCTTGTTTCTCTCTTGGCTTTCCATTTCTGTTGAAATAAAGTCAAGCCCTGGTATCTTATCGGCTGTTTTTTGTACAAGTTGAACAAGTTATACTTGTTCATGGAGGCACGCACGCGGCCCCTTGCCGTGGAGAACAAGTTTTCCGCTTTTCTGGGCATTTCTTGACTGGCGTCCCTCTTTCTTGCACGGGTTGGGATCACTGAAAAAAAGTAGTCGAAAAAGTCGTGCGAGCGCGAAGAGAAGCTAGGCGAGCTCACTGCAAAGTATAAGTACAGTATGGGGAAAGGAGCCATGAAGCGGATCCCCAGTTTTTTTTTTTTTTGAGGGCCATGGTGGTCATTTCACAGTCTTCATTCCCACCGTACGTAATCCATACGCTTTGGCAGCATTGTTTTGTGTGGCCGCGTGCACCTCGTGCGATTTGCTGAGAAAGATGGGTGCAATAGTCTTGAGACGGTGGGCTGACTGGCACCCAGGGCCAGAGCAGTACAACCCAAAGCAAGCCGCAAAATCCCACACGAGTTTCATCGGATCCAGATATGTCATGCCAAAGGTAATAAAAGAATGCCGTGTCTTGCTGAGGCAATTTTTCTTGTGCCATTGCATCTCGTCCACCGTCGCCGGCTAGCTGAGGCACCCGCATAGGTAATCTCGCTAAGGTGGTGCAGATCGCACGCAGCGTCAAAGGCACGTATTGGGGACAAGCCACATCCCACGCCAAATTCCCCGACCGAGTATGCCCGGCAAGAGGATATGGAGCATCGAACAAGAAATCCTTCTACTCAGTCTTGTGTGCGACTCCAAGCCGGCGGGGGCCGAAAGAGACAACAACATTGCGAAAATTCTCGTCAACATCAACGAAAACATCACTGGCGAGGATTCGTTCACTGAGGAGCAAATATGGACCAAGTTGGCAGATTTCTTCGATCTCCAGAAAATTGAGGACATCGAAAAGGACTCCGAGGGCGAGCCGGGAACGCCGCGGAAGGAAGAGCGGTCTCGGTCAAGTGCCGGGGCCAAATCAAAGGATGAGCCCACCCGTGAGTCGACCGTGGAACAGCGTGGAACACCTGATGCGGCAGGACCCAAGCCAGAAACAAACTCTCCCGCCAAATCGGCGGAGCCGCCCGAGTTGTATTCGTCCGAGTTGAGCGATGTGGAGGGTGAGGAAACTGAACTTGAGAAATTACACGACAAGAACCTAACGCTGCCTCCACCGAGGGAAATCAAGAGGCGGGGCCGCCCGAAGAAAGCTGTGAAACGCCTTCCTGCGAAGGAGAACGCGTCAAAGGAAAGCCTGGCTACCACACCCAAGAAACGAATGAGGCCGACAACCAAAGATGGAGAAGACGAAAGTGCCCCCAAGCGCCGCCCTCTGAGTTCTCAGGGTACAAGACGAAAAGCAAAAACAGACACGACACCTGAGGCGGAGCAGGCTTCGAATCAGCCTTCGCAAGCAGAAGACAGTGCCGGCAGACTACGCGATGATACAAGAAGAGAAAACACGGGATCTGGTGATGAAGTGTATCCCAAGGACGAGGAGCCTGCAAATGCAGAAACCAAGAGTGAGATTCCGCAAGACTCCGAGATTGCAGACGAAGGGCCCAAAACTAGAAGGTCAAGAAGACAGGCTGTCCGTAGAAGTACTCGCAACAAGTAGAGGCAAAATGCTAGGAAATATGATATATTAGTGTCTATGCTAAACATCAACGTTGAACAGCCCCTGGCATGTAGACCGGGATTTTTTTGCCTAGCAGCACATTAATCCTTGCGGATTTGGCCTACTTGCCCAGCACAGCATGAGCACCCACCACTGTGGAGGTCGTCGTCTGAATCAAACTCATCAGAATCCATTTCTGCGAGTTGCTGATCCAAAAGCCTGACGTCGATCTTCGGCTTGCTCGGCTCTTCGACTTTCAGGTCCGTGCGTTGAGCTGACATATCATTGGTCTTGGGGATTTCGGACATCGATAGAGGTATGTTGGGTCAACCACCTCATTTCGTCAGTCACATGTGCGTTGGGTTACATGTGCACTACGCCCAGTGTAAATACTTAGCTGTAACAAAATTAATAATGCATTGGTGTAGAAAAAATATAGACTCTGAAACGTCATGTGACGTGGTACTTGGGGGAATAAGCATACGCAGCTTAGGACAAAAGCCCCCAGACCTTGCCCAAGAAAGTAGTTGGGGCTTCGTCTTCCCAAACCATGTCATCGATTTCTCTGACTCCCGTGTCAATGTCAATCTCATCTAGAGGAGTGAGAAGGGATCTCATTGTGAAGGCATTTTTGTTCAAGCCGTTGTAGTAGAAATGAGCCACACACCAAATGACAACGTACAAGATGACAGAGATGTAGGCCGTGAAGAAATTCGAGGCAGTGAAGCCATAGAAACTACTGAAGCCTTGCACAAAAACTAAGGTGAACCCCAAACCAAAACCGTAGTAGGCACACCATGGCATCCACATAGCCTTGAAGGGTAGCTTATCCCTGCTTATGTTTCTCGACTTCAAGACATTCATAAATCTGATGTGAGAAAATGAGATGTTGACCCAGGTGATCAAGCCAGCGACAGCAGTGATGTTCAACAACCAGTCGAAGACCGTGTTGCCGCCTTTAGAAAGAGTCAAGTAGCCCAATGAGCCGAATACAGCCGTGAAAAGAACTGCAATGTATGGAATTCCATGCTTCGTAACTTTGCAGAAAAATTTGGGGGCAACACCACTCTGAGCCAATCCGTACAAGATACGAGAGCCCGAGTAGACATTGGAGTTGGCTGCTGAGATAATAGCAAGAAGAATAACGGCGTTGAAAATGTCAGGTAAGACAGGAGTACCAGAGTTTTGGATGGCAATAAGGAAGGGAGAAGAGGAAGCAAATGATGACTCACTGTCCAATTTGGGGTCGTTGTAGGGCACCAACAAGCCCATGAAAAAGATGGACATGATGTAGAAAATGCCGATTCTCCAGATAACTTTCTTGATAGCAGCGGGGACGGTTTTTCTTGGGTTTGCAGATTCTCCACAAGAAACACCCACCAACTCAACTCCCTGGAAGGTGAACAAAGCGGAAATCAAGGAGTTCAACCAGTTTAAGAATCTAGCGGTGTTGATGTTGTTCACATATTGAGTGAATTCTCCTCCATCGCCCCATGGACCTGGATTACGCCAGTATCTAAAGCCCACAGGTCCAGTTACACCAGCGCCACAAACCATGCACAAGGCATAGATCAACCAGCCAACAACGGCGATGATTTTGATGGATGAAACCCAGAATTCAATTTCACCATAGAACTTCACAGGAACCATATTTGAACAGGTGATGAGCACCCAGAAAACAGAAATCCAGACTGCCAAGGGTACATCATAAGTCCAATACTCAATAATCTGCCCGATCACAGAAATCTCTAAAGAAAAGGTGATGGCCCAGGAGAACCAGTACATCCAACCGTTGGCACATCCCAAGGCAGGAGAGCCGAAACGAGTAGCAAACTGAGTGAACGAACCGGAACAAGGAATGTATGTGGCCATTTCACCAAGCGACTGAGTAATGGAATACGCCAAAGTAGCGATGAATAGATAGGAAATAAGTGCCATGACTGGCCCAGCAGCAATGGGTCCTTTCGTAGAAATAAAAAGACCAGTACCGATCGTGCCACCGAGGGCAATCATGGAAATATGTCTTGCCTTCAAGTTTCTTTGCACTTCAGTTACTTTCAATTCCTGGAAGTCAGAGACGGAATCATCCCCACGGACATACTGGACATCCTTGGGTGACGACGCAGACTTTTCAATGTCCGACATGATGAATAGTGAATGTGATTTGATGTCAGCAGTAGTAATGCCACGAATATTAGACCAGGCGAGGGTGACAAGATTTAATATTGGCAACTAATAAAGGATATGCAAGTATTCCAATGAAAGAGTGTGCACACGGCAAGGGCAATTACAGATGAGAAAAACGTTATAAATTTCACCTAGAGCCGCTGGAGCACAGGGATATGTCCATTATAAATGCAGCAAATGTTTTCCGTCACGTTTTTCGTTCTTATCGGAGTACGCCCGGACCTGCAAGAAGTCTGCGTTGTGCACCGGAATGATATATCACTTCTCGCATCTACCGGAGTGCCGCCCCGCGAAAATATATTGCCGTGATGGCCTGGCAGTATATGCAGGGTGACCAGAGCACAACGCCGTTCCTCTACCTACATTGGATAGAAAATTCGCCTTCTCTAGACTATTTCGGTGGCACCTGCGCTTAACGAAAAATAAGGAAAACAATTTTCGATTCCTGCTGCCTTTGACGGCCACTTCTTATCTGGAGGTCCGAAGCAAGGCCATATCGGGACTAAGAAGATACGGACAATCGAATTTGCACAGAATAAGCTTTTCTTTTTGCTTATCTGTGATCCCCAGCTTTTCTCCATTCTGTCCGCGTACATCCCCAGCTTTTCTCCATTCTGTCCGCGTACCTCTGGACTCGTAGAGCGGTCAGCAGTTGAGCTTATTTCGTTTCATGAATTAAGCCGCACTCATCGCTTGCGGCTTTTTTTTTGTCTCTATATCGCCGAGCAGAAAAAAGAAATAACAGGACATGTTACACAGGGATTTTACAAGAAGAGATTAGGAGTGTTTTGACTTCCTGAATTGAGGGGAGCCCTTGAAACACAGATTGATGGGGAGGGGGGAGGCAAGTTAAAACGACACTATTTGAGTGGGCGGGGGTGGCACATCACTCCGTAGACGGATAGTGTGAGAGACGGCACTTTCCGGTTTTAACTGAGAAACCGTTAGTACCGAGGCAAAATTTTCGCATCGTCCTCCGCAACGCCGTGCGATTCGGATATGCAGGTTACTAGTCGGAGTCGCGGGGGTGTCTGGTGATGCATATTGATTCCATGCAAAGATGTATGAAAACGGCGTTTAGCTCGAACATCTACAAGAAAAAGTAGACATAACTGATCACACGATTAGTGGCCATGTGTGTGCATCCTGGCCTTGCAAGCAGGCAATTAAATAAGGTTTTTTCTTCGGGTCTTGTGATAAGCTTCAAACAGTTGATCTTGTAATTCTTGGCGCGGCCCAGCTGATATGATGGCGATGAGGCTATGTTGCCAAATGCTCACCGAAGAAGGGTATTATCCAACTCACCCCTTGGAATGACACTACGATAATGATGACAGTAAAGCATGAGTTTAGCGCGGGTACTAGAATTACTGGTTGAATTTGTCGACTAAAAGGCGAAGCCTTTGTGAAAACTAGAATAAGCCCAGTTTGATTATCGTACAGTACGCGGGGCTTTCATGAAATCTTAATTCCGCACAATGTAGTGATTGGACAGGGCGGGCCATGATCTGACTGAGAACGTATTTGGAATTATTCCAATGTTTACTTAAACCTGATACCCAGTCCCTTATGCAGATGGAGAATAACAGCAGACTGACGAATAGAGTGTTCAACGATTATGAGATCAAGTGCACAGTAAACCGTTGTTCTGGTTTCTGCTGTTTCAAATGCAAAAACTTACACTAGCAGCCCATCAAACTGACAATGAAATACCTCCCTAGATGAGAACAAGAATTCACGAATAGCGGTGAAGTTTTGCGCAATTCCTTGCACAAAAATGATTGACTATGAATTGGCAAACAAGGGATGGGCTAACGGTGAGAGCAGCTGTTTCAGGCACATTAAGCTCTTCTGTGGACCCTGCTGAAGTCGCAAAATTAAGTGACTAATAAGTCAGTACGTTTAAATTGTTCTGACTCAACCCAAACTTGCTTTTTCTGGAGACAGAATATACAGATGCTTTACTAATTAGCATTGTTTGATGTACAAGTACGGGATGAAATGGGTATTGATTAAAACAAAAACAAAAACTTAGAACATTCGACTAGTGCCTAGTTGTAAAGGATAAATTGACCACGACCGGAGGTAACACTGAGGGTGCAACCGTCCGTGTTGTCACCGGAACTAGACGTGTAGATGCCCGCCTCGTAAGAACAAGAACCAACGGTTGTGGCATCGGACTCACCCTCGATTTTCACGTTGAAGTTGGCAGCATCCACGTTGTTAGGGTTTTTGATCAAGGAGAGGTAGGAGACACCAGAATCGTAACCAGCACCAAAGTTCAATGGAGCCCAGTTACCAACGCCAGAGCCAGAGGTACCCCAAAGACATCCGTCTTTCCAGGAGACACCTGCGTTGTTCACGTAGTATTGGGCAGATGTCTTACCGCCACTGTTGGTCGTATAGTACGTTTCTTGGTTCACGACGGTAAGAATGGAAGTCTCGCCGGCATCAACAACAGTTGGGATAACCATGTTCTCGGTACCTGGGTAGTCCGTTCTACAGATAGCAACAGTTTCGTCGAGCTCGCTGACAACAACAGCAGAGTCGACACCCCACTCACACAAGTAATCTGTGTCAGTGTTAGTTCTGTACAAGTATCCGTCCTTACAGAGCAAGCCACCAACGGAGACACCATTGGATGGTTGCTCAGATGGCCATTGCGTCTTGGACATACCCAGCTGACAAGCGTAAGAGCAGTAAGACCCGTCCTCACAGCTTCCTCCAGTCGAAGTGTCAGAATTGTAGATACCAGAGAAACCTCCGAATCCAAGGTGGTCAAGGTTGATGATACCCTGGCCCGAAGCACCGGGGAAGCTGCTGCAAGCAATCGTTCCATCAACGAACTTGGTAGTTGGGTCGACGTACGATTCTAAATCACCGCTGATGTCGTCAGCACTGACAGAACCGGAGGAGCTCGAGACAGAAGTCGACGTGGAAGTAGACAGAGTGGCGGACTCGCTGTCAATTTTAGCAGTCGAGGGGGATTGGGTTGTCTCAGCAGCATCAGGAATCTTAGAGGTGGTGGCACTGGTGGTAGTGGCCAATTCACCATCTACGGTGACGGTTATGACCTCTGTCTCGATGACTACCTCTCTTCTGTGCTGGTGGTGACGGTGGTACTGGGTGGTAGAGCAATCTTCATCGTCTCTTTTCGCTGGAGCAGCTGCGGCCAAGGAGGCAAAAGCCAACGCCAAGGTATACAAAGTGGTGATTTCAAGTCTCATTGCTGTCTATGGTTAGTAGTCTGATTGCAAATTATTTCGTATACCAAAAATGCGAGATCTGAGGCAAATGCGACATTGCCGCGGTTCACGACTGCACAAACTGCATAAAGCATAAAATACATGCAGAATGAGCGCGAATTATTGTTGTGAAATGCATCGCGACCTTCGCAACGCTGGATGCCGAGGTGAGGACCGAGGGTACGCACGCCGGCTGTTTGACAAATCAGGAGAAGTATGGTCTTGATGCTGGTCTGCTCACTTGTGTTATATAATTTTTCGAAGCTTATGTTTTGATTCTGTAGAGACCAGAAAACCCACAGGCAAACTGAAAATGCTAGTAGATGCCTCGAAGCTCGTTTTGTTTTCGAGACCCTGAATCAAAATGAGAGATCTTTAAGCCAAGGTTCTCCTCGAGTAGGTTCTCCTGGAGTAGGTTCAGCAGAATCTCTATGAAAAAAAGCTTGCATTTGTTCAAGTGTGTAAGGCTTCGATCCATCTTGACTGCCTTGTATCAAACAGGCCCGATTTCTGTAGTTACGAAATGCCGATTATTTTATACATACTTGAAAACTGGGGATAACCGTAACGTAGATACTGAAAGTATGTAGATAGGTCGGGGGTTAAAGGAATGACAGGTTAAACCGAAACGATTGTTTTCAAAGGAGTGAAGTTTAGCAAGGAAAGAAAGAGAGGAAAAAAAAAGCGACGGGGGATCGTTTTATGGAACTCGAATGGGCCTGCTGCTGCTAGGTAATCGCCGAAAGGAGAAGTGATATGATATGCAGGATACACTTGGCCAGAATCCTGCGAAAGTATGGCCCGCTAGGAGCGAAGGCATTATTGTATGCGAACCGCTTAATGACTAAAGCGGAGCGACGGATCCACATGGCTAGCCCCCCAAAATTGCGAGATTTATACACAGTAGGGCTTGATGATTTGAGGATGTTTCCTTTCTGAAATTTCTCTTGTTTTGGTACAAAATACGGACCCCTGACTCACTTACTGTGGGATAGCATTAATATGTGTGATTTTTCATTAGTATGATTGTTTGCATCTAATCTGACCCCTTTCCCACATACATAAGCTCAAGATTCGTGGTCTTGTTGGTAAATTTGAGGTGGCCATAGACTCTACTATACGAAGGTCCCCGCAAGTGTGGCCATTTCGCGGTAACCACAGGAGCTACATTATCTCACAACCCTTGCAAACCGTGCAGGACGCGTGTCTAAATACATGGACTACTTGTGTGCACAGGTACAGGAAAACACGGGGTATAGACGCAAGAAGACTGCCCAGGCGAGCAGACCCCATCCTGCTTGTACCTACGGTACCGTCTTACAAACAAAGGGGGCCTGACGCTGATTAGATTTTGCTTGTTGTGCGCAGGCAGGTCGTCGGCGAAGCAGCCCATAGAACATACTGCATATTCTCTCTTCACTTGCTTGCGAGTGCATGCAGCTATTGTGCGCGACCGACCCGAGGTACGAGCCAGCAAAGTAAACAGTAAAAGACCTTGGCATGAAAAGCGGGGTTCATCAAAAGTCCAAGTGAGTAAAGTGCGGCAGAGTTGATGATTCGACCGACATCTTCTTCTGTACGAGAAC